TCCCTGGGTGACCTTCCCTGTGATCCTCATTGGGGAGGCGAGAGACGCCCGCCCGCCCCCGAGCGAGCTGCCCAGACAGCCAGAGCGACCGTCGGTCTATCTCTCTCGCACCGCAACGGAGTGCCCGTGAGAGCGAGAGAGAGACCTCGCCCACTCGGAATCAGCCGTGTGCCAGCAGCCCCAACGACCTGCCCTACCCCAGCGAGGGCCTGCTGCCCACGGCTGCCTGCTGGCGTCGCCGTCGACGCGGCCGGCCCCGGCTTATCCCGTAGCGAATGTCGCTGCGATTCGCCCCGGGCAGGATTCCCGGCCGCGGGGTGCGTCAGGACCCGTCGGGACGGCCAGGATGCGTCAACCCCCGCGTCCGCGATTCCCATAGGCTTCCCCCGCGTTGTCGCATCATCGAACATGCTAATGGCGCGCGGCCCGCCCGCCAGGCAGCCCACCTGCCAGCCCCGCCACCCCCACCCCCGCGCCAAGGCACTGCCAAGGGCCGCCGCCGCGCCGCCGAGACGCTCCCGCTTCTCACCTCACCCTTCTCACGGCCGGCCGGCCGGCGTGGCGTCGGCGGCATCGACTGATAGTCGCCATTACGATCGATATGCAAAGTGCTGAAGGGTGCCTCCACCGCGCCGCGCCGCCTTCCGCGCGGACAATGCGACCGGTTGGCGGTGCACGCGGTGCTCGCGGTGCAGCAGCCCGGCGGGGCAGGCCCTCTCGCTCCGTCTCCCTCGCACCCCTGCAGTGCCCCCGCAGTGCGGGAGAGACGGAGCACGCTGTTCGGAATCGGCCCGGCCGACTGGTTTGCCGCGGCTCATTTGGGCGACACGGACACGGCGTGCCGCGGCGCGCGGAACGTCGCGGAACGGCGAGGCGCCCCGAGAGGCGAGGCTGCACTTGAACTGCACACACGCGATAGCCATCGCGGCACCGCGGCACCGGGAATTTCGGAAAATCAAACAGTCCCGTATTTGGCGAGCGGACTTTACCCGGCGGGACTCCCGCGTGGCTTTCTCCCGGGGTCGCTGTGCCTGCTCTGGGCGGGGCGAGGCCGGCCGGACCCCGGTAGCACCGGTAGGCAAGGAAGGGCGCAAGCGGCGCACGGCGGTCAAATTACCCTTGAGGTGTTGTTCGAATTTGGGTCGCTTATCGCATCGTTGCTTCCGCCGGGGCTTTGGTTGGCTCTGACCTGCCCGGCCCGAGACGCCCACGTTGCCGTCCTAGCCGCTTCAGAGGCAAGCAGGGCGCCTGCCAGCTACACCGCGACGCCCTGTATACTACGTGGAGAGGCTTTCCGCGGTTTTCCGGCATTCCCGACCACCGCAGCGCACCGCAGCGAGGGCCTGGGCCGGGGCCGTACCCTCGGCAAGCGGCAAACAGCCCGTGGTTGTGACCCCGTGGAAAGCCACCCGTTTTCCCCGTATCCACGCGGAGGTGCTGAGGCCTAACAGCTCGGTATTCCCTGATCCCTTGATTGGTCGCGGAAAACTGTCGCGGGGGTACGCGGTCGCGAGGCCCCGGGACCACACTGGAAACAACAAGAGAGTTTGGCATGTGTGTCAGGACTGAGCGCGAGTGACTTGACATGTGTGTGGGATTGGCGTGTGTGGAGACGTGGCCGGAGCTTTCACGCTGGACTTGCCCGGCTCGGCGTCGCCAGGCATCGCCCTGGTGCGCCGGGAAGGACGGACGGACTCTCCGGACGCCGTTGTTGGCGGACTCCGAGGGCCATTCCGTGCGAGCTGTGCGGGCCACCCCCACAGCCCGGCCAGGCCCAAGCCCAGGGCATTACGCGTGCATGCGTCCCCGTTCATTCCAGGCCCGCCCCGCCCCGCCCGACTCCGGGGTAATGCGCCCGGAGCCTCGGAGCGCCCCGGGCTCGGCCCGTGGGCCATTCCAAACTCCTGGCCCGCCGCCCCCGCCCCCGCCCCGCCACACAGGGCACACGGGTCGAGCCGTCCCCGCTAGAAGAGCCCGTCCGACGCACTCATTGTCTGGACGCAGGCCTAAAAGGAGGGTGGGGGTGATATGTAGGGTATGGAACACATTATGTGGTACCCAAAACATTCTAACATTCAAAACGGGCTGTCCCTCGGTGCCGGGGATCGGCGTCGGCCCGTCCGACCCGGGGCCGGTCAGAGCGGCGGGGTTCGGCCGACGTCCCCGTCGGCGCCTCGACCCTCGGCCCTCGACGTCAGCGGGGCGTCGTGGAGGGGTCACGCCCCATTAATTAATTAAGATAGAGGCGCCAGGACCGTTCTGGACCGCTTTACGGCAAAAGCGAGATCCGAGCGGAACTAATCTGAAGGAGAGCGGTTGGTGCGTAAAATACGCGGGGAGAGGAATACTGTATCGGAAAGTCTCGTCTCGGGACGAAATGTGACGCGATACACGTCTGATGCGCGGCGGCTGGTCGAAACCGCGGTCGTTTTTCAGCCAAACTCTATTTTTTTCTGCGCTCGTTTGCCTGGAGGGGACGCGAACCTCGGCCCGGTGGCTCGGCTTGGCTGTCCAGCATACCCAGCATGCACCGCGACTCTCACGTCGCCCCGGTGGCTCTGTTGGCTCATTCCGAGCTGATGCCGCCACGATAGCGCAGCGCGCAGCACCGGCCTGCTCAATACACGGCACACTTTGATGAGCTGCCTGAGCCGGCCTGGGATGGGCCATGGCAGCCATGGGCCTACCGACCGGCTTTCGCTTTGGCTGGCTTCGCGAACGCTGGTATGGCCTCTGGTATGGCCGCGGCCCGCGGGCCCAGCGCGGCCCAGCGCGCCAACGCGCTCGCCAGTCGGCCCGCGGATGGCAAAATACGGCGATGCGGGGCCGCGGGGCGGGGGGCGCGGGGGCGCTGGCGCTCCGCGGCGCGGGCTTCCCAGGTGGGGTCGCTATTTCCGGCACTTCTGGACCGCGTCCACTCTATTTATGTGTTTGCCACGCACGGCCAGCACGGCCAGCACGGCCAGGCCGCCGCATGCCTCGCAGAGGCCGCGATGGCCGTGATAACGATGCGGAGCCGCGCAGCAACGCGCAGCAACGCGCTGCCAGCCGCCGACGGCATCTCCCCAGCCCACAGTTCCGCCTCGCGGCGCAGCGAGCGCAGCGCAACAGGGGATGTTGAAGCCGATTGTTGATGCGCGCCACCCTGGGCCAACTGCAGCCCACTCCCCCGCCGCGCCGCGGCCGCGACCAGACCTACCCGTCGGCACCTGTTGCAGCTTGGCGCCGCCGGGCCCGGCCCGGTCGCGGGGAGGCGAGGGCGCCCACGGGCCGCGCACTGCAGCTGCAGCGTAGAGATTCGTGAAAATGGATGCATGCTCCAAAGCGTCACGGTGCTGGAGCAGCCCCCGTCGACGGCCTTTCCTGACGGTCCAGTGTCCCACCCCCACCCAGGTGCGCCCCGGGGAACGACCAACGACCCCGCCGCCGCGCCCCCATACAACGAGAGCCCCATTCTCCGCACCGCGTCGCGACACGCCGAGGAGCAACGACCCCGAGGGAAAGGCGGCGGCCCCTGGCACGGCCCCTGGCACGGCGGCGACGTCCACCCGCCGACCGGACCGGACCCGACCGCCAATCCGCGGCGGGGGTGGCATCGTCGGCACCGCCGGCGTCGCTTCGCTGGCGGGGCGGGAACCGGGAATCCCGGACTGGAGCCGCCCCCGCCGCGCCGCCACCACCGCCGCGCGCAGAACGGCGCAAAGCCACCCCCGCCGTCGCGTGCTCGCGTGCGCAATGCACATGTCACTCCCTTCCCCCTCCCTGCCTCGGCGTGGTGCCGGCCCGCCAGGCCGCCGGGGTGGGGCGGGCGGTGCGGAGCGGCCGAGGACGTGCCTCCCTGCGCCCCGTGAGTCCAAATCTCAAGTCAGTCGTCGACACTTCCCCAAACCGAGTGGACACGCATACCGCAGAGAGCCGTCCGCGTCCGCCCGTCTGTCTTTACGTCCGGGCCCAACAGTGTGCGAGCGAACGTCAGTCACGTCAGTGCCCTCCCGGCAGTCCGCGGCAGTCCGCGTGTGCGTCACGAGTGCCCCACGTGTCTGAGCGCGTGAGTGCTAGTGGTCCTTGCAGTGCTTCACGTCCTTTTGGATTTCGACGACGGCGTTCGTCGCCCTCCGCGTCCATCCTCGCAGCAGCCCAGTGTGTAAGTGTAGCCAGTTAAGCCCCCAAATCCCCCAAATTCGCGACTCCCCTTACAGTGGCGGCTGCGCCCCTAGTTCTGGCGGCACGCGCTCACGGGCCGTGGCTTGGCCGCCTTGGGTCGCCGTGGGCCCCGGGGCTTGCCCTGCCGTGCCGTTCGGCGAAGCGGCGCCACTTCGGCGAAGCTAGGCGAAGCTAGGCGAAGCTGGAAGCAGATCGAGCAGGGCGCGGCCGCGTGATCGCCGTGATGCGCGATCCCAGACGACGCGGCGCACTGCTGCGTCCGGCTGGAGACCCTGGAGGCCCTGGAGGCCCTGGAGGCCCTGGAGGCTGGTGGCGCTGGGGTGGCCGCCGTCGACGAGGAGGTACTGACCCCCTCCGGAACAAGAGAGTATGTTCAAGTGACTCTGGCTGCCTGGGCCCCTGGAATGCAGTCGGTGCGTGGGCATGCCGCACGTTGCTCTGCTGCTCTCGTCCTAGGTCGCCCACTGCCCCCCGCAACTCTTTGGCCGGCGGCCTGGCGGTCAAAGGAGCCGTGCGGAGGCCGGGGGCGGGGAGGGCAATTTCGGCACATTAGCATTATGTCACAGGTGCCGAGTCGTCGGCCGAGCCGTCCCGCCCGTCCGCCTGCCCCGCCCACCGCGCCGTACCCGCCCCCTCCGAGGGCCCACCCAGGCCACCGGGCCCACCCTCGGCAGGGCGGCGCGGCCCGGCGCGGCCCGGCGCGGCGGTCAGCCTCCGGGCCTCCGGCCAGTGGGGAGTGGGGGAAGGGCGAGGGGCAGGCTTGGGGCGCCCCACCCCGTCCCCCACCCCGTCCCCCACCTCGTCCCCCACCTCGCCCGGCTCCCCAGCCAGGGCGTCCGCCTCGCCTCGTCCCCGGGAGATAGTATACAAACACAGCCGCCGTCCCCGGCAGTCAGTCAGCGGCGGCTCGCCAGTGCGGTGGCAGCGTCGTGCAGTGTGTCTTGCTTCGTCTCGTCCTGCGCATCTCCTGATCGTGATCGCGAAGTGGACGCGCCGTGCCCTGTGCCCCTCAAGTTCGCCTTGTGGTAGTGCTTCCCCTGGAAGCTGTCTTCTCGCATCAACATGTGCCTCAGTGTCTCCTCCCCCAGTGCCGGTACGACGGGCAGCCTGTTGCCTTCTCCGCCTCCCCTTGTTTTCGGATACGCCAGCCCTGGAGTCCCTGGATCTAACTTACAACGCAAGTGCTAAGTGTTTTGGTTCATGTGCGCAGATTTCGGGCCGGCTTCCCCCAGCCAGCCGCACGGTTCGCCTGGGTCCGCCGCTTCCGCGTCGTTCGGACACTCGTGGAGCATCTCCATGACCATGGGAGAGATGGTGACTCCCCGATCGCCCTTACAGGTAAGCACAGCCAACATACCATGAGTGTCTTACAAGCGGTACCGAGGACTGTAAATGTGAGAGATGTTGGATCTCTTAATGTTGGGTAGTTTTCTTTTGAGACGCACCAAATTCATTAAGCACAGGGCGAATGTTAAATTAAGATCCCGCATGAGTTTTATGCTGGATACTGTATTGAAAGGGGGTCTTTAGGTAGTGTCACTAAATTCTTTATTTAGTACAAGTATATGGCTCCGTCGCGATCGTGATTAAATTTCCACCGAAACAAAATTCCTCGCGGGCAAATGGTGCTTAGCGGAAGCCCGCAGGTATTGCTGCTATAAGCGCGGAGGAGGCAGGATCAGGACGAGGTTCTCATCGCCGTTTCGGTGTCCCTCCTTATTGACGCAGTGTCGCGTCGCGGGGCTTGTCCGCCCGTCGCGTCTAGCCGCGTCCTGGAGCTGCCACCCCCACCCCACCCCTTCCCTGACCTAGGCTGCCCGCCCGGCCTGACTGGCCCGGCTCCGTGGCACTCCGTGGGTGGCGCGCGGGCTTGTGCTTTTTACGCCACCTCAAACACTGGAATGGAATGGGCGACTCTGTGCGGACCTGGCTTCGCAGCTTGGCCTGGCTTTTGGCACATAAAGGCGAGGCATTGTCGGGGGCCGGTCCGGGGCCGGTCCGGGGCAGGGGGGTTAGCCAGCAGCATGCGGGTGGCACGGCAGGCACGGCCGCCGGGGATCAGCGTGATGCCCGAAATCCGTGTCTGCCAATTGCTTTAGTTTTGCCTGCAGATAAAAGGGGGGTCGTGGATTGAAAAGCGCAGCCCGGCCGTCCGCGCCGTGTCGAGCCGCGGCTCATCCTTGCTTCTTCTTCGAGGGGGTCCCGTCGTCCCGTCGCGGTGGCGGTGGTGGCCCGGGGGGTTGCCAGCTGCGCGGCGGCTGCCACAGCGCTGCCACGGCTCGGCGCTCGGAGATGGAAACAAAAGAAAACTGAGTCGTGTCATCGCGGGCGGGGAAGGGTAGGGGCGCAAGTGCGGCGCTGCACGTGGGCCCCACGTGGCGTGGCGTGGCGCGGCGTGGCGCGGCGCGGCGGTGCACCCCCGGAGCGGCGAGCTGCGCGGGGCCAACCGCGCGGCGTGATGCGCGATCATCGCGTCGCGATATTTTTATTGCCAGTGTCGCGGGGGGGGGGGGGAGAAGGTTGGGGAAGGGGGAGCAACTTTGCAGCGTCTCGCATCTCCGTCATCCGTGCCGTGCCCACGGTGTGCCCACGGCGTGCTCACGGTGTGCCACGGCCGTGCCGCGTCGAAGCGCAGCTAATAAGGCTTTGAGTCTCTCCGGTGGTCCGCCTGCTTGACGTGGGACGTCGTGGGACGGCGGGGGAGGAGGGGGAGGGGTCAGAAGGGGATCCCCCCCAGGGTCCCCCCTCCGCGTGCTCCCCTAGTGCGCCTCTGCGTCCCCTACCCTGTCGGGGTCCCCCAGGGTCCCCTAGGGTCCCCTAGCGGCCCAGGGGCCGATGCGAGGCGATGCTCCGAGGTGCGAGCGTCAGTGTGTGTGTGTTCCCGAGGTCCCTTTGTCGCCGGCCGTGTTGTTGTGAGTGGGATCGAGGCGGATGGGACGGCTCCAATGGGGACCCCCGCGTCCCCCGGGGTGCCGATGCAGTGCGCGGCCGAGGTGCAACCCGGCCCCGCCGCCCCGCCGCTCCGCCACACACCTGGCTGCTGAGCTGCCGGAGCTGGCTCGGCTTTTGACTGCCTCAGGGAGCCCTCTTGCGGTCTTGCGGTCGCCTCAACAGCGCATCCATTGCGTTGCCTTTGGTTGCCATTCTGCGACTCACAATGCCGCCGCCTGCTGCCTGCTGCCGGGTCGCTGTCAAAGGCCGTGTTGTGCCTCGGCTGCCTCGGCCACCGCCTTTCATTGGACGAAGCGACGGGCTGGGGATGTGACGGCAGTGACGGCCAGCTTTTGGCAGCCGCACTGACACGCGCAGGCACTCGCATGGGCCTATCGCCGGCGTCTTATCGAAACGGAAGCTCTGCGCGACTGCCGTGGGCTGGCTGCTGGGCTGGCCGAAGGGGGTGGCGGTCAAGGCCCGCCGTCAAGGCAGTGCTCGTCGCCGTCGCCGAAAGTCAGGAAGACAAACCCAGCTCCGGGCCGAACGTGGCTCGTGCGTGTCGCACGCCTTGTCCGACGTTTTTCCGCCGAGAAACCCGAGATTTGGTCGGGGGCCAATTTCGGGTTACACCGATTTCCGCCACTTGAGGGGGCTCCTCTCTCTTTCCCGGGATGGGGTTGCTGAATGGAGGACGCGGACCCAGCGGCCCGGAGGCCGGAGGCCCGGAGGTGTGCCGGAGGATCGAGTAAAACAAAAAACGAGCGCCGCAGGGAAATCGGAGGAGTGCTGGTCCGGAGTCCGGAGTCCGGAGGGGGCGAGGGAGGGGCGAGGGAGGGGCGAAGCCCATTACAGGGGGCTGGCCCTGCAGGCCCTGCAGGCCCTGCTGCCCGGGGCCTGCCTACCCGTTCAGGTACCGGCGGCCTTACCGCCGGCCGGCCCTCGGGTCACGTGGCGCCAGGGTGGGGCAGGACGACGAGCAGGACGGCACGCCGAGGGGGTCGGCGAGGCAGACAGCACTTTCCGGTGGGGCAGACCGGCCGGTGCAGAGTGGTGCAGGCGGGCCGGTGCCGCCCCCGCGGGTAGAACTTGGGCGGCTCGGGTACCCTCCTCGTCTTTCGCTGGCCGGGCTTCGGCTTCGGCGGCGTTCGGCGCCCCCGGGCGCGTCCGGAGGCGGGAGATGCAAGGGTTCTTCTTGAAGGCCCTTCCTGCTACAGCTGCCGAGCGCCCTGGAGTGGTACGTGTATTCGCTCATTGGGCGACGTGGTCGATCCGATCCGGGCGGACTTGGCGGACGTGCACGTCAGGTTTGCTTGATGGTTCCATCGGCTGCTCCGCGACGCTGCACGGCACGACGGGCGTGCGGTGGATGGCGCCACTAAGGACCAGACGCTGGAACGAATGCGTTTCACGGGGCTGAGCCGTCGACCGGGTCCTAACGTTGCGAAACGGCCCAAGGGCGGGCCTCGGGCCTCGGCGGGGCGCCCAGTGGGGTGCAGCACCGCCATGCACTGCGCAGCCCTTATCCATCACGGCTCTAGGGCGCTCGTTAGTGAAGCGTGGCTCTGGCGCCACCTCCGCCTCCTGGTCCTCGTTCGGCCTCGCTGTTCTCCAGAAGTAAAGAAAGTTTACATATCGGTCGGTGTTTCCGTACTGCGGGGAATGCGCGCGCTTCTCTCCGACTATTTGCTCTGGTCTCTCTCTCTCGCCGATAAGCTAGACAACAATGCCATGCGGGCGCCTCGGCTGCCTCTGCCGCCGCGGCCCAGTTTGAACACATCAGGTGGAGTACGCGCAGTTCTCGACTGCTTCTAAGCGGTCGTAACCGACTGCAGGGCACGTGCTATCTGCACTACATGAGCGCCACGGCCTCGATTTCACGCCCCCCCCTCTTTTCCCCTGGAGCCTAATTCCCTCCATCATTACACGGGGTGGGTTCGAGCGGCCGGGATACCTGTAGAGTCCCTCGCACCCATTAATTATTTTCTGATGATTACGGTGCGCCGGGATCGGGGTGAGGGTGCGCAGAATCGGTACGCTGCCGCCGAAAGTGCCCTGCCCCGGCCGTGGGCTCGCCGTGGGCCGTCCCCCCCGATGGGCTCGCCGAGTGTGGCGCCCGGGCCGACGGCGGCACGGCGGCACGGCGGCATCATCCTCGGCGGCCCGACCTACGCCCTTCTGGACGGCCCGGTTCGCCTCTGGCGGTGATGTTCCAGAAACGCCCGTGTCGGAGTCCACGGAGTCCACCCCGGCGTGGAAAGTAACGCCGCCGCGAGAGGGGAAAAGGGGGGGGGGGGGCGACGCGCGGGGGCGGAAATCGGCCGGGACGTTGTCGTCGGGGAATCTGAACGCACGGCGGCACGGGACGGCCGGCCGGCGGCGTGCGGGGGGCCCAAGCCGAAGGCCCGAAGCCCAACTGGCTCGAGCTTTGCTTTGCTTGGCACGGCTCTGGGGTTTTCGTTTGTTATTTGCTCTGCGTGCGTGCGTGTGTGCGTGTGTGTGTGTTTGCCCGCGCCCCCACGGGCCCGCCACGCCGCCGGGGCACGTCGGGCACGTCTGCCAGCACGCCCCGTCGCCCCGTGCCCGTCCTAGTCCTGTAGAGGGCCTCCGACTGGGCAGCGCCGACAGGCAAAGCCGCTCGGACACGCCGTGCGCGTTGTGCACCGTGCCGGGTCCGCGGCCGTTTGGGGACCGCCGTGCGCACCAGTATTTGGTATTTGCAGTGCGGCGTTTTGACGGAAGATTCCTTATCTTGGGTTGTGCCGCCCCGCCGCTGCGGTGCCTCCCCGGCCCGGTAAAGTGCCGCTGGCGGGGCAGTCTCGCCATGTAATGCTTGCATTACGTGTTTGTGCGTGTGTGTCTGCGCGTTCGTGTGTGCGTGTGCGGCGGAGGCTGCAGCTCCAATCGGGCTTGTCTTGTCAGCCCTCTCGCCCTCGCAGCGCCGCCGCCGCCCGGTAGCGCGCGGCACTTTACAGAGCGTGAAAAACGTTTTTGGTGACTGAAAAAACTGTCGAAGGGGAAGGGGGCGGTTTAAGGGGTGTGTGTTTATGACACGCGTTTACGAGAGCGGGTAGCGAAGCCAGATTTCGACTTTTCTCGTATATTTTTCGGTCGCGCGGCGTTTTGGCTCTTTGGACGTCACGGCCCCGCCCGGTGCGACTCATTATCCTGTTGATTTATTGTGATGTTTCTGCGGGGGGGGGGGAGACTCAGCCCTTGCCGCTGCCGTCTGCGGGGACCTAAGGGGACTGCAGGGCGGCGCTGCCGGCCATGTGTGTTTTTGTGTTTTTGGTGGTTTCTGGGAATGTAACGTGATCTGATTGTGTGTTGCAGAGCGACAGTGAGGGTAGCACCTCCAGCCTGGAGCTCGGCTCTGGAGTGGCCGGCATCGCCCTGAACGGCACCCCGCCCCCGTCGCCGGCGTCTTCCGAGGCCGTCAAGTGCAGGTGAGTCGAGTCCAAGTCTCCTTCCGGCGACAATTTGGGTGTTCCCCAGCAACGCGAGCAACGCGTGGGAGGAAAGCGTGGGAAGGCTCGGGCCAGATCGGCCCAGATCAAAATGCACATCTTTTAAGACTTTTCGAAATTCATAATGAGTCCTTTGGCAAAGGGCCGCCCTGTGCTGGCTCACCCCGTTCGCTCCAAATAGTCTTAATAAAAACTGGGCCCATGTTGTGGGGCGGAGCAGGCCGAGTTTGGGGTTGCCTTTGCCTTTTCGGAGCAAGATAAAAGGAAAATGTAAATACGTGATGGGAAGTGGGAGGGGAGGGCCGTGAGGGCGAGGGCCGTGCGGCCGTGCGGGGCGCCTGGCCTGGCCTGCAGGTCGGGCTGGCCTAGAGGCTGGCCTAGAGGCTGGCCGATCCGGTCCAGCCAGGCTCGCACTGCTCGCACAGCCGAACATGATTTATACATGAGGCTGTCTCTCTCCCACTCGCGGCAAAACGGGGACGAACAATGAGAGCACCGCGTTTGGTCCGGAATCGAGATTTGGCGACTTAGCGTGTCTCGATAGAATTGCAATTTGCATCGATTTCCTGTCCGCGGTCCGGCGGTGCGATTGGTGCGATGCGCTCAAGGCTTTCCCACGGCCACGTTTCATCTCGTCATGCTAATGAGGAAAAGACCCGGAATCCAATTCCCCTTTCTTTTCTGCCGCCCGCATAAACGGCTTGTTTGGTCCCGTTGCGAGTTGCTCTCAGACCTCAGTCGCATCGGCGGCCTGATTTATTTTTCAATTATCACACCCCGGTCTGCCGATCGGCCTGTCGCCATCAGGCTGCGCAACGTTATTTACGGCCAACCCGTTCAAACATGAAGCCAAGCGAAGCCAAGCGAAGCCCTCCCACCTCCATGCCGCCTGCGGTGGCGAAACTGTCCAACTGCGGGCCGCGCTCCGCCGTTCCTCTAGTTACTGGTTCTAGTGTTCTAACGTGGACCCTTTTCTTTGATTCCGCAGATGGCAGCACTGTGGCTTGTGGCTGGCCAACCTGGACGCCCTCGCCCTCCACGTGACGCTGGCGCACGCCGCCGCCGGTCGCGGGGGGCTGTTCTACTGCGGCTGGGAGGGCTGCTCCCGCGGCCACCGCGGCTTCAACGCGCGCTACAAGATGCTGGTGCACGTCCGCACCCACACCAACGAGCGCCCCCACCGCTGCTCGCAGTGCGACAAGAGCTTCAGCCGCGCGGAGAACCTCAAGATCCACGCGCGCTCGCACACTGGTGAGCGGCCGTACACATGCCCCGTGCCCGGCTGCACCAAGGCCTACTCCAACTCGTCGGACCGCTTCAAGCACACGCGCACCCACGCCGTGGACAAGCCGTACGTGTGCAAGGTGGAGGGCTGCCCCAAGCGCTACACGGACCCGTCCTCGCTGCGCAAGCACGTCAAGACCTACCGCCACTTCCCCAGCAGCGCCAGCAGCACGCACTCCCCCGTCGGCAGCCCCGCCGCCAGCGACCTGGACAGCCCCGGCAGCGACCCTCACGGCAGCCCCAGCCCCCGCGGCAGCCCTCGCGGCAGCCCCAGCCCCAGTTCCGACGAGGAGGCGTCCACCCGCAGCGCCTTCCGCCCCGTCGCCCCCCTCGTGTCCCCCTCCGCCCTGGAGCGACTGGAGCGGCCGCCCCTCCCTGGCGAGTGCCGCGGCATCCCCATCAAGAAGGCCATCAGCGCGAGGGTGCGCGCCGTGCGGCACCACGACCTCCTCGCGGCCGGCGGCAGCAGCAACAGCGCGCGGTCGTGGGCCGGCGGCAGCGTGTGGGTGGGCAGCAGCGGTACCACGTCGCCAGACGCTCTGTCGTTGTCCATGTCGCCCAGCTCGTCGCCCTCGCCCTCGCCCAGCAGCAGCAGCGGCAGCGCCGTCGCCCCCGCGGACTGGCTCGCTCATGGCTCCCTGCCCATGTACTCATCGCCCATGAACTCGCCGTCACCACCTTGGCCCTGGGGCCCAATGATGTCCTTGTGGCCCATGGCCGCGGCCGCCGCCTTCGCCCCCGCGCACGCCCACGCGTCCCAGGTGCACGCCCAGACTACCATGCCCGCCATGCCCCTGCCCATGGGGCTGGTGGACCATGGCAAGCACCCCACAGCCAGTGCGGCGCAGGCGGCACCTCTGGACCTCACTATGACGAGGCATTGAGCATTGAGGGAGGAGTGAAAGGTATTTTGGAATGGAACTCGCTAGAGTGTTACTTTAATTTATTGGGGTCGTGGCAGATGAGCCACATCTTGCTCCCTACCTGAGTCAATGTGTTCATGCTATAAGTTTATTGATCTGTGACTAGTTAATGATCGCTCAATTTTTTTCCTGTTATAATGTTGTACCTGATTATCTTCTTGACTGTTTGTTCAAGTGACGAGGTCTGATTTCTCGTTTACTTTCATTGTCATGAAGTGAGTAGTTATATGTTACATTAGATCTTTATATTTTCTCTGAACTTGTGTATTGTGCCTTATTACCTCAGAGATACTGTTATGGCCCTCCATAAACATGTTCCTCTCACTTGTTTTGCAACTTTGACTTTGCAAATTGTTGAGTGCCATTGTAAATGCTTAGTTCTGTATTTTTATATGTAAGTCTAATTTTCATGGTCTGAATTGAACTGTTGCAAGAAGTATGACTTGTCTGTATTTATTTACAATGATGTGCAATTCACAATAAACTTGTGATATATTTTAAAAAGAATGTACTGATGGTTTTCTTACTTGCTTTTTTATGAAAAGAAACAAACATTTTTGGAAGAAACAAAACATTTTATTCAACATACTGACTATGCTATAACATTCCTAACAATAAACATTTACCAATAGAGGCAAGACCTCAATACTACATTTGAAAATAATTCAGTTCTTGAATGTTTGAAACATTTCAGCTAAACACAAAAATATCTGTTATAAAGCAGTCCAAATTTTCAAGAGCACAGCACTTGTTTTATCACATACACCCCAACATCAAATTGATTACACAAATAATCAAAAACTACTATTGATAAACAGCACAAAACTCTTGAAAGGTCTCCAATGAAGGAGAAATAATTGAGCTGGATCTTTAGGTATACATGTGTAATAACAGCATAAAATAACATTATAACATCAACATACATAGAAAAGAAATTTGGTTCAAAGGGACTTCAGTTTCTTGGCACAAAAGGAAACAAATGGGTGATCTACAATTACTTAAAATTTAGATTTTGGAATGTAAGCTGACATGCAACTGCTTAAAAACAACGTTTATCACCTTCATAAGAATAAGTACATCAGTCCATCTCATGAAGGTGGCATGTGTTCTTTGGATATCACAAATTAAATTACCCTTTCCCCTATCTAAATATCAGTTTAAAAATAAGGTACAATTCATAACGCTATCTAGTGTAAAATGCAACAGGTACCAATGGTTTGCAAATAGACTGACTAGACAGATATTATTAACAAACAATCAATCCATCCAATATTTTTTAAAATTCTTAGCATGCAGTAGCTATAGCAAGGATATTATTTTCCTCCTCCCTTCTTGCTTTTATTCTTCCATGGGCCACTCCCTGGAACTTGTTTTTTGAGCCTGAAGAATTACAAAAAATTGCATGTTTAGAAGGTAGTTTCAAATCTTGTGCTAGGATTGAAAATAAGAACTTTCTTACCTCCTGTCAGAGATTCCCTCCTCATCACTTTCACAGTCTGCCTTCCTGCAATGAGATAGAATGTAAAAATGTCTTAAAAACCCTCTTTCATCTAAGTGCAAATAGTATGGGTACTTACCGCTTTGACTGCCTTGAAGGACTAGAAAGGCCACCCACTGAAGGGGGTACAAGTATATCCTCCATGTCATGATGTCTTTCTGTATGGTTTAAAGTTAACTGAAGGGTGTCGGGGCCATCATGTGCGAGTAGTAAATTGGAAGTGTTCGCCTGAAAGAGCAAACATGGAACAAATGTCATTCAAACATACCTTATTTTAAATTCTCAGTGATAGCTTTCTTAGAGTCAAAGAAATAAATGTGCAAAAATGCAAATACAGCAAGAAAAAAAACATCTTACCATCATCAAAGAGGAGACAAAATATCGACTAATCTCTCTATGATCCATTCCTTTAACGATATCACTGAAAGGTAAAGTTTGGCCAACATTTTGGAAGGAATTGATAATATTTGTACCATACTCATGCACATCAAATTTTGTTTGCTGCTCCTCTCCAGCAAGTTTGGTTTGAATGAAATGCCTCCAATTTGATACACCTTCACTGTCTACAACAGTCTGCAATGTGACATGTATAAAACAAATGAGAGTTTTATTTGCTCTTGACACAATTAAAAAGACGAAAGTTCTAAATGGTTACCTTCTTAATGGCATTAAAATCCTTTTGGATCTTCTCTTGAAAAGACAATATATTGTCATAATTATCATTTTCATTACTATTTGTTAGATCAACGTCTCCCGTTTCATTAAAGTTATCACCATTATCATCTCCTGTTTCATTAAAATTATCACCATTGTCATATTCATTGGTATCAGTGTCTGGAATGCAAGGTAAAGAAAATAAATCAGAGGTCCTATAATCAACAGCACAGAATATATATCTTCAAAATGGAATCAGCTTTACCAGGTGAATCATCAAGGACGACCTCTTCAAATCCCAGAAAATCTGGAAATACATCACAAAATTACATCAAAGGAAGCGTTCACTGCTTATGTTATTAAATTTGAGTGATAAATATGGGGTGGTCCTAAAATCAACAGTAAAAGTACTAAGATGATTCGTACCTGTCTGATTTTCTAACAGAGAAACTGGAGTAAACCCCTTATCTTTTTCTTCTGTAAAGAAATTGTTTAAATTACAACAAAATTAATGGTTGCGTATAGCTCAAAGTATCAGAGCTACATTAGGACCCTATTCTGGTGACACATACCCAATTTATATCTCTTTTTAATGTACTGCACATGTTTACTAATTAAATTTTTGTCTCCTTTTTTGTTTGACATTGGAGGAAGAAGGCCGTCCATTTTAAGCTCTCTTTTCAAATAGTCGGAGAATAAAAATAGTGTAATATTTTTTTCCGGTTTGCCACCTCGCAGGCCCTGTAAAATTAACCATAATATGTTATAAGGTAAAGGGGAAACTATTTAAAAGGTTAAGCTTAAGGAAAGAAAAGCAAAAAAATTACCTTCTTTGTTAACTCATACGGAAGTTTAAACATAACTTGTTTATTTTCTGGTGGTTTGTCAATTTCTTTTGAGGGGCTTTGACTTTCTGGGATGGATTCTTCCATAGCATCAGTCACCCTGCAATGAAAGGTTTACAGAAAATTAAAATACTGAAAATAAAAATAGGCAAACTTTAAACAATTCAAGTTAAAATTACTTTTCCTGAAGGTTGGACTCAGAAGAAACAAAGGGAATGTTTGATTCGGGTTCATCATCAAACAACCCAGTTTCGTAAGTGCATTCATTGTCTAACACTTGAGTATCTTCTGAGGCAACATCATGCCGGCCATCATCACTGTACTCAGGTGTTGGCATGTTAGAAACACCCACTGAAAGAAGACCCAATGCAAGCATTATTAAGACAGACTACAAGTATTTGACAGTTGCCTAAGAATAAGCAGTCATTGCCACAACTCACCATCCATGACATCCCATACACTTCTTGAGCCTCCATCATTATAAACATATTCCTCTATCTGACAGTTGTGTTCAATAGGCCAGTTCAACCTTAAACCAAAACAATTACGGTATCTTATGATATCTTAGGAGATACTCGTCCTCCATTGTAAAATAAGTTTCCTACCTGAATTGATCCTTTGTACCAATGCTTGCATATTGATCATCCTCAAAAATGTGTAACTCATGGGAATTTAATAAATTTACTGATGCTAGCCTTACGCATACAGCCTCTCTGCAGTGCTTCTTTTTCTTTTTGTGATGATGAATTGTTTTAGTTTTATCTGTTGGAAAACAGTACAAGGATTAGTTAATAAGAATAAAATCTGACAACCTTTTACTGAAATACTGTCACCAAATACTGTACCTAGGGAAATTTTTTGAAATTTGAAATCTTCAACAGAGATGTGTGCAATTGTTTTTCTTCTCCTTGAATTAAGTTTTTTTGTAATAGTAGCTGCAGTATCTACACTTTCCTCTGGGGCAGAGCCAGATGGTCCATACATACGACTATGACAAAAAAAGACACAGTTGTAGTGAAAATACATATCAATAACATCTATATGAGAAAAAAAGGCCAAAAAGTCAAAGAAGACAGACATAAACTAGTTAAAAGAGTGCTTACACATTCATATTTTCACACAGTTCTACAGCGAGATTGTAAACATAGTCTACTTTTCTTCCATAAATTTCAGCACAGTGCTGCAACAGCAAAGCTGCTTCTGGAAAACTAAAATTTTCCATTTCTGGAACATCGTCCCTGAGCTTTTGAGCATAGCCAGCTAAGACCTGTCAAGATTGAAACAAGAAAAGATGTGAATAGAGCTGAATTTAGTGTAACAGCTGAAAAGTAGAAACAAAGTAGATGTGTAATAACTCACTCCACTCAAATCAATATTAAAGTTGCTAGCTAGGTCCAAAAGTCTCGGCAAATGTACATTGAGTACATCCATGATCAAAAAATTCTTTCTAGCCACTGAAAATAAATGAAAAAATAAATAAAGAGAAATAGTTTGGATTCACAGTTATGTTTTGAGGTATGATTGGTGTATCGTGTATAGCTGATCAATGAAGGAGATCTAAGCGCTTAAATGATAACAAAAGGCTGACACCCCAACAGCCATTCAAACACTCTTAACAATTCATAGAAAAGCATGTTCATTGGGGGGTGTAAGGAAAAGGGGAGTCCAGCAATCCAGCAACAACATCGATAAGTTCTAAGGGTCCATGAAAGATGCATACATTCTTGAATGTAAGTAACAACACAAAAAATGTAGGGCAGCTTGAAAAAATAAATGGTAGTAAATAAAGAGCTCAATGTACAAAACTACACAAAATGCAAACGCGCTTGGAAAGCCTGCGACCAAACCAATATGATGATGACAATAAGGCAGGTGAACGTGAGCAGACAAAAGCCTGTCAATGAGTGAAATCGTTCATGGCACTAAATTCTCTCAATATAACCAATACAAACTCGCGGAAGTACCTCAGTATCACCCAAAATCGAGAGCTTTTTATGGCGCTTGGCGCTTTTCGTCCGCACAAAATGGCGATTCGACTTTGATACTGCCAACCTTCTAAAGAGGACATTTAATCGCTGCAACTAAATAAGGCCTTTTAAGTCCGATTTGTTTCATGAAATTTGATTTATTAAAAATGTAATATGGTTTTTATTGTTCAAATGCAGCTGCTGTTTACTTGTTGGTGGAAGCTTATTACGTGCCTCACGTTTTATTTGTTGGTATGAAATTCGACCCCTACCTTCAGCTCGCAGGTTTGTTTTGATTTCCAGAAAACGAGGTTATTGTTGCAAAGAGAAACAAACAACCTGCAGACCGTTAGAGAATTGTCACAACAAAGTGCTCCATATGTGTGCATGAATTTGCGAATCTAGCGAGAGAGTAGTTTGTGCTTCGGCACTTTCCTACATCAAAATGGCTCATCTTAAAGAAATGCTCAAAAAGTGTTCTTGTAAGTTGTTTAGGTAGAGCTGGATTTTGTTGATTACCATAGTTTTTGTTTCAATAGAATTCAAATTTGTTTCAGTAAATGACAAGAAGCCAGTGACAGAAACTGAAGAGGAGCTTTTCATGAAATTCTACAATGAATGGAAAAGAGCATCGGGTCCAGTAGACTCTTCTTACAACTCAATCCCTAGGTTTTACTTCAAAGTATGATTTGTTTTCCACTCTCATTGATTGGCTTTTTTAATGCGCTTATTTTATTACTAAATTCTCTTTTTGCTGCGCACTCTCTGTTCTTCCTACATGCATTTCTTGCCCTAAAATATGTAAAATAATATTTTAATGTTGCAGTTACCAAGTGAGGATGAAGTTCTTCCACAAAAATTGCGTGAGGAGGCTCGTGCCATGTTTTTACAGAGGAGAAGCCGCCAATTACTCGATAATAATGAGCTAAAAGTGAGCAACTTGTTTCGTTTGCTTATTTTCTTTAACCTTCCAGTGTAACATTAACCATCTTATAATCCGTTAGGCTCTATGGGTGCTTCTTGACAAAAACCACAGTGCTCCGCATGCAACAGACAAGCAGCTTATTAATTATGAAGACTTCCTTAAAGTTGCGGCAGAAGCAGGGCCAAAGTGCAAGTGCGTACATTGCTATTATTTGCCATGCTTCTCACATTGTCATCATTTTACTTTTTACAAATTAATTTGCAGGAGTTATTTGACACCAAGTGTCTTTGCAAAGTTGCAATTAAAAGAACCTCATGGCAGAATAAGTATTATGGCCCTTTTTAATTATGTTATGCGTAAAGTATGGCTTCATCAGACCAGAATTGGGCTGTCACTGTATGATGTCACAGGTCAGGGCTATTTACGCGAATCTGTAAGTAAACACGTCTCTGGCAGGTTATTATAGTCCTTGTTAAACTTTGCAAATTAATGCCGTAATTTCTTTCAGGACCTTGAAAATTACATCCTGGAGTTAATTCCTACATTACCTCAACTTGATGGATTAGAGAAGTCTTTTCACAGCTTCTATGTTTGCACAGCAGTACGGAAGTTTCTCTTCTTTTTAGATCCTTTACACACAGGGCGTGTGCGAATTCAAGATATTCTCGCATGCAGCTTTCTAGATGATTTATTAGAGGTGTGTTTTATTTTTTTTACTCATTGTTTCCTTGGCAGCCCAGAGAGAAAAAATCCTAAACTTCAATCTCATTCAATTACGACAAACAGTATAAATTAAATGAAAATTTGTCACAGCTCATACCATAAAAAAGAAATCTCTTCTTCTTATAGTTACGTGATGAAGACTTGCCTAAGGACCTTCAAGAGGCCAATTGGTTCTCTGCCCCATCTGCACTACGTGTATATGGTCAATATCTCAACCTGGATCGTGATCACAATGGGATGCTTAACAAGGAAGAGCTTGCTGGGTTAGTTTCAAGTGTCCATAACATGATATTTAGATTTCAGTTACGGTCTACTTAATACCCCAATTTTATTTCAGATATGGCACAGGCACATTAACAACTGTCTTTTTAGAGAGAGTATTTCAAGAATGCCTCACATATGATGGAGAAATGGATTATAAAACATATCTGGATTTTGTATTAGCATTAGAAAATCGACATGAGCCACAATCATTACATTATCTTTTTAGAATATTGGACATAAACAATCAAGGTTATCTAGATACTTTTTGTTTGAATTTTTTCTTCAGAGTAAGTACTTAACATTATGTGAAGACAATCATTGCGGTTACTAGATAATTGATCAATCCCTTTTTGCCACCTTGTAGGCTATTCAAGAACAGATGTCAGTCCATGGTCAGGAACCAGTCAATTTTGAAGATGTAAAGGATGAAATATTTGATATGGTTAAACCTCAGGATCCAACAAGAATAACTTTGCAAGACCTTTTAAATTGGTAAATATTTTAATACTGACCCATACTTTGGCTCTGTTTGAACCTTGATTTAACCTAAAAATGGAAAGAAACAAACATTGCTACTTTCTTTTCAGTGGACAAGGACACACAATGGTCAGCATACTCATTGATCTAAATGGGTTTTGGAATTATGAAAATAGAGAGGCAATGGCTGCTGATACTGACACTGCAGATGAGTCTGCTGAGGTGTGACAAGAAAGAAAAAAAGAGGAAGGAAGAGAAAGCACCAACCATCAAAGTGGGCAGATCTCAAATTCAACATAAGGGTTGCATCAAGAAACCTATCTGGTAATTACAAATCATAATTTTATCTGATGGGATTTTTAATTTATGTTTAAAAAATGTCACCTTTGAATTCTTCTGATGCGTTTTCCATACATTACTATTAATTTTTCATTTTCTAGACTAGCTAAAAGATCAATAGAAATGTTGCAACAATTGTATGCGTCTAGATAAATCAATTTTGGCAGAAGTTGAGGCAGATGGTTCAAGTAGTCTTTTCCAGTTGGCTGAGGCAGGTGGCTCATCTTAAGAGTGTGAAGATTGGAACAAAATTGGAAAATGCTGGCCAGTCCATTGTCAGTTATCAAGTGACAGCTGCTAATATCCAAAGTTTCCACTTGTGAGCACCTAGAAACATTTTCCAATTAATTTGAATTCTCCTAAACCCTCTTAAGTAGAATTACCTGAGCTCCCCTCCATGCTTTACTTACTTGATACTAATTTCTTGTATCACTTCATCATTGAGATTTGGACAGTCAAAGAAGTCTAGATGTTTCAAATGAGGGAAGTTTGAGTTGTAGACAAAATTAAGAAGACCATTTGTTGAGAAACTATGACCACGCCACAATTGAAGGCATTGCAATTTGGAAAGACTAAGAAGATTCAGTAAATCTCTGTCCAAAATTTCACAGCAATCCTCTAGTGTCAAAGTTTCCAGTCTGGGAACACCAATAAAATAATGTAACTTACATTATATTCTGTAAGCTCTGTTACATAAACAAGTCTATTAAATTAAGTGAGCCCAAACCTTCTTTTTTCTCCGATTGCTTGCATGATTTCTCCATTTGGTGTTATATGCGCTCCAAGCTGTAATGTTTGCAAACCATCTGGTAACAAACTCAACATTCTTTTAACTCCTTGCATCTGTCTGCGATGGTTTTCTGTTTGACAACAGCTTGTTAAACGTAGAGCACTGAGGGAGATGCACTCAACAGATAAGAGGCCCATTGCCCACACACAACAATCCTGATGGGAAAAATGCATATCCAGATGTTAGATTTCATTTTAGTCTCAGCATTTTCACTGTGTAATATGCATGGCAATAGAAGACTGAAGACAGTGCTGCTGCCACTAAATAGGAATCATTGATTAGATGTTAAGTAGACTGGAAACCAAGATATGGTATGAAATGAACCATTAGTGTTAAAATAAAGAAAGGTATTTCCACCAAAAAATATTAATAATTATTACAACAAACCATAGAATATATCCCACTTACAGCTTTAATGGTCAGAGATTTCAAGCCCCTGGCTATGCCTGATATTGATGAATACCAATTATTGTCGAGTTCCATTCCCTCAAGAGTAAGAGATTGAATGGAGCCTTTGTAATGTCTACAAAAGTTGACAAATTATCGAAGTAGCAACTTCAGAGAGAACAAAGCACATCTTGCCAGTAAAGGAGGCTTACCTTCCAAGATTTGAAAGAATATCAGGATCCATCTCTTCACCACTTATCACTAATTCTTGAATACTTGAGCAGTTGCAGAATAGCATTGGCAAAAGACAACCCAGACTCGAACTGTCTTTCAGAGTTAATTTTCGAAATGCAGATGCTGTCTGAAATATGGATACTTGCTCTCTTCTGCCCCTTACACCAGCTAGATAAGAAATGTTTGTATCACTTAAGTGTTTAAACTTAACAAATTCTATCGGCACATGTATATAACTACCATCTACAGTGTAATCTAAACGCTTCCATAGCTGAAAAGCACTGGCATACACTCTCCATAATGTGCAAACTTTTGCAACGTTGTCACTCAATTCTGATGCTGACAAGTACGAGAAAATACAGAGAGCAATTTCTTCTGGCAGACCTAAAATATTGACGTCAGGCCCGCAATCTGAAATGTACATATTATTTTCATTAAAAGTAATGGAAATGAAAAACAACTCACATGCTCGTTTCTATACCTTCAGGATTTGCATCGGCCATGAATGAGGGGTGTAGAAGTATAGGATGTTAGGTAGAATTGAATTTCGCCTTAAATGAAGTTCATCCAGCACAGTAAAATTCGTAGAAAGCAACAAGCAGACGACGCATGCAGAAGACGTAGTAGTGGTTCTATATTCGAATTGAAATTCAGTATGAGAATATACAGCAGATTTGCTTATTTGCTGAGTGCTGCAGGTACTGCACGTTGCCAGGGCGCAAAATTTAACGGTTTGAAACTAAATTCAGGATGAATTAGGTCTTATCAAAAAGAAGGGGTAGCAAAATTGAGCTTCGGGAGGGGGACTCAACGTTTTGAGTGTTTTGAGTACGTTCAGTTTCGTAAATTTCTCATCCAAGGCGCATAGGCGGCCATTCCGGTAGTGCTTTTTGCCTACCTTGTCGGAGTTGCGGCAGTGCAATAATAAACATGGATGCCTGTAACGCGGTCGAGGAAGAGGTTGATAAGATTTTACTTAAATTCACCGGCATAAAGGAACATGCAGACCGGGTTCTCAGCGACATTACGAACCATGTTGAATCGTTGAAGAAGGAAATGGACGAATGTAAGCGTTTGAGCCTTTTTGATACAATATTGCGCGCAAGCCCTACCTGTCATGTTTTGGGTGGAGGGTGGATGAGAAAGCTTAACTTGAGCCTAAAAATAATGCAAAATCCTTCCTTGTCATGGAGTTTTCAGTGTTAAAATTAATGTACATATTTCTGGCATCGAACCTGGAGTCTTTTCATCGTTAAATAAAACCTCTCAACGACTTACTTTCTCTGGCATTTATTGTTCATTGGGGTCAATGTTTTTATTGGACTTTAACCTATTTGTCTTTCCTTTCCCTTTTCATGGATAATTTTAGTTAAGAGAGTTATATTTTTTGCTTGTCTTTACCCCTCAATATGTAACTCCCCTGTTTGTGTCTCTGCAGCTCCTCCAGACCATGAGTTGACAGCAGCGCAGATTCTTATTATGAAGGAAGCCTTAAGCAAAGTGCGAGAGACAGTACAACGCTTAGCAGGTGATCACCGTGACATTCACACAACCATATGTAAACTTGGTCGGGCGATTGACAGGGTAAGATAGGTCTCTTCTTACTTTCAAGCATTTTATTGCACAGTTTTATTTATATCCACTGTTCTCTTCCAGAATTTTGATTCTGACTTCGCATCTGTAAGCCGAGAAGATGTGTTTGGTGGATTTGAACAGGTTCTATTACTAAATCGGGTTATTTGTCAACACTTTTACCGACATGGAATGCTCGACATTGCTGGTGAACTAGCAAGGGTATGTTGATTCATTTAACCTGTTAACCTGTGAGGAGGTGTTTGCTATATTAAGTTGTCTCTCTGTAATTTGTAGGAATCTGGTTTGAAATCTGAGGAAGGTCACAAAGAACCTTTTACTGAGCTCAACAACATACTTGACAGCTTGAAAGAAAGAGACTTGGCTCCAGCTTTGGCCTGGGCAGAAAGTCACAGAGACAGTTTAGAGGCCCAGGTAAGCAAAGTTTATCTTTATCCCCCATCATATTCATACCAAGATAATGTTGTTATTCTTAACCTATTCTTGTTTAATGTCTTCCATTTAGAATTCATCTTTGGAATTTAAACTGCATCGACTACAATTTATTGGCCTAATTCAGGAAGGGGCATCAAGGCAAAATGAAGCAATTCAATATGCTCGCACCCATTTCAGCCAGTTTGTCCGTAGGCATGAAAAAGGTAGCCTTTGTTTTTATGCAGGGTTTTTGTTTTTTGTTTTCTTTTTACCATGATTACTTAATTGGTTTGTACAGAAATACAAAACCTCATGGGAATGTTCCTGTATCTACCTCACGGAGTAAACAAATCTCCCTACAATCATCTATTGGATCCAAATCTCTGGTCAGAGATTTATGATGTGTTCACTCGTGATGCATGTTCATTGCTTGGGCTTAGTGTGGATAGCCCTTTGTCAGTGTGGTAAGCAAAGTTTCAAGTATATTCTGAAAAAAAAAAACTTGAGTTCTTTATTCTCAATTCTAACCACATTTTTTCCATGTAGCATTAATGCAGGTTGCACTGCTCTACCAGCATTGCTGAAGATAAAACATTTAATGCAACAACGTCAGGTTGCAGGCATTTGGAATGGGAAAGATGAACTTCCGGTAAATTAAGACAATCTAATTTTGTTTTAGATATAATTTTTTTTCTTTTTCTTAACTTGGTTGTATTCCATCATTTTAGATTGAAATTGATTTGGGACAAGAAAATCGGTATCATTCTGTATTTGCTTGTCCTATTTTACGCCATCCAAGTTCTGACTCCAACCCACCAATGAGATTAGTTTGTGGACATGTAATCTCTCGGGATGCGTTGAATAAACTGGTCAGCAGTAACAAGTAAGCATTTTAATTAAAATAACTTTACCCATGGGATGTACCTTGAATGTCAACTGCATCATTTCAACTATTTTCAGATTGAAATGTCCATACTGTCCTGTTGAACAAAATCCATCAGATGCAAGACTTATTTACTTCTAAATGGTATAAGTTTGAAGATTGCAATTTGCAAGATTGTAGTCATACTGATCGACGCCACCATTGGGAGTCCTCAACAAGAGTCCGTCAACAACACCCTGTTTGTGTGTGTGTGTGTGTGCGTGCGCGTGTGTGTGTGTGTCTGTGCAAGTCTTTCATATTTCAAAAAAAGCTTTTTTTTTTTTTTTACTGACCAGATTAGGTTTGTCATCTATGAGGTGCTGAAGTCAAATACTTCTAATGGATCAAAGATGTTTGCTTTTGGGAATGTCTACTGAATATACTTTCTCCATATACTTCAGTTTTCATTGAGAACTCTGAACTGTGTAATTGAATGAGCATCCATAGTACATATTATTACTAGGAATTCTGATAAAGGACTGAGAGGACAATTGTTGTGCCACAATCATGATCTGTTCTCTCCGAAAAGAAAAAAGAAAGCGAAACAACTATGAGGAAAAGTGTGTTCATCAATTAATCGTGAAGAAAAGAAAAGAGAAAAAAATGCATTCTGCCATTTTTTTACCGCAATATTTATATCCTAACTAAGAGTAGCTATTGTACTTTTTATTTCTTTTAATTAATTTGTAGCAGGATCTTAATCTTATAGGACTTAAAAAGTAGTTTTTGTTGGGCATTACTATTCGTCATTCAGTAGTGCCTTGGTTTCTCTGGAATGCAAAAGAAATATTTACTTAATGACTTATATGTCTCATTTTGACTTTCCACTTTCAGAATTGTATCTCTAACTCCACTTCTGTGTAATAAACCATTGATAGGAAGTGGCCAATTTCTCTGTATGTTACTGTTTATTTTACATTGTTTTTCTATAGGAGTATAAACATTGAATGTTAGAAGCAAGTTTGATACTGTGTTATGTTTTGTGTGTATATGTTTGGATAGGAAATTGGTTTTGGGAACACATCGGTGTGTCAGATACCGGTAATAGCATAGATTCTTAGACAGCAGCTTTCACAGAAGCACCCCTTTTTCCCATAGAAGAGCTCTTATTGTCACAGATGCAAGCTCACAGACTACAAATCTATGTAATGGACTACATGAATATTGTAGACTGAAGAGTGCTCTTAATGACATGGGTACTATTAAATGATGCGCTCCTTGTCTTGTGACAAGGTCCTTTGCTTATTGTTGGTCTCTGCTACTTTTCCTTCCCAGCTCTCTTCCAGAATTGTTTATACTGACCCTACACTTAATATGAGTGCTATCATATTTTTGGGTGGTTGGGATACTCTGAAGAAATAAATTGTACTGTACATTCATAAATGTTTATATTTCTCTTGTGATAAAAGTAACATGATGAAAATATCAGTGTGCTTATTTTACATAATAATAATCTTATGAACAGGTTGAAAGCCTCTGAATATTATAAATCTTGTTGTCTATTGTAATCATCAATTGTATCTTTGAAGAGCACATTCTCAAATAACTGAATACCGTTAGCCTACACAGATGTTGTAATTTAGAACTACAAAGTAAGTTTCTATTTGTTTTTAAAAATGTGCTCTGAAACCATGCTTATTGTGATCGTTTTGTTTCAATAAAAAGTTAAAAGAAAATGTTCAGGCTTGTGATTTACAGTAAATTTGGCTCAAGATGTTGGTTTTGACTCAAGTTTCTGTGTCAGCTTTCTTGATATAAATTTCCAATACTCTTTTCGAATTTTGTCATACTCAAGAGCAAGATCTTCACAAAGCTGCAAAAAAAATACAAAAAAAAACTCAATATACAGGAAATAATTGAGGAAAATTCACTTTCACCTTGAATGTAAATCAAATACTTACCTGAAGTGCTTTCTGAATAGTGTAAAACTCATTATTAATACCGAGTTCAAAAGACTCTTCACATACATCTATGATAAATGCAAGGAGGTATGGTCCTCTACTTCCACTCTCATACAGATCCTGACAGAATTTTAAAACAAAGTCTTCTGAACTTATATTGCCAGACTCTGTGTGACACAAAATACTGCAAAAGAAAGACTGTGAAAAGGGACTGCAAAATGAATGACCCAAAAACAATTAAAATTTTTCATTGTAACTTCATACCCCCTCAAGTAGTTCCATGCACTCTCATTGTTCTCTAATTCTCGTATTCTACTTGTGGTGAAGATTAATTCTTTGTTTATGACATCCGGAATAAACCCACTGGTCTGAACAATAACAAAGTGTCGCTGATTCCAAGCAGAGTTGTTACGAACATCAGTTTCCAGAAGACTGTCCACAAATTCCATTTCAGCGGTATATAATCTGAAAAGGAAAGAGTGTAAAACTACCTTCCACACAAATATAAGTTTGAAAAAAAAATGACTAACTCACTTAAAAGTTGTCACAACCCACTGCCGATGTTGCCATGCATGATAGTTCTTAGCATCTAGCATAAGTATATCACTTGTAAATTGCAGTTCTTTTGAAGCATCATTCAACCATTCAACTATCACTCTTCTATGGTGCCAAACTTGGTAATTTTTGGGATGCTCGTTTATAGTATCACTGATATATGCTAATTCAGTCTGGAGATCTGAGTTTAAGTGAAGCAAAACATCTCTCCTGCGGGAAAACCTTGCATCACAGACTCTGAAGAACAGATCAACCAGAACGTCAGAAACAAGCAAAGCATTAATTTATACCTGTACTGCCACACTGTGTAGTTTGCTGGGTTGAGCTGTGCAGCATCATTCGTAAGGTCTAAGACTCTCTCACTCTTTTCCCCAGACCTCAAGACAGCCCGAAAATAATCATACACATCACGAACTGAAGCAAATAACAACAAGTTAGTATATCTACAAACAAATATACATTTTCACACGCACAGTACAACGGATTCTGCCCTTGAAACAAAAGAAATGCTATAAAGAAGTTCCAAGAGCGCGAAAGAAATGTTTAGAGGGACATGCGGCCTGGATAAAGACTTGTCAGACCGAATTGACAAATGAGGGTTAGGTTTACATTGTTCTGAGTAGGCGATTGCGACCACAGGGTTGGGTCCGTCGTCCTGAGCCACTGGAGTCACATCTCTCCACTGCGGTCTGTCCTTGTACAAAACATAGTCTTCCTCATAAGTACAATCAGAACTACTGTCCGTCATTTTGAAATAACAGAAACAGTAAGCATATAAAATTTCAATATCACACCGTGCTAGAAGCAGACAACAACAGTGTTGCCATACTAGGCGGAAGGAATTTGCGCTCGTGCGTAGGTTCAAATGAGTTGCCCTTCATGGAGCAAAATATTGGATTGCAAATGCCACAAAAGATTTACTCAGTTTTAGCAAGCCATGAAACCCTCTTTGTTCCAATAATTAAACTAGTTTTTTTTTCCACTTACAGCCAGACTGGCCGACTGGCCCGGCAGACTCCGCGCCAACTTTCGAATCGCTGCGGACGTGTGGAGTGGCTCGTTGGAGTTGGAACTGCCCCCATTTTTAAAGGCTCGAAAGAAGCCGGCCCCTTAAAAACCAGAGTGTAGAACAGCTCCGGTCAAAGGCATCACCGTACTTAAGCTAGTAAGTTACCATAGAAGATGCCCGTCCTGGAGCAGAGAGGGAGCGCGAGCGCCTGTGCTGACACCATTGTTGCCTTCAGGTGCGATTCGGCGACATGCAAGCGATGCAAGCCCCCGCGGCAGTGCCCGTGGAAGTCCGAGACAGCTTCACGAGTGACCCGTTCTTCTTGGCCGCTCGGGAGGCCCTCGAGAGGTGCCTGGTGGAGCTAACGCAGAAACACCGCCAAGAGCAGAACGTTGGATTTGCAGCGGCAGCCCACTGTTGTTGCTGCTGTTGCGGCCCGCAGGCAGGGACTGGGCTGGGGAACTGGCCACTGACTGCATTCATTCCCTGTCTGCTTTGCTGCCCGAATCCCCAGGTAAAAACGTGTCATGAGTTCATCCTGCGTGTGTCCAAAAGGCTGCGAAGCATTCAGCATTCTCTTAAACAGGTTCGACCGGCACCCCAGATGGCAACCCTAACAGAGCAAATCAGCCCTGCCTGCCTCTTGGCAGGCCAACTGTCATTTACCCCAAACAACTTTGAGGTAGGTGAAATATTAGTTGGCAAGCAACAAGTGATTATTTCATTGCTGTACAGCCTGTTTCGTACACAGCTGCTCCTGAACGTCCAAGGTTTTCAACCACATGAGATTCAAGTCAGGGTGAAAGACGATCATGTCGAAGTGTGTGCAGAACAATCAGCGCTTTCCCAGCAACACACATTTCAGTCTACGTCAAAAAGGTAATTATGGCAGTGTGAGAGTAACCATGACGTGTATAATGAATGTATACTTTGCCCAGGTACCTGCTTCCCTGCCCTGTAAATGCAGATTTGGTCCAGTGCAGCCTTTCCAAAGATGGGATCTTACTGCTTACCGCACCATGGAAATAAACATGTGAAGGGAACAAAGTGTACAATAAATTCCAAGACAACTTTTTTTTATTCACCAAATTTACTTCTTAGGGGCAGCCTTGGCCTTTGCAGCTTTCTTCTCTTTAACAGGCTTAGGTACAACAGGCTTGGCACGAAGGGCAGCCTTCTGCTCAGGGGTCCTCTTGACCTTGGTCCTCTTCTTGGTGGGCTTAGCCGTACGAGCATCACGCTTGGCAGGCACAACAGGAGTCTGCAGAAGAAAAAAACAAAACTGTTAGGTCTCCTTCCATATCTAGTCATGAATAAAAATAAATATCAATTGTGCTAAGTGTAGTGTTCCATCCTTGATTCACTTTGACAAGCACTAATCTCCTGGCAAAGGCGACAAGTTGGATTCAATGTTTGCACAAGCTAATAGCATCAAGTAAGTAACTTGCTGCAAGTTAAAAGCTGTGCAAACTAAACAAAACTACGCTGTCTCTCATCCATGAAACATTATAAAAGCAGAGCAAAGCAGGCTGATTTGAGGGAACTTACACCACGCTTCTTGGCAAGGAAATCAGCCTTGGCCTTCACACGCCTCTGGAGAGTCAGGATGGCGTTCCTCTTGAGAACAGCAGCGTAAGGGTTCAGCTTCAGCATGGCACGCTGGTTGCGCAGAGGGTTGTGCTTGCGCACACTGCGGACAACTCGGGTCTGGGCGGGCCTCAGGACCTTCCTGATTTCCTCAGACTTGAGAAGTCGGCTAAGGTCAGTGTTTCCCATCTTGGGCATGGGCAGGTTGTAGCCCTTCTTGACCTTGGACGAACGCTTCCAGGTGCCGTACAGCTTGTCCAACTCCTTGAATGCGGACTCGGTCCAGATGATGAAGCGGCCGACGTGGCCACCGGGAGCCAGCTTCAGCAGGTTCATCTTGGCGACGGGCACGCAGTCAATGCCGGGGATGTTACGGAATGCTCGGACTACACCTTGGTCAGTTCCATAGATGACCAGAGGACCGCGACGCTGGATGCGACGGCGGTTACGCATCTTACCCTTACCAGCTCGGAGGCGGCGGGATTTGTACACCTGCAACACAAATACTTGCGTTAGAACACGTATCACATTAATGAGGTGTCACCGATCTTGCACTCCTGTAACAACCCGCATCCACAGAGGGTACACCAAAAATATCCTTGGATGGACATTGGAACAATTAGAGAATATTTCGTAATGCTAGGATGTCAGAAGCCTTTGCCCCCACAACAGGCGAGAAAGCCTTGTTATGGGAATGCCTAGGAAACTTGCTCCTTTAGCACTGAAAACCTTAGCTAAACCCATATTGGGCACAGCAGAAGTATCATTGCAGATCAGTGACAAACTCAAAATGCAAGGATATAACAACACTGTCAGAAGCCTTTGCCCCCACAACAGACAAAAAAGCCTTGCTGAGGGAATGCCTAGGAAACTTATTCCTATAGCACTGGAGCCTATCTTGGGCACAGCAAAAGTATCATTGCAAATCAGTGATGAAACCCATAATGCACTGTTAAAAGCCTTTGCCTCCACAGCAGACGAGAAAGCCTTAAGGTAGGAATGCCGAGGAGACTTGTCCCTAAAGCACTTAAAACTCAACCTCAGCAATTAGAGTCTCTTAACACTATGAAACTAAAAAGTTGGCAGATACAAGCTTGACTGCAATGATCGTTAAAAAAGGAACCAGACACTGGTACAGCTTGATAAGGAAACACTGCTTTATAAACTTTGTACAACAAGGGCACATGTTCAAAGGTATGAGAAACCAGTGGCTTTAGACCCTTCCTGGTTGTTATTGCATTCCGTTTCACACTCCAATCAATTGGTGAAGAAAGCAGGATAAGAATGCTGGAGAAATGTGCAGCTGCTAAGGGCAGCATTCATAACCAATAACAGTTAAACCACTAGTACAAACTTTATACAAGAAGAGTAAGAATTCAAAGGTTTAGGGGACCAGTGACTGTTATACCCTTCCTGGTTGATATTGCATTCCGTTTCACACTCCAATCAACTGGTGAAGAAAGCAGGATAAGAATGCTGGAGAAATATGCAGCTGTTAGCTAAAGCACTCCTTCCGGACATCAGGTAAACCAATACGATACACTAACTTTGTACAAGAAGAGTAAGAATTCAAAGATAAGAGACCAGTGACTGTTAAACCCTTCCTGGTTGGTATTGCATTCCGTTTCACACTCTAATCAATTAGTGAAGAAAGCAGGATAAGAATGCTACAAAAAATTTCAGTTGACTACCGCCTACCTTTTCAATATCAGCCCAGGCATTGATGCTCTTCAGGAACGCAACAGCCTGCTTGGTCTTGGTGAGTTCCTGGACTTTGTCACTGACGACAAGGGGGAGCTCAGGGATGTTGTCAATAACATGACCCTTGGACTGGACGAGAGCAGGGACTCCAGAAGCAGCAATGGCTGACACCAGGGCGTATCTCTTCTGGTTGACATTGATATGGCGGTGCCAGCGGCGCCATGGCTTAGTGGGGGCAAACATGCGACCACCTCGGCACATGTTACCGAAGGCACCCTGGCCAGAGCGGTGAGTACCACCACCTCGGACACGAGGAATACGGGCTACAGCACGACCAGTACCCCATGACTCCGCACTGGTTTGGTGTCCTGTAACCAAGAGAACCGTTAGATTAATAATGCTGACTTTAAATAACACAAAAAATTAATAAGAGCAACAAAGTAGAAGACAACAGCAATCAGATAGTGTCAATGTGAAAAGAATCACAGTCAAATCAGAACCCAATGCTCTGAAAAGGAATATCATCACACAGTAGACAGACTAACACTACTTGAGAACTACCAAGACAATCAAATGAATTCAGACATTGTCAATGTGAAAAAATATCACAGTCAATCAGAACCCAATGCTCTGAAAAGCGATGTCATCACATGCAGATAAGATATTAAAAACCACACACTAATGTAAAGGAGTTATGATTTCTCAGGCATGATAAACAAATGCATTCAGATATTGTCAATGTGAAAAAGGATCACAGTCAATCAGAACCCAATGCTCTGAAAAGAGATATCATCACATGCAGTTGACATATCAGGATTGAAAATTAACTTGTTGCCATGGTTGAAAAGTTCAATCAGCTGCGCCTGAAGAGTATTCAAACCACTCAAGACACTAACAAGAATTCAAATGTAAAAAACAATGCAAAACAATTTTTTTTAAAAAGGGATATCATGCACACCTTGGTTAAAAGATAAGGTATTTAATACTTGCCTGCTTGATCATTGACACTGTACGGCTGACGATGGTTCTTAGCCATATTCTGGTGAACGAAGTTCACGACATCAGGGCGAATGGGAGCCTTGAAGATCGCAGGCAGATTAATTGTGCTGCCTGTGGCCTCATTCTTCTCGCTGTACACACTGATGAGGGGGCGGGCTGTTGAAATCGACTGAAACAAGAAATAAAATCATGTAGTTGGAGAACGCCAAGGAAAACAGGTGTCCATGTCCACAAAGCTAATTGCAAATAAATACAAAATCAGCCCCTGACAGTTCCCTGTATTTCGCTTGAGTTAAGAAAGGGGCAGGTTCGGAAAAGAAATCATGGGAACATCAGACGAGAAGGTTGACAAGCACTTAAACCAAGCAAGGCTCGGTGGCAACGATACTGACAAAATATGGAAAAGTCACAAACCATAATAAAATTGGGGATAGCGGAACATGTGGACCTCGAGGAAGCTTACAGAAAAAGGCCCTCAGCGCCGCGCGAGCTGTGGCCGGACGCCACGGGGAGACCGCGAGGGACAGGGACAACAAAACCCCCACCGCACCCTGGACGCGGGCACGGCATCAAAACAGATGCAGCTTCAAAAGAAGCGTGTTCACAAAAAACCTGCGTCCCAGGGAAACGCGACGCGTAAAAATCACGAAACGAACACTCCGCGCAAGCACTACCCGAAAAATGGACTACAAGTCAAGTCGCACACGCGATGGACTATCTTACACGCTACACGTGTGATGATAACCTAAACGGGCCTATCAGACTTTCCGTCATAAAACTTGAGGCAAGTAATGAGTAACATATATAACACGCAAGGCTTAAAGCGCTTTCTGTTCCGACACGAAATTTATCAACACTGTTGGCCTAGACGCGCGAAACACTTACCATTTTTAATCCTAAAGTGAGCTGAGCCGCAAGAGAACTTCGGCTTTACAGCTCCGCCATTCCATAAAGACGGAAGTAGCTCACACGTATCGCGGTGAAGCTCAGACCGGCGACAGTACCATCACAGTAAAAATAAAATGGCCTACAACAATGTCACCAATGCTGAAAAATCCTGATTAATACAAAAAAATTTAAATGAAAGTCAATTTTGAAAACTTTTCAATTGACTTTAACCTTCTTTTTTTTCTGGACATTTAAAATAAAACTGTTAAGATTTGAATCAAATATTGCTGAAACTGTTTACCTTGTTTTTATCCGTTTGAAAGTGTTTCCGGTCACTAGAGGTCACTTTGAGACAGTGTTGTGGTGAAGTGCAAATTTGTACTTTGTTTTGCTTCATACATACAGAATATATATTCCAAAAAAAAGCCAAATTTTTTTAACATTATTTTATTAAACTGTTTTTCTTTCTCCGTTGAATAGCACCGTAGCGGAAAAAGTTAAGCAGAGAATGTTGGTACACCTCTTCGACAGCGCGTAAATATAAATATGTTTCTGGGTGCGGCACGGAGGGTGTCTCGCGTTTCGACCATTATGACGGGCACTTGCAGACTCTATCGTGGCCACTAGACACACATTTGTATTACGAAAATGAGTCAGCTAGGCACAAACGTGAGCTAGAGCTATCAGCTTGGTAGCGCAAAACTGCACTGCGGCTTTCGTGGAGGCCTCTAGGGCTTGCGTCTTGGGCTTGGGTCTGAATATTTACTTGTGGCAATAGCTTGTCTCTATGATAATGCCCACAGGGACCTTAGTGGATGGGTTACTCCCTTACCGGCACCAGGTTTATTTTTTGACGGGTAGTTCGTAGAAACCCAGGCGCATCCAGATACGATCCAGGGGACCGTGTGTAAAGTCGCCCGCGACACAGCTGAGACCGCTCTGAGGGGCCATGTCTCACTAGTGAATTTAGCCAAATCGGAGGTGCGGCCTTAGCCTGCCAAAGGTAAATATTATTGATTGTTTAGTAGCGGTTTCAAAAGACAGTTGTGGGCTTTTACGATTCAACTATCAGGCCGCTTCGCACCCTCACTCGTTGACTGCTGATTTATGATACCTATGTAGGGAAGTGAGGTTATGCTGGTTGGGCTTCTTGTCCAAGTCACTTGGAATTGGAAAAGCATCCTGATTCAAATAAGTGGAGCTCCTCTGATTTGCAAAGTTTTTCGAAGACTTATATTTTTTCTGTTTTAATTGTAATAGCACTGTAGCTTTGTTTGCTGAATGTTGATGGATCAGGCTATTATTAGACACTGTTTACAGTGGTAATTTTATTACATTGTTTACCTTTTTAAAAGTATCGTGTTGTATTCTTGTCTCTTCCTATGGCAACAAAATGCTTCCTGTTGCCCTTACATGCGTCTAGCATTTCTAAGAGGGAAATGTTGTCACTTTGTTTGATAGTGATAGCCAAGGTTTTTGACAGGTTATCTATTGTTGTTTTGGTTTTAAATAACTGAAACACTCTTTTCTAATTATAAATGCTTGTGCAAGGTTTTCTTGAAACAGTCCATAGAAAGTGCCAGAGGCAGCCCTTTTCTCATCCTTTCTACCCTTGTTGTCAACTGTCTCTTTTAAAGGTGCCACCTCCCCCACTTCATTCTGTCTCTAAAACTTAAGTCAAAGTTCTTTGTTTTTTTGGTTCCAGATCAAGATGGATGCAGTAAAGGATGAAGACCGCAAACGGCGGTTGCGACTTTTGGAAGAAAAAATTCAAGACCCTCGTAGTGTCACAAATGTTGACTGTCTTCTTGTACGTTTTCAGACTGCAACCTTTACTTAGCAGTGCATTGAATTTTTATTTTTTGTTTTGACATTTTCTTTTCATAATTTTCTGTTCTACTCGTATTTTAGGATACTGTTCAGGCATTAGTCTCAGACTGCGACCATCCCTCAGTCAAACGAATGAAAAACATTGAAGCTTATATGAATAGATGTGAGTTTGACATAAATGTATCACTTCTTAAAATTGCTATGTCTCTCAAATTCAAGCTGCGCTCCACTGCTATTTTTTCTGACTAATGACTATCTCACCCTTCCTTCACAGATGATAATGCAGCATCAGACATTTGTAACCTGAGAATGAAGACTGATGACTTCACACTCATCAAAGTAATCGGACGAGGAGCATTTGGAGAGGTCCAATTGGTAAGTGAACAAATTAATACTTTCTAAAGGAAGCTTGAGCAAACTACAACTGCTGCTACTGTTCATGTTTTTCAGGTTCGGCACAAATATACCAAAAAAGTTTTTGCAATGAAGTTGCTTAGTAAATTTGAAATGGTAAGTCATAGTGGAAATAGTGAAAGCCAAATAGTATAGTTGTTTCCTTTAATTTTTATTAGTTTTATAATTTTACTTCCTTTGTTTGAATTTTGTTTAAATTTTATTTGTAGATAAAACGCTCTGACTCTGCCTTTTTTTGGGAGGAAAGAGACATTATGGCGCATGCAAACTCAGAATGGATTGTACAGCTACATTTTGCTTTTCAAGATCAGAAATATCTTTACATGGTTATGGATTACATGCCAGGTAATCTGAGTTCTTGAGACGAATAAAAATAATTGAGTCTGTTTGATGTTCCAGAATTAATAATTCCTTATTTGTTATGTCTTATATTTACACATACACATGTGCTGTATATAATGTTTGCTGTATTTTGGTGACAGGTGGAGATTTAGTTAATCTTATGTCTAACTACGTAGTGCCCGAAAAATGGGCAAAGTTCTATTGCGCTGAAGTAGTGTTGGCGCTGGACGCCATACATTCAATGGGATTTGTGCACAGGTATAAATAAAGCACTCCTTGTGTCAGTCTACTACTGTACTCTATCAAGGAGCGTCATTATTGAATGGTTTTTCTTTTTATACCTTGTGATAAATGTGATCTATTCTGCAGGGATGTAAAGCCAGATAATATGCTGCTGGACAGACATGGGCATCTAAAGTTGGCAGATTTTGGGACATGCATGAAAATGGATACAGTGAGTTCACTTGTACAACAAGCATTTTCATCTATTTATTTTTCTAGGTTTCTGTTTATGATATTGTTTTGTGTGTTTTAGGATGGCCTAGTTCGTTCAGATACTGCTGTAGGAACACCAGACTACATTTCGCCTGAGGTCCTTCAATCACAGGGAGGAGAGGGTGTTTATGGACGAGAATGTGACTGGTGGTCTGTTGGTGTCTTTTTGTATGAAATGTTGGTTGGAGATACTCCATTTTATGCTGACAGTCTTGTAGGCACATATTCTAAAATCATGGACCACAGCAACTCCCTTCACTTTCCTTCTGACACTGAAATTTCTCATCATGCAAAGTCGCTTATCTATGGATTCCTCACTGATAGGTATTTCTTTTATCTCTTTCCGTTCTCTTCCATATTGATTACAGCATTCTTAAGTTGTCTTTTTTTTCCTGTTTTTTTTTTCTCTTGTGCTTTTAGAACCAAGCGTTTAGGAAGGAATGGCGTGGAAGAAATCAAGTCCCACCCCTTCTTTAAAAATGATCAATGGACATTTGACAATCTTCGAGAATGTATGATTATTTGTTATTTGTACCTTACATATACATCCTGACAGTCCAAATTGTGATTGACTTTGATTGCTCATCTTCCTTTAGGTGTGCCACCTGTTGTACCAGAATTGTCAGGAGATGATGATACTAGTAATTTTGATGAAGTTGACAAAGATGAGACTCCAGAGGAGAATTTTTCCACTCCCAAGGCATTTGCTGGAAACCATTTACCATTTGTTGGTTTTACATATTCAAGGGATTACCAGTAAGCAAAAATTAATGCTCTCTAAGCATGTTTTTAATTATCTTGTGCAATTTCTGGGAACTCCTTTTATAAATGTACTTTTTCCTTTTATTTTTAGGTTGATGGGAGGCAAGCATTTGGACTCGCAGGATGCTGTAAGTTTTTTGATTAGTTTTAGTGCTCTATAGTTTAAAGATGTGGAAGAATTCTTCTTTTCTTTTCTGCCTATTATATGGTGTCAGTATCTGCTGTAAATGTTTCTGTCATGTCTTCTAAGATCAATACCTGTTGTGTGTTTCATGTCTGTGCTGTTATATGTTACTTAAAACTATTGCAACATGTACAGGTGGATAATGTAAGTTCAGATCTTCTCCATACTATTTGTGTCTCCACTTACATCAATATACACTCGCTGCCTTATTTTAAATGAGCTTTTAGCTCCGTCAGCTGCACAATATACTAGATGAGTTGGTTTGGAATGAACTCGTGTGACACAGTTAACTTTATTTACAGTGTTCTACAAACCATGTTAGTGGAGCAGGGGAATCTCCGTTTCACACAAAACAACTGGAGGCAGAGTTGGAAACAGAACGCAGGCTAGTTGAAGGACTTGAAGCTAAGCAGAGAACATTGGTGGCACGACTTGATTCTGTCACCAAGCGGGAAGCAGAGCTGAGAGAGGAAGCAAATGCATTAGAAAAGTCCCTCACCATCATAAAACACGATCTCAAAGAAGTAGGTCTTCTTCCTTGCTTTAATTATTTTGTTTACTCTTTTATTGACGTATTTTCTAGTGGGTAAAATTTTTTGTAATTTTAAAATTTTGGTTGTGTTTTTAATTATAGAGTCAAAGAAAAGCAGATGGTGAAAATGAAGCCAGGAGAAAAGCTGAGTCGCTACTGCATGATATGAAACGTAAACTCGATGAGGAGACAAATAAAAGAACAAGAGAAATGAATAACAACCAACAAACAAGTGATAAGATGTTTGCTCTAGAGAAGCAGGTTGCAGACATGCAAGAAAAAATGAAATCTGAATCTGAAACCTCAGCGCGTTTAAGGAAGCAAGCTGCCGAATTAACCGTTGCTCAAGCAGCCAGTGAACAGATGCAATCTGAGTTGAAGTCAATGTTACTTCTCCTTCAAAATCAGCGTGATGCTCTCCAGCAAGAAGTAGCAACTTTACAAGGTCAGCTTAGTCAAGAGCGCAGTGAGAGGACGCAAGTATCAGGCCTTCATCATGAATTGGAAGGTAAACAACTATATGCCACCTGTTGATGCGTTTTTTGTGTTTTGATAATTGCTTCTTGATGTGGTAACACTTATGTCTTTTGTTTTAGTTCGGCTACAATCAGTGTTAGGGGAAATGGAAAGGTGTGCTCAGAGGGAAAACAAGGTGACGGAGGATAATAGACAGCTGACAGAAAGAGTATCATCATTAGAAAAAGAATGTGCCTCCTTGGGCTTGGAGCTTAAAGCAGCTCAAAACCGATATCAACAGGAAGTGCGCAGTCATCAAGAAACCGAGCGCAGAGGCCTCGTTTCTAAAGAGGAAGCCAATCTTGAAGTTGTTAAAGGTAAACACTGTTCTTTTGGTACAATAATAATAATAATAATGATTAGAGGTATGTCCTTTATTGCTTGCAATAATCTCATTGTTTGTCTGTTCTGTAATGGTTTAGCTCAATTTATTCTCTCCCAGTAACTTCATGGCTTTTGCTAAATTGACTATTTTATACTGAGATGAAACAATGTAGTTGCTCTTTTCACACTAGAACACTTTATTTTTTCTTCTTCTTTTCTTCTTCTACCTCTGTTTTAAAATGCATGTATTATTATTATTATTATTTGGTTTGTGCATGCTGTAGGTCGAATGGACCTCATATTTAAAGGTAAATCACTCTCAATCACTCTCACTCTTTTTTCAATGTGTAGTTAAGTTAGTTTTTTAATGATGTAAGTAAGGGAGTCAGTGCCTGTGACTGAAATGGTTTGACTTGGTAGTTCATTTGTGCCAAGTTTCTATCTATACTGTGCTTAATAGCATGTATTTCTTGTGAGAAAAGAAGCCACTCTTTCTCCCATATATATTATGTCAAACTTGTATCTCAGCAATTTTTGATGTGTCTTGTGTAATGTTACTGGCTCATTGTAATATTTTGTCTTACTTTCTGTAGCTCTTCAAACAAAATTAAATGAGGAAAAGAGTGCACGTCAAAAGGCAGACATGATGAGCCAGGAAAAGGAAAGACAAATGTCCATGTTATCAGTCGATTATCGTCAAATTCAACAACGACTTCAAAAGCTGGAGGGTGAACATAGGCAAGAAGTCGATAAGGTAGACTATTTTTATTTTAAAATCCCTAGGAACTTATTAAAAGGCTGCAGTTATTGAATAACATATTATTATTTCAGGTTAAAACATTGCATATTCAAGTAGAACAAGAGCAGCAAAAGAAGAATACCTTGCAAAGTGAGGTAAATCATCAATCATCTACTCTTGCTGCTCTCAAAGCAAGGCATGACCAGCTCAGTGGAGAGGTAGCAAGTCTGCGAGAAGGAAAACGAAGTGCTGAAGACGATTTGCATCGGTTGAAAACTCAACGATCTGTTGATGAGCTTCAGAGGAAGGAGCTTCAAGATCAACTCGAAGCAGAGCAGTACTTCTCTGTAAGTTTTTGTTGTCTGTCTTACTAACAATTTCCTCATAAGTTAAGGTTTTGACACGCTTCCCCTTTTTTTTAGACCTTGTATCGTACCCAAGCTGCAGAACTGAGAGAAGATTTAGAGGAACGTCAACGAACTCTAGTCGAGCTGGAAGAGGAACGTGGCTCCCTTACCCACCAGCTGCAGATTGCTTTGGCAAGAGCAGATTCCGAGGCCCTTGCTCGTTCTATAGCTGAAGAGACCGTTGCAGACTTGGAAAAAGATAAAACTATGAAGGAACTTGAACTGAAAGATTTGTTAGCAAAGCATCGCTCAGAGCTTAGTGGAAGAGATTCTACTTTGAACTCTGTAAGTCTGAATTTATTGTCCTTTTGTTGAATTATTTTTAGAATATTGGGTTTTGCTTATTGGTATCATATTTATTTTTATCATTAGATAAAAGAAAGGGAACAAGAATATAAGAAATCAATTGAGCAGCTCATTAAGGACAAAGATGAAATGAGTCACCAAATGAAGTTGATGCAAGAAGGTAATACATTGTTCATCTTTATTCTCTATTTTTGTAGTCCTTCCATAATTTGATTACACTCTACACTATCTGCTCATATTTGTGTTTTGCAGAGGTTAAAAAGGCATCCAATGTTCAAGAAGAGATGGAACGGTTAAGGAAACAGTTAAAGCAAGAACAACTTCTGAAGGAACAAGCTGTGCATAAACTTGCTGAAATTATGAACCGCAAGGATATCAATACTACAACCAAGGCGAAGAGCAAAGTGTCCTCTGCAGACCTGAGGCGTAAAGAAAAGGAGTGTCGGAAACTGCAACAAGAACTTACCCAGGTTTGCTATTTGATAAGTTGAATGCAGCATAATGAATTAAGGCAAAAGTTTTTTCTTATCATTTTTACTTATTTCTTAGGAGAGGGAAAAGTACTCCCAGGCTGTCATCAAATATCAGAAAGACTTACAAGAAATGCAGTCCCAACTAGTCGAAGAAGGCCAGTTCAAAGTCCGTCTTCAAATGGAGTTAGATTCTAAAGATTCTGAAATAGAGCAACTTCAAGGAAAACTTACATCTATTTCGAGTGAAACTGCCTCCTTGTCAAGTGCTGACAATGACACTGATGATTTATGTCCAGGTAAAGTTTAAGCATAATCGCTGTCTTTCATTTTGTACATTTAGACATATTTATTTAACATTTTGTCCAACTTATAATTGAATGTCTTTACAGAATCAAGACTGGAAGGGTGGTTGTCTGTTCCCAATAAACAAAATATTAGAAGACATGGATGGAAAAAACAGTATGTAGTTGTATCATCAAAGAAGATAATATTTTATAATTCTGAAAGTGACAAACAAAATACAGATCCAATACTCATCCTCGATTTAAGGTAAATTAATGGAATCAAGGCACAAAGTGTATTGAGAATTACTTAGAGTTTCTATCTTAAAATATGCACTTGTTTTCATTACAGCAAAGTTTTTCATGTGCGATCAGTGACACATGGTGATGTCATTAGAGCTGACCCAAAGGATATTCCCCGTATATTTCAAGTGAGCTATCTATGTCGTAATCTTAACTTATCAGGTGCTCACTTAGCATCTTCTAATGTACTATTTTCCAATTTCAGTTGCTTTATGCGGGTGAAGGTGAAGCTCGTAGGCCAGAAGAGGGGAGCATGACCCAGCTTGAACTCCCACCCCTAAGAGATGATAAACCTGGCACAATTCAATTGAAAGGTCATGAGTTTTTACAAATTTCTTATCACATGCCAACAACTTGTGAAGTTTGCCCTAAACCTTTGTGGCATGTGTTTCGACCACCACCTGCTTTAGAGTGCAAACGTAAGTGGACAGCCATTAAAATAATTTTTTTACTCATTCTTTGCCAATTTTCTATGTATGTGAGCTGGAGACTTTAATTATTATTGGCAAGGTGCGGCTTTGTGACACATGTTTACCTCAGGCTTACCAAAAACGCGTTGGTAATGTGCTACTTTTAAATAGTTCAGATTAATTAAAGCCTATAACTACTGTTTTTCCCTCATATCTATGGACGATTTTTAACATTTTACTTGTGAAGGAGTATTTTTCTCTTTGGGAAGTTGTCAAAATCCCAACTGTTCATTAATAATAATAAAATTAAATGGTTTGTGCGTTGTGTAGACTAAAGGGCTGAGATAATGCGTACCGCTATGTTTGCCCCACCTGAAGGTTAACGACTTGCTTGCCTGTATAACTTCATCTCATACCACTACTTTATTTTCCTAGGGTGCCGTGTTAAAGTGCACAAAGAACATTTTGATCGGAAGGAAGAAGCGATAGCTCCTTGCAAACTCCATTATGACCCTAATTCGGCTAAGGAACTATTAGTCCTTGCTGTAAGTGCAGACGACCAGAAATTGTGGGTGCAACGTTTGTCCAAGAAGATTCAAAAGTGTGGATACAAAGCCAATACATTAGGTAGTGGCACACTGGATGGATCTAAAGTGTCTCCTCGGTGAGTATTTCTCATGTAAACGTTGACAAGATATTGTCTTTCTACATGTTCTTTTTATTAATCCCGGCCCCCTTTTCTATTTTGCAGAGAGTCAGTGAGATCAAACCCTAAGCAATATACTAGCCTGCAGCAGCGATCTGCTACTCTTCCTGCTAACTCAACTATGAGCAAATAATTGCTGTGATAAATTACAGCATGTTACCTGGTCCAACTTTCACGCAGCAAGCTTGCATTAATGACATCAAGATCGCTTCCAACAGAGATCCTTCCTCTGATTTACAGTAACAATTTTTTACTGCTCCTTACAATTCCTCTGTGTCAAGGTTTTTAAAGTTTTAGAAAGGAATGTTAAAAGTTTTGTTGTAGTATTTTATTTATTTTATGTAACATGAGCGCTTCACTTTTTTTGACCATGTTGTTACTATGGCAGAATGTACTATTTCCGTTGTTTATTTTATGTTTGTACAGAAAAGTTGTTGAAAATCCTTGAGGAAATGAAGATTTCACTTCCTTCATTTCAATGTTTCTTTTTAAAAGGTAATGAAATTAAGATTTTGACCGATTTTCACAGTATTTTCATATAAACTTGTATTTTAGAAACCATTCATGTTTGATTTTATGTCTTTTGAACGTTCTTAATACTTTGATTAGAAGCTCTCTTATGGCTGTTTTAGTAACCCTTTGATTCTAGTTTTGCAGTATTGTTAAGGAAAACTAAGGAGGGAAGTACATGCTCACATTTTTCCTTTCAGTTGATATTTCTGGAAATGATCTGTTAATCAGTACTCATATTATCCGTCCGACTTAATTTGTGCCTAAGAGACTGAAAAGTTAGCTCCTTGCTGGAGTTACAAAATCTTAATTTATTGCAAATAAAATTTGAAAGGGATAAGCAAAAGTCAGAAACATTTTTGAACTAGCCTTAAAAGTGTTAAGTCTTAATGTTTTTGTCAATCATGCTGGGTTATTTGATGAAAGATTTGACTCCAGTAAGTTGTTCATACCAAAATACTAATCTGCTCTCTTTGTGTACTTTGTTCTGTGAGTCTAAGAAAATTGTGATAACTTGGTTTCCTCATATAAATTGTTTTGATAGTAAATTTTGTCTTATAATTGATTGATTGATTGATAAAACAATTGAAGTTGACCATTGAAGTTGACCATTGAACTTTTCAGACATACCCAGTATTGTTCTAACCATAAAGACTGACCAATACCGTTGCTGCCTTGCATTTATGCTGTTTTTGAGAGGAACGTTTCTCAAGCTTTCTTTGCTGCGCTCTTTTGGAGCACAAGATCTTGTGTTGTGTGTGACAAACAGGATGAGGGTTCATCTGTATGCCAAACTTCATTATTAGCATTCTTTATTCTTGTTTTGGTCTTTATAAATATTTTTTTTTTAATTTATTAAGTTGCTTTGCCAAGCCAACTATATTGTATATATTATTTTTTTTTAAAATCAGAAGTAAGCTGTGATTACTGTAGCAGACTGTAGTCGACTGTAGTCCCTGTAAGTTCCACAGTACCCAACTGGAGTATCTGCTGGAGTGAGATCTTGGGCTGCCACTTGGTACTATTCCATTGCTAGAAATATAAATAAGTGTATGTTAGTACAAATAAAATTAATTACCATTATGACGTGACATCTAGCAAGACCAAAGTGCTGTCAGATTAGAAAAGAAATCAAGCAATATGTTATCTGCTACCTTTGTGTTTTGAGCGCATCCTTCTCGGTTAAGTATTTTCCCTTCCTCTTGATTGACTACCTATAGCCCGAGACAACTGGGTAGAGTTAATGTGTTGCAGTGGTGTGTTAGGGTTCGGAGCAGTAGTAGAATGTGGCATGGGTCTGACTGGGTGCTGTGCCTCCCGCAGGTGGTCGGCTCCCAGTTGTGTCGCAGTATACATTCTAGAAGCGTAGTGTACCTATGAAGATGCCACCTACTTCTGATACAAACTCTGTATTTGTAGTGTGTTTTTGAGGTACACTGGGATAAATACCTAACACATTTCTGAGGGTATGCAATTTTTGGTCTATTCCCACTTTTTTTTGGTTTTGTTTGGGCTTTGCAATTCAAAAAGGATCATTCACAACTCAAAGGGCATCTTCCTTTCTTCGATTCTTTGTTCAGTAAGGGAAAGAACAGTGTTTGGTTATGTCACCTACATAGAATATATTTTAGCCCAGAAATTGTCCCTTTATTTATTCTTGCGAATTTGTTACTCATTTATGCATACATTACATATTATATGTACATTTACACAACAAGTAGCTTTTTTGCTTTTTTCTTGTTTGAACATAACCATAGCCCATAGCAGAGGAGGTCAACAATGCTGAGGAGGTCTCAGGGAATAAACAAGAGAAATGAATTAAGTTATGGTACTTAATAATAGCTGTTTCATAATTGTTTCATTGAAAATTCCTTCACACCCTGGATCTGTTGGACCATGAAGTTTGACTTTATTGCTGCATTTGTTTATCTATTCTATTTACTGATGCTATTTATTTATAGGGTCGCAAGCAGCGAGACTTAATATTTTCATGGCTGTTTTATGTGTTATCATGTGATTCCTGTGCTTAATGGCTTTTATGAAGTTAGGAAGTATGCATTATCTATTTGAGTCAATATGACAATCACTTCTGCATTTCATATAACGAATGGCTGGTCTATTTACAATGTTTTTATTTGCCATATTTTTGTGTGTCCAGTGGTCTCTGTGGGAGGAGAGGTGCATTTTGATTGCAATATACAATGCATGGTGCAATTACTCATCCAGACAGTTCACTCCTTGTGCAAATGACCCTTGCAAATTTGTACGTTGTGTGTATTTTTAGGAGATGCGTTTCAAGGCTCATGATCCCAATATTGATTGTGGTTAGCTATCCTCCCATGGAGTGTTTTTATCACATATTTTCAAGTTCAATAGAAAGTACTCGAACGATTTGAGAAATGGTCCCGTAGGGTTGAGTTTAAATTATGCTCATAGATTTTAAACTAATGCTGCAAATGGATTCCAGCCAAACAGGAATTTCTAAATCTCTTTCTCCTTTTTCTTTTACTGATGGTTTAGTTCTTCAGCATACCAGTGCCATTGCTCAAAACAATGCTGGAAGCTTCTTCTGTTAGTATCTAACTCTTTGGTGCTCTGCATGTCCGTTAGTCAGTTTATCGTAGCACTTTGTGCATCATTGATTCTGTTCCAAATTATGTTTTTCTTTGAAAATTGTTTGTTTTTCAAGTGTAATCCAGATTTAAAGTCAATGGTGAAGAGGTCTCTTCATTTTATACACTGTGCATCAGTTTTAAGCCATTACTTAATGTAAAAAGCTCACTGTTGAACTGGTAACCCAATGAATAAGTCCCACTTTTTAATGAAAAACGAGATGTTTTTCTGTTAGCCATAGTTACTTATGTGGTATGGTGATATTTTTCAGACTTTCTCTGAAGTGGTGCCTTTGAAATCAGTCTGATAGATAGTGTCTCAATTTGTGCTGATACAGCTCATACCTTGTACATTTATCACTCAAGTATGGTATGAATCTGCAGCAAGATTGCATTTTTTATCCCCTTTTTTGTCATGAAGTTATAAGTCAGTTTTATGAACAATTTTATTTTTCAATTGTAAATCAATTATAAATGAAATTAGTTTTGTAGATCAGTGGATATAGATATCATTATTGTCCCTTTTATATCTAAATCATAAGAATGTTATTGTACTGTATGCACATAAATAAATAAAAACATGATGAAAATATTAAACAGTTCCTGGCTTTCTTGTGAAAATCCTACCAAACCCCCTACTCCTGGACAGAGGACCGACCCAAGCAGGCAGGCACAAGGTGTTCAAATGATGGCGCCAAATGCTCTGGCGGAAACCGGAAACGGGTGCCGAATGCAAGGGTCGAAAGCGGTCACTTCCACTTCTCGTCGATCGAAGGTAGTCCAATGTAGAACGTACCTTCTAACCTTCTGCTGTACTAGAGGTTCATTTGTGCAGTTTCAATCACATCCATCCCCAAAAATGGCCGCTGTTGGAGGATTTAAAGCACCCGTCAACGTTTCACCTCTTATCCGAGTGAGTTCAAATCTTATATTTGGCGTAGGTAGGTGGCGTCCAAAGTAAAGACGCAGCAGTGATAAGTGATCGTTGCTACAGAACCGCTCTTGCTTTTGATTCATATATCTCAGTCAACCTCATAAGTACTCGTAACACCGTCCCATCTCGTCATTTATAGGATATTCCAAACAGTTTCGTGATACGTGCACTTAATGCCAACTGAACCTTACGGGTGTACACTTGTCACACCGTTGTGTAGGTTAGGATCTCCCCTGTTACTGCATCTGTCTGACGGCTTGTCTTGTGAGACATTCCAACAGAACACCTCCCTCTAGGCATTTAATTTGGTTAAAAATACCGCTGTATGTGTTTCAGTTTTCAAGGTGGACACTGCTCATTGCTGGCATTTCTTATGGAGCCATCCGACACAGCAGGTTGACTGTCAAGGAAACCAAGCTGCGAGAGGAGGCAAGGCTTGAGGCTATTCGTATGGCACCCATTCTGAAGGCTGAAAAGGAGCGTCTCCAGAAGGGTAAGTACTGCAGGCACCATTTGTACTCTCAATAGAAATAGCCTTTGTTCTACAGTGTGAGTATTTCTTCTTTGCCTTATTTCACTTATGGCAATTTTATTTGTTTGCAGCTGAGATGGCTGATCTTGAGAAGACCATTGGATCTAAACTGTAAGAAGTGTTCATTGTAGTTTATGTTCATCCTCACTCCCAAGAAATGTAAAATATGTGGAAACTTGTAAATTATGGCTTTTAATACCAGTTCCAAATAATTAAACAATATAGTACCAAATTATTTTTACTTTTCTGTTTAATCAAACCACAGCCAGAAGAATAATTCATCAGAACCATTCTAGACAGTTAGACCACACTACCACTTAGTTAACTTACTTCAACACAAGTTGGTAATAAATATCACTTCATACGTAATTTTCTAAAATTTTCTCATGAAAATATACAGGAACATTGATCCTTTCAATTGCATAGGTCATAAATATGTTAGACACATCCAACTTTGACATATATTTTCAACTATAATTTTCCAAGCAAGTTACCTAACTTGACAATTTCCGTCAGATTTAGACGATTCCCTCCCCAGCCCTGAACATATTGGTCCAAGCTGAGCACATGGCTCAAGCCAGATTGACCTTCAGATTATAGCTTTTGGATTCAGATGATTCCCTCCCCAACCCTAAACATATTGGTCCAAGCTGAGCACATGGCTCAAGCCAGATTGACCTTCAGATTTAAGGTTTTGCATTCAACTGAGAGGGGACAGTAACTAACACATGCTGACACACAAATGTTTGACATGACATACATAGAATTTGCTTGAAAACCATTGTGGATACAATTTAAAAGTAGGCAAGTATGTTCCATAAGGTATAAATAAATAAAAGTTAGTTTTGGTCTTTAGCTTACAAAAAAAAAAAAAACGACAAATGTTCATAAATTAAATCTATGAATAATACCACAAAGATCCCTTTGAAAAAAATAATTTAAGATTGCATAAAGCATTATGCACCATCACAAGGAATTTCCAATAAATCACAAACATTGAGAATGAAAAAGTTAAGAATAACAAACTGAATACTGTTAAAGAAGGTGAGGAGTACATCTGTGTTTCCAAGTAGAAACTGTACTAACATTGATGCCATGTTTCTCAATCAAAGTCTTGAGAACTTCACTCTTTTGCTCAGAGCAATTTTCTTCTGTTATCAGAAGCTTCAAATGTGGAGTGTGATTGGGAATTTCAAGAAATGACTGGCCAGAAACACCATGGGCACCATTGAGGTCTAGACTTTCTAGTTTGGGACAATTACGCAAGACTGATTGCACCCCATCATCAGACACACTACAACACTTGGTAAAAGAAAGGTGCTTCAATTGTGCACATTTTTCTGCCAACATCTTCAAACAGGCATCAGCAGACACATCTTCATTGCTGCAATGAATGTAATGTATCAATTATAGTCACACATAAGATTAGAGACACATCTACAAAAAACATTTCTAACAAAAAATCTAACCTGGTCATTTGGACACATTCATTAAGATGTAGACATTGAAGTCCAGATAAATTACCATTTTGAAATGTATCAAGTACATCAACTGCTTTTAATTTGGCATTATGGATCAGTAATTCCTGAAGTTCTGGAAGATTGCAAACAGCTGCCATGCTTTCACTTCCGAAGCAATTGGCATTATAAATAAAAAGCTTCTTTAATTTCTTGCAGTTGGAGAGACTCTGTTAAATGTGCAAACACATACAGTAAGGACCACATATCAACATAATATTACAAGAAACACCAAAACCCGGGTAATCTAAGCAGAGACCTACCAAGAGAGCAGCATTACTTATACCAGCAGCATAGAACTCAAGGGTTGTTAAATTTCTGCCAGCATTATGGAAAAGCTGGAAAGAAACCAACAGTTAATTATAGCCTGTCCAATGATTTTTTACATTTTATGACAAATAACAGTAAACATAACCCTTGCAAAGTACCTGAGAATATGCATTGGACCATTCATCAATTTTACCAGGCAGTTGTATGGTCATTGATTTAGGTCCATGGTAAATAGAATTAGAGTGCCATTTGTTCTTGAAAACTTTGAGATTTTTTTGTTTTGCAATTTCAACCAGTATTTGAGGGGAAATACTTTTGGAACAGCTTATGTTCAGTTTTTCCAGACTTGGCAAACCACTCAACATTTGATAGAATTTTCTACTTTTGTAATCTGTACCCTTCAAGTTTAGGTTGTGTAGTTGTCCTTTCCTCAGGAAAGGATACTAGTCAGAAAAAAAGAAAATTAGTTAGTACTATCGAATAATATAATAGTGGATTGTACAAATCGCACAACATACCAAATATTTTGCGTGCAAGTTCCTCTTGGAGGCATCACAAGGTCGGCATCTAATTAAGTTAACAGACTCTAAGCGCTTGGATTGTTGATGCAGGACTGGCAATATAGCATCAATATCTTGCCTACAAAAAGAATTGTTAGAAATGAAACACTTCCAACTTTGAACAAGAAAATATAGTTTAACAAGACAAGTCTAAAGATAAATGTTACCTGTCTTTAATAGTTATAGATTTCAACATAGAGGATTGTTTTATGCAACCACGCACAATTTCAATGGGAACATCCTGACCACGAATGCACAATGTTTGCCACAAGGTAGGTGTCATTGCAATGGACCGCCAGCGATGGCAGACTCTAGAGCAGGTCCTAAGCAGTTCTAACTGAGGGAGATATGAAAATATCTGGAAAAATATGCTTAAGGTTAGATATCAACAAAAAGTTAATACCTACGCAAAATTAAGTTTTCTAAATAATTACCATGCAGAATATCTCATTTGGAAGGAAATTTATAGGGCTATTATCGAATTCAGTACTTCGACCATATCCACTACACATGTCATTGGTTTTTATCACATCTTCTTTGACTGTGTGTGGTTTGACCTTTGGCTTGGCTGCTATTCCAAAGCCATTATCATGATACTTTGGAACTATTTTCAGGGCTCTAAGAGGGTATGACGACTGGCCTTCACGGCATTTCAAGCTTTCTGGGTCAGCAACCACCTCTGACATACAAATTGGGAGAACTTCTGAAGGTCTGGTCTGCTGCAAAAGAGAGAAAAGGAGTTAAGTTATCTGCAAATAGAAATAATTGCTTCAGCTGGCATTGGCAAGTGGTTAAGGATTGTGGAAAGCTTCACCTGTTTTACTTCATCTTCAGGGGTGGAATTAATATTGGCAATCACATCACCTTGTAAAAGGGCCGATTCTGACGTAGTAGGGGCAGTGCATCTAGCTATCTTTGATCGAGATGATCCGGCACTTCTCATAATTCGAGCTGGAGGCACAACTTGACTTTCATTTAAGTCATCACATTGGCTTGATGAACAACTTGCTAAGGAGACTGGAAAGGGATGGATAGGTTGAGCTGGCAAAGTACACCTCATAAGTCTTGCCGCCTGTTGTGTTTCATTGACATCCATACTCTTGATAGTTGAGCTGCTCGCTAAAGGAGATATGCTTCTTCGAGATCGAGCTGGCAATTCACATCTCATAATTCGAGACGGTTCTGTAGAGCTTGATGCCCCAACAACACCAACTGGATTGTTGCTCCGAGGAGCAAAACTAATCAAATGGCAATCTAGAAATATAAAGTGGAACATATGAGTAGACCAGGGACCATACCTACTACAGCCGACAGTATAAATTTTCACCTCACATCCTTAACACGAATAAGAGATCTACATAAATTCGTGCAGCACTCATCCACATTTACCTTTTTCTTCTAACTGTAAGGGTTTTTCGACAGACTTGCTGGGAGCCCCCATAAGCTCAAGCCTTCCATAAATACCACTATTCACAGGCCCAGCAGTTTGACTGCAGTTAGGTTGAATAGAACTTTCCGTATGCCCAGCAGAGCCTTGAGCCTCCACACAGCTGAAACAAAATGACTGATCATTATTCCATGAAGGCCAAGAATGGCAGGTGGTTCACCATCAGACTAAATGTAGTCAATCTAATCGAACGACATTTCTAACAACAAATCGGCATGAGTTTGGCAGTGACAGAAGCGTTCGTAAGTGGCGTGAACCACATTGGTCACGGGACCGAACAATCAAGCCGTGCTGAGCAATCAGATCGTTTCGTAGGGTATCCACAGCACAGAAGCAGTCATAACATACCGTCGTTTCTTCGAGCGTGTCACAGTGGTCATCGCGCCTGTCATATCGCCGACAAATCGGCGCTAAGATGAAAAGTACACTTAACCCTTGTGTCACCGTCTTGGAACCCTCAGATTCTCACCGGGCTTCGCTGTCAGAAAATGAAAATAAACAAATTTTGTCAGTCAAGTCGACTGTCATAGCAAATCTCAGTGGAGTGCGAACAAGACAGATCAGTATTACTCACTTTCAGCGACACAACAAAGCATTTCCTTTCTAGATGCAAACACAAGTGCTTTTGTTGTAAACAAGCCTGGCAGTCAAAACGGAACGGAACGGAACAGAATCTGAGGAGGGGGGGAGGGGAGGAGGGAGGGGATGTCGATCTTCGATTGGATCGAAACAAGGCTCAGGTGATATGAAAAATTTAGAGAAATCTTGATTGATTGATTTATTCTAAAGTCAACCTCCCTCTACTAAAAATATGGATAGTTTTATGTGAGAAAAACATGACCATGGCCCATTTCCGAAAGTAAACGTAAACGAAAGGTTGTCTATGATGTTAGATAGAAGGCTCACAACTACACTGCCACTACCACCACGTGGTACATTGTTCATTTAGTCCATATTAATTTTGGTCTTGATGGGTTTCATGACGTTTGACTTTTGGTCGTACCAAGCACTGCCTTTTTCAGGTTTTCCTGAAGGCGGACTTCAACTTCAACGCCTCAACCAACTCAACCCCAAACTCGGGTGGTGTGACGTCAGAAGGTTGACCTCGAAAGGAGACACTTCCCCCAACAGGCTTGTTTGGCATGTGTTTATCTGGTTGATTCTGCAAGTCCCGCGTGGTTTCTACTCCGGAATAAAACAGTATGCCTTGATTTGGCAAAGTACACCATCCATGTAGTCACAAATCTGTTCGAAATCACGTCGCAGACATTACGTCGACAGAACAAACAGCCACGCATTGCTGATCCACTACAGATTCTCTTCCGCCACTCTGTTCTGCTGAGGCGAGACCAAAATAATAACAAAGCCTCTCATTGGTCGGAGCTCTCCGTCGAGCTCTCTGATTGGTGGACGAGCTCACCGATTGATTGTGTTCATGTGACCTTTGGAGTAATCGTGTATTTTCGTGAAGCCATGAGAGAATGTTGTGAGTTTGCGTCTGCAAAATAGAGCGAAACTAACGTGAGTTTCGCTGTGTCGAGGTACGGTTTTGTGCTCGAAAGGAGCGCCTAGCTCGCCGCGAAGCAGCGCGCACCGTGTCGTCCCGATTCTGAAGACTTTGAAGGCGAGAAAAAGGCCTGAGTTCGCGGTTTTGAAAGTCATGGTCCTGCCGCCATAGGAGCGTGTGCCTCGCTCGCGCGGGAAAGCCATCGTGATCTTCTCGCAGTCTGCAAGGTTTGCATCGGCTTTTCTTCGTTTTATTGTGTTTTTGTGCGAGAAATATTGAGCCAATGTCAACAGTTTCCTTGTGAGGGACAGGCAACCGAGAACTGAGCAGAGCAGACACGCTGGGGAGAGGGGTGGGGGAAGAGTGTGTCTGCTTGTTTACACTGCACTTGGGTGATTGTGCAACCAAAACAAAGACGATGAGCAAGGCTGGCGTGTGCTAGAGAACGCTAAGCCGTGTGACATGGCAAGCAAAGTATTGGTGGAGGCGCCAACTTGGATTTAAGGGATGTTTAAGTATCAGGAAGGCTCGCTTGGCTCGGAAAAGTTGTTGTTATCTTTCAAGGTTATGATATCACCAAGGACATTGGTTGCTGGGTAGACACGGCAAGCTCCGTTGTCTTCTGTGCCTTGCTCACCTCTCCTGTGCACCCGAACTGGGGTGCGTTGAAAGGTACTCTATGATAAAAACATGTGTTGTGAATATCATGCCAGATGGTCATGTCTTCTTGTTATTGTTTCGCACCATATGGCATCTCATCTTCATTCTTTTCGCTCCATGTAAGGAGGTGAATTGATGAACTTTGGCAAGGAAATTTGGGCTTGCATGTGGGCATTGAAACTGTTGTTCCTTCTGAAAAGGTACCACTATTATGAGCATGTGTTTAGTTTTACTCTCAGTCAGGCTCATGTGTGATAAGTGCAACAAGTGCCAACAAATACTAAAACTATCTAGGAAGGGGGAATGCAATCATAGATTTATCTTGTTGTTGTTATTAAAAGACTCTTAGTTCTTTGTTGGTAACTCAGTCACCGCTTTTAAAATATTTTTATCACTCTTGTTTGTTTTTCTGTTTTAGGCCGCCACTATGGCAGATCCCTTGTATTCTGGGGATCTGTTCTTCGACAGTCCTCTAATAAAACAAGAGCCTATGACGGATTCAGTATGTGTGACATCAGCCAGTGTACCAATTCCCTCTCGTCGGGGCCTTGGCCTCCCTGACTACTTTGAGGACTCATCTTATCAGGCTCCAGAATCAACATCACTGCAAGATTCATCCAGCTACTGGGATGCCAGCCACATGGATGATGATGACGACATTTTTAAAGTTGTTGACAAGGCTGATCTCATTCAGGGACCTACCCTTGCTGAACTCAATGCCAATGATGAAACATTTCTCAGTGATTTGAACTTTGATGATCTTCTCCTCCCTGAAGAGAGTTCCAATTCCTTTGGTACTGGGTTATTGAATACTTCCAAATCCAATCTTTTGTCGCTAAATCCTGCAGTGCAGGTTCAAGTTAGCGCTCACAGCTCGTTGTCTACTGTATCACCTGCAGGATCTGGACTCCTCCCATCCTCCTTTCCCCCTGGAGGTAGTGTTTATTATCGAGATGCATTCAGTGTGTCTTCAAGTGTTCCTTCAAGTCCCATGGACCCTTTTCTGTGTGGGGGTAGCAGTGGCAATCCATCAGGACTCTATCAGGCAGCTCTATCTCCAGCAAGTCACCACAGTTCAAATTCATCATTGCTGCACCATTCAGTAGGATCAAGGTCGCCAGTGACACCGCCACCGCAGGCAGTGAGCCCCTTGCAGCATAAGCAGAGTACACTCCATGACCTGCTACTCCGCAAGGAAGCACTGTCTGCCTCTCCCGATCGGCGCCTTTTAGGCCAGTCAGTTCCTGGCCCAAACTCTCCATTGACCAATCAAGCACCCACAGGAATGTCCATTTTATCTTCAAGACGTTCGGGGGGTGGCATGCTTGCTGGTTCAGGACCAGGTTCTGTTTCGCGCCTTTCATCATCTGCCCCCACTCATCTTGGTCTAGACCACATTTGGCAGCGCCGAGAACCGAGGCAGCATTTGCTGTCAACAGGATCTTTAGCAGAAGCAGGTTCTACATCCTCTCTCTCTACTGGTAAGAATAAGATCTTATCTTATATAGTTTACTGTAACATATAAAAATAAACAATTTAATTGGCTTGTCTGCTTTTTTAAAAAAAAAAAAAATTTAATTTAGGTGGAATTCTTAGTCCTTCATGTGACTTCTCTGACTCTGAAGATAGTGACCATTATGAAGACGTATCCTCTGATGGAGGTTAGTACTTTTAATAAGTTGCTTTTATTATGTTCTTAGCAAATTCAGTTTAATTTCATAAATAACAAAAAAAAAATTCATTGGTGTATTTTAATTGTATGGTTTGTTTCTTTAGAATCAAGTGATGTAGATGGCTGTGGGCAACCAAGTCGAAGCAGTATACACAAAAGAGAGCGGTTCTTTTGGCAGTACAATGTGCAGGCTAAAGGGCCAAAAGGTCAACGATTAATAGTCAAAACACAGCAAGAAGATCCTTACCACTTGAATCGTGTGACTGATCCTGTGTTCAGTCCTCAATGCTCAATGCAAGGCATCAAACATAGGTAATTAAAATGTTTTTCTGTTTGTAAAATGGAACCCAATGAAAAAGGAAACTAATGAATTTTGCTCTTTAAAACTCTAGTGGAAAAGCACGAAAAGGTGATGGTAATGATCTTACTCCAAATCCCCGGAAATTACATACAATTGGGCGAGAATTAGATAAACTAGGAAGAATAATTAATGACATGACTCCTGTATCAGAGTTGCCATTCAATGTGCGCCCTAAAACAAGGAAGGAGAAGAACAAGCTTGCATCAAGGTAGGGAATAAAGTCCATGTTATGCTTCTTTTATCCTTTATATCAGACTTATTTATTTAAAGTGACATATTCCTCTTTTAACCCTTTGTTGTTTGCTTTCATTCTCTTTGAACAGAGCCTGTCGACTGAAGAAAAAGGCTCAGCATGAGGCAAACAAAATAAAGTTGTATGGTTTGGAGCATGAGCATAGTAAGTACTCCTATAAGAGTTACGTTTTCTTCACTTTTTTTCCTATATATTGGTGTTAATTGGATTCTCTCTTTTCCCATAGAACGCCTATTTGGCGCCATTCAACATGTTCGTCAAGCTCTTGTTCGTAAATTCAACTGTGACAGTGCGGAGAGTATTGATCTGTCAGCACAAATTGAGGAAATTATCAGGCATGCAACACGTAAGTCTCAAAGAATTTTTCTATGCTTGGTTCTATACAGGTTCACTCTAACAAATTTCATTATTCTAACAACATAATAATTTCAGGTATCAAGATAGCAGGGGAAACAACTGATTTTGTGAACACTGTTCTTGAAAAATTTAAGAATGGTGTGCCTGAAGGGGGTCTAAAGGATGTATGAGTCTTACTCTGGTAGAGTATGGGATTATACATTCAGTGATGGATAAGAAGTGTAACATCGAAGCCTGCGCAAGAGTTCTACATACACTTCATTTCCCTGGGTTTCTTCACTATATATTATTCAAGTCAGATCTTGTGTTGAAGATATTAGACATTGGATTTGAAGTCTTTTAGTACTACAGATTGATTATTAAACTACTGTGGCTGTGAGTTTTAAGACAAGTAAGGTAAGAAAAAGGCTGGATCATATGAAATATGGTGAAACAATTATTTATTAGCAGTGTTTTCATCTGTTTTTCTGTACTGTCCTTCCTTAAAATGTTATAAGGTTCTTTCTTGCTTCTTTACTGCCCCAACAAACCAAACCACTTGATAATGGAAAAAAAGTGATGGGAAAACATTTGTTTAGTTCTCTGTCCTCACACTTTTATGTGTCCTTGTTTCTTCCATTGGTCAAGTACTTCTAACATCATTATTTCGTACATGTGATCCAGCCCTCTGAAAGGCTAGCCAGTGCTTTACTGATGGGGTCTCTTAATTTCTTATTATAACTATTATCCTTGTCCAGTGAGTGGGATTAAGCTAGTGATTGTCATTAAGTAGTGAAATTTAAGTAGATACTTTGTTTTCTCATTTAAGTAGAAAAGCAGTGATATTAAGATTACTAATGTGGCATTTGTGCAGCTTCAACACACGCACTGTGGACATGTCAACAGGCACATCTGTACAAAATAAAACCAAACAAAAAAAAACAAAAAAACTCTTAGTTGGTTTGTGTAATGCCAAGTTTGTTTTCGATGTTTTGATGAGTTTCCTACTCACATTGGCCTGTGATTCATTCAACTTCCACAGTATCCTTGACAGGGATGTGCATATTGTGGGACTAGCATGCATTTATAATGTAAGATTCAATTCTTATGTGGAATGCTTAGCGAAATTGTTAGCACATATTGTCAACTTAATCTTTTACTACATATGTACAATGAAATCAATTCTTACTTCAATTTACTTTCTATTGATTAATCATTTGCGTCACAGGAATTCTGTCTCTGAAAATGGGACAAACATAGTACAATAGTAAATCAGACAGGAGCAAGACAGAAAATTTGTCAAATTTATGGCGTGTTGGTCTGTGTGATCATTATGGCTCTTTGAAATAACTCAGATCAAGTGACATTTCTTATGATTTGGACTATGGAAGTGCTATCTAGTTTTCTCATATGTGTGTCGGTATTTGGTACAAATCTGAAATATCTATCTTGTTTCCAGTTCCAGAAATTTATGAGTAGTAGCAACTCTAGTTATGTTAGACACAAAATAATGTTGTGAGATATTTTGTGTCATAGAGCAAAAATGTATGTGCTTTCTTTTTAAATTTTATCAAGAGTGTTGCATCTTCGTGTTAATTCTATGTATTTTATTGTTGATGTTTGTATTGAATTTATTGTATTGGGTTCATGAACAAAGTAATTGGTCTGTTATGTTGTATTGTATGGTCCTGTTGATGAGAGGGATCTTTGTCGGTTGAGATGCATGGTGCATTGTGTGCACTTACTTTACAAAAATTTAATCAAGGATTTACTAGTTAAAATGTTACCAGTCTTTTTCAATCATTTTTAGTTTTCTTAGGCTCAAGTGACAAATAGACACAGTACAATTTCAAAGTAACAGATATCTAATTATTTCTCTCTGTCTGTTTCATACGAAAATCAAAGATTTATGCCAAAAGTGTGGTTCAATTACTTCTCTACCGTATCCGTGTGTTTATGACAAATCTGTTAAGTTTCTCCTAGTCCTGTTTGGAGTACATAGTTCTCCACTCAAATCAATCATCAATTGTTGCCCAGGTCTTAGAAATAGACCCCCCTTCTTGAGAAAAAACAAAACATTATGTATTTGCTGCCTTAAGTGAAGGTGTGACTTGTAAGTTGAGTATTATTTCATAACTTAGTAGGAGTCAACTTTGCTATGGTTTTTCTTATCTGGTATGAGGACTCTATCCTCCTTTTATTTTCAGGTGTTGGGTGGAACGTGTTATGAATCTCATAAAATTGGACCTGATAGAGTTGATTGTATTCAAGTTAAGTGGCTGCTTGATATGAAATGAATGGAAAAAATAACAGTTTTTTACTGTACAGCGAGGTCATTTAATTTCTTACTCTCACATTGTAATGTACTCCCACTGAAATATATGCATCCTCATGTACCCCTTATTTTCCTGTTTAACCATATCAGCATGTCTGGCGTTTATCCCCGACATGCATATTTTTATATTATTGAGTGTTATGCAGCTATGAATATTAACATTTAAAGTTAACTTTCAGAAACAGGCCAGAAGGCTCATAGTCATCAGAATGCATTTTTGAAAACGCCAAAACATTTCTGCGCCTTTATGTATTTATTGTGGAAACTTGCGTGTGGTGGAGCAACATGAATCAGCTATGGACCAACAATACATTTAAGTATAAAAATTTTGGTGTTCACTAAACCTACTGTTCAACTAATGTGCAAGACCAGAAACCACTGTTACTTACTTGGTACTAAAGCAACTGCCAAAATAAAATCCAAATTTCATACTGTTATACAGTAGTAAGTGATATTGAATCAAGGGAAAAAAATTGCTTTCATTCTTGTGTGTTCTTAGTATTTCAATTATTCCCTTCACAATTCTAATGAATATGTACATAGTTTATGATGTGTGTTACCATATATTTAATTATTACAGGTTGCATATTAATCTTGAAAATAATTGCATTTGTGCTGTTATCAAGAATTAATTCCCAAATCATTATTGTTTTTTCTTCTATTTACAAAAAAAAAAGAAGTATAATATAAGCATTGAAAGATAGGAAATGAAAGGGGAAAAATGATCTAGTTTTGGGTGCCTCAGTTGGCTGTGGAAGTATTTGATGTTGTACGTTGGTTTGCCCGTTTGCCCAATCTAATGCAGTGTGGGTGCAGGTGCTCTATCACGCTTATGTCCCGATTTTTAAGTGCCCTCCCTTGTAGAGACTAGCAATTTGAATCTCCCTGTCTATGTTTGATGGAAAAATGAACTATAAGTTACAATAGTGCACTCCCAAATTTGGAAAATCGTTTTTATTTCAAGCTTATGAAAATTTTTATGACAGATGACCGTTTGTTCATGGTATCACCAAAAATTGGCAGGGCTTACCTTAGTATTAAGATGATTTGGTGCAAAAGGAAGGTTGTAGGAAACAACTAGGAATTGATATGGAGTGGAGTTCCAGGGCTCAATGAATCATTTACTGATAAAATGTGTATTTTTGTATGCTTATCTATGAATGGTTAGAACATTATACGAGATTAGCTATTTATTTTATGTGTGCAACAAGTTGCTGGATGTAAGGCTCCAAACCAAAGTTACTTTGCCATATTCTAGGAATGTGTGTGAATAATCACCCCTGGTAAGTTATGAGTTGCAGAAAACAGAGGCTGTGTGAGGCATAATGCTCCAATATTTCTAGAACTGTTCATTTTGTTGGTATTTCATTTCTGCCACATTTTTAGTTATTGACTAGCTTTATATACTTTAAGTTTAATTAAATATTATTATGATAGGAGTTTGATATGGTGTTACAGTAGCAGGCTAGTAAAATAGTGGGACTGAAAGTTTATTTTTATCAGTATGCATTTTCCCCACATAAAATACAAACAACAAACCTATTGCTGTGGTTTTTGAACCAAGAATAAGATGTGATAGATGGTCCTCATCAGTACAAAAGCAGTTGACTCTCTGTTTTACAGAAACATGGCCCATCCAATAGTCATGTGTGAAATAGTGAAGACCATTAATGCACCATTACTCTAAGTCAAGATCTCTTTTCATGTTAGCTGTTTGTGCCGCAAAGGAAGTATGTAGGGCCTTCTTCTGGGAGTATCTATGACTTCATTTAGTCATACAACTTTTTCATTGTTTTTATTTTCTTTTAAATACAGGCAACCTTGGAGGCTTTTCTGTTATTTGAGATTGGGTCACTAATTTTAATTTTGGGTATCTTTGTGAGCATGTTGATCATGTAGACCCAACTTGTCACATAATATTAACATATTGTTACGAACTGGTTCAAAAGTATTTTTGATTTGGTGATTGTGTAACTATGTCGTCCATCTGCTTGTTTGATTCTTTTTTTTTTTTTTCAATCTTTAGGCACAGGTTGTGCACCTGTCTATCTGTGCAAAATTTTTCTTATATATACTGTATGGTGTGAACACAGTCAATTAAGTGAATAAAGTTGATACTGAAGAGATGTGTGCACTGCAGCTTAGCATATCTGTTTGTGACATTGTCCTGAATTTTATCACAAATGTGCAGGGGTGATTTAAAAATGAAACATTGTTACATTTTCTTTAATTGCCATGAACAGTCGCCATCACAGGGGGAACAACTACACAGTGCAAGGCTGCAAAAACCACTTACCAGAGTGAATTTACACCAGAATCTTGTTCACACTTCGTGCTCAGGTCGTACGAATGTTTCGGTGTCGCCGCGATGACTTGGAAAAATATTGCTGGTCAGAGTGAAATTCCCCCATATCATTCACATTTATAGCCTTCGACAATGAACAGGGTAAGAGAAAATGAAACTTGAGCAAATGTATCTTTAACTGGTGTTGAAAGGTTTGGCAACTTGTTATTTAAATCTACCCCTAATCTTGATATTTTTACAAAGTATTAATTGACAAAGTTGCTTGCAAATGCGCGCAAGTTCCTCCCTTTCAGTCGAGAGCAAAACCACACAAGAAAGCCGAGGGAGCAACGGAAAGAAAAGAAACCCAGCAGGGAAACGGTTCTTAAAATGAAATGAAATTACAGTCCGGATGCAGTCGTAGTCGTTTGTCTTCTCTGAAATTCGGAACCAGGAAAACGGCCGTACCGGGAAACGGTCGTCGTGGTACCGACTCTACCGCGTGCTCAAGAGGCATGTTGGCATAGCAGGACGCCCAGGAAGGGAGACCTAGGAAGGGTGGCCGGGCCTTGCTGGCCTTGCCGGGCCCGCCCCGCCGGACGCGAGCCTTGCGGGTTTGCCTATCTGCGCCTTGCGGGGAATTCCCACGTCGTGCTTCGCTATGCCTCGCCAACGTCGCACTCGGAGCGGACAGAGGTCGCGCGAGGCGCCATGCATCTCCATCTCCTGGAGGACGACTCGCCCGGTAGACGAACACACTGGCCGTCGTTGGTGGCGTACAAATTTTCCCTTGTACGTTATTGAACGACCCGAGCACGAAGCGATTGACACGTACAGTATTGCTCCGGCTCGGCTTTTCAGCCGTACAATTGCCTTCTCGTAACAAAACGACGAAATCAACCTGGCAGACTTGGGATGAAATAAATCTAAGAAAACAGTACTGACATTAAAAATGATATTTTTCTTAAGAAAAAATAACAACAATACTTTAGCATCCCGCCAACTTGATTGAGGCCACTGGAACGAAACTAATTAGGTAAAAAGATCACGTATCGTGAGTTGCGTATAAGAACATGTAGAATAAATGGCTCTACGGGTCACAACATTGAAAATCGTTATAAAGAAAACCACATATCGATTGCCTAAGGGCTTCAAAAATGGAAGAACAGGACAGTACCGTGGCTTTACGTTTCGGTATGGGGATAAAGAAACGCTCGCACGTCAGTTCATCCAGAGATAAAGTTATAGATTAAAGCTCAAAAATCGTAAGAAGAGAACGGTGGTACCCGTTCTAGAAGAAAATAAGTTTTAGTCGAAATCTCTCGAAAAAATCTAAACCGACAAAAAGTCTCACATTTACAATCCACTCCAATTCATAACTCTAGAAAGTGCACGAATTGCACAGGTTCGTCTTTCTCTGCGAGCAAGTAGACCTAAAGTGCTGTATAGGACGGACTACAGAAACCACTCGCATTTTTGTTTTAAAAAATCAACATAAAACACATTAAACAACAACAACGAAACATTTTTTACTCTAATGTAACACAGAATTAACTCAAATGCATGAACAGCTTTGAGCTTGGGTGAGTAGTTTCGGTGACGGCACACACTCTACCACATTGCTCTGGCCACGGTCGAGTCGGAGTTTCTGGCCGTCTCGGTCCTGAGCATGGCAGTGACCCGGGTGAATGGGGTCGGTGCACTCGTCTCGTAGCGGGGACACGTCGACTGCAGCCTACTCGTGGTGGACACCGTCACTGGTGGTCATAGCGAGCTGGTGCGCAGCTCCTCCTTGAAGGTCCTGGTCAGGCCGGGCTGGCTGGGCTGGCTGGGCCTGGGCGGTGCATGCGTCTCCACCGGCACTGTGATGGTGACCCGCGTCTGCTCGGCCGGGCGTCGTGGCGGCACACCCTTGGGCACGCCCGCCCCCGTCGACGGCTGCCTCAGGATGGACACAGGGCCCGCACTGGGGTCCGAGGCCTGCCGTCGGATCGGGGGTGTCGCCGTGCTGGTCGGGACGACGGGGTCCGACACCTGGCGCCGCATGACGCCGGGGGTGGCCACCGCGATCGCCGATCTTCCAATGCCGAGGCCAGACCCGGCTCCGTCCGGGGGCGGCGCCGAGTTGTTCGGCCCGGACGGCCCGCACCGCGCGCCGTTGCCGAAGATCGAAGGCTCGAGGATCGAGGCCTGGCGCAGCAGCGGCGGCGTCGCGGTGGCCGGGCTGGCGGGGATGACGGGGTCCGAGACCTGGCGGCGCACGGGAGCCACCGTCGTGGCGATGCCGACTGGCGCCGGGTCCGAGGCCTGCCGCCAGATGGAGGGCTTGGCCGGGGTCGCCGACGGCGTCGCCGACGACGGCTGTGGCGCGGAGGACTGGCGCACGATTTCAGGGCGGGGCGCTCGCAGGGCGGCGAAGCAGAAGCCGAGGAAGGAGGTGGCGGAGTAGGACTCGGCCGGCGCCGGCACTGGCGGTGGGGGTGGTGCCGGCTGCGGCTCGGGGTCCTCGAAGCAAGGCTCGGACCGGCTCCGCGTGGGCCCCGTGGTGACGAACACCGCCACGGAGGGCGGCTGCTCGGCAGAGAGGGGCCGCGCCCGCGACGAGGTTTCTTCCCGCGTCCGCAGCGGCCGCCGCAAGGACGGGCTGGGGCCGGGGAGGCCTGCGGGCCCCGCGCCCGCGGTGCTGCTTGAGCTCGAACTGGCTGTACTGGCGTCCACGCAGTCGACGTGTAGCGGTCGCTAGAGGGACGCACCCACGGCGGTGTTCTGGGGCGCGCCCGCGCGACGTCTCCCAAGGCTCTTCCAGAAGCGGCGGTCCGATTGCTGCTTTTCCTGCAAGCAAATCCGTCGTAAGTCGATCGTTGGCTCGTGAACGTCCACACATCCCCCAGGTAAGTCTCTATAGGAGTGGGCGGCCGCGCTGCAGCGGCTGCAGTGCATGCTTACCGGGTGCCTGAGGGTGGGCGCGTCGTCGCCGCTCACGGCCATCTGACGAGGCAGCGTGGCGGGCACGTCGTTGACGGCGTCCCTGCTGAACAGCCTGGACATGATGGGCCGAGTGGTGGCCGCGGCCATGGCCTGGGGGGTCGGCGTGCTGGACACGGGGGCGGTGATGGACGGCGTCGTTGTGGTGAGCGTTGACAGCTCCACCGAGGCCGTGGCGGAGGCCGTGGCGGTGGCCGTGGCGGCGCCAGCGCCGTCAGACTTGGCCCCGCGGCTCAGGAACGACAGGCTGTGGACATGATGCGGTTTTGTCACTCGTGCACTGCAGCGACCAGTGGCAAACTGTCCCGGGGCGAGGCGTGGGGTGTGGCCATGGGGTGTGGCACGAGGCATTGTTTTCATTGGTGTCAGGGGGTGTCAGAGGCGCACTGTCGTTTGACCCGATATGTACGCTTTCTGCAAGCTCGCCCTACGGCGCTAATAGGCAACCCGCGCTACGCCACGTCGCCTTTCCTCTCAGACCGTTCGTTTGAAAGCCTGTCTGAAAGCTCTGGAGAGCGATTGGGGGTGGCTTGGGCTATGCTTGGGCTATGCTGGGGGCACAAAGAGTCCCGGCATTCAAGAGTATCCGCGTCCTCTGCTCCTGCTCCTCTCCTGGCGGCACTTACATTTTCCCCCGTTTCGGGGCGTCCTTCGGCGGCAAATCCTCGCGGGCGCGCCGCAGCCGCAGCCTCGTGAAGAAGCCGCCCTGGGCGGCCTGGGCCTGGGCCTGCGCCTTTAGCTGGTGCTGTTGCTGTTGCTTTCTCAACGTCTCTACCCTGTGACGCTCACCCCCCGGCATGGGCCGGCCCTGTGGACATGGACAATAGTCCAGGTGACCATGGGCCTACAAGAATTAGAGAGGGACAGGACAAGAGGAAGAGTCAGAGAGAAGAGAACAGAAGAGAGAGAGAGAAAGGGCGAGAAGAGGGCGAGAAAGAGAGAGGCGAGCTTGTTCATGGACCTTATTTCCTTGTTATTATGTCAGAGGTGACTAGGCTCGCATAAGGTTCAGGCACATATTTGATAGAACGTCACAAAAGAAGAAAAAATAAGAGCAAAGAAAGGTACGGTGAGGTCAGACACGTATCACTAGGTGAAAACCGCATCTAATTCCTACCTACACACATCAAAAGCAAACATACTCGTCTCTAACGAAGTGAAACGCCAAAAAACGGGTTCACCATGCAGGGAACGGGGGTTACGCACACATTCTTTCGGACACAAACGCATGCAGAAAGCGAAGTGTGAGGTGGGCGTGTCTTGTCAACAATTTGTGCTTCGGGGCTGGATTGCGATAAATGGCTAGGCTGAGTGCAAGTGGCTGTTAAACTCAACCAAAGCTAGAACCAACAAACAGATCAGTGAGTGCGGCTGCTACCCCTCGTGCTACCCTCACAGGCGCCCCAGGATAGGCAACCCAACGAACTGGTCTGTATGCAGTGTGGCGGTGCGGAAAGTTCGACTCCCGCTCGAATAAAATTTGGTTTCTTCCGCATTCGGACCAGAACATGTAATGTGTAATGTCAACGACGCCCACGCAGCAGTGGTAGATGTAGCAGACGGCAGTTGGCAGTGGCGCGGGGCGTACGGCGGGGCGGTGGGGGCCCAGCAAGCCGAGCCGCCCTCTGCCAGTAGCGCCCGTTCAATCCAGTCAGCCGTCGGCCGGTGCGGCGTGTGGATGTGGTTAGGCGAGGCGGCGCGTGTGTACGCGATGCCGCCACTTAAATTGGCGAGAGCAAGTTCCCACGGCGCACCAATGTGGAAAGGGTGGCCGATCTCAGCCTGCTACTACTGACAAGAAGTTGCCCAGTCGGCAGGCTGAGGCTGGAAACCCTTTCGACACCGGTGCATCGTGGGAAGTTTCGCCCACTTAAGTGACAGCGTGACAGCCCTGCGCTTAGTTGGCAGCGGTTGGCAGTGGCTCAAAAAGCCGTTCCGTTTAATGCTGTGACTTAGCGTTTAGTTCGTCGTGTGGCTTCGAATCCGATGTGACTGTCAAAGTTGAACGCATTCGTTGGCGGGATAGTGGAACACGAGCGTTTAGTTCGTCGTGTGGCTTCGAATCCGATGTGACTGTCAAAGTTGAACGCATTCGTTGGCGGGATAGTGGAACACGAGTGGCGGAGGACGGAGAGGGACGTGTTTGGACACAACGAAAGCAACAACAACAACATCAGCGAAGGACAACATTCTCAAACACAGCAGACAGGCTTCCATGTTGGCAAGAACATGACGACAGAGTGGAGAGGAGACAGAGGTTTTCTACAGAAAGGTAAGCATATCGTGCATTCAGTGTGTTCGTTGGAAATAAGGGGGGGGGACAGGCTTATTACAATTATTGTTCGTAGGCTGGGGTTGTTCCGGTTATAGGCTTAGCAAAATCAACAGTGCAAAGGAATGAAGCGAAGAGATTCCTACGAATGGTGCATGAAGCAAGTTCACCGCGACAGCGTGCTTGCGACGAATAGTATTTTACAAACTGACTTCGATTTATCTGAGGGCTAAGCCGAACGTGCCGCTTGATTTTAAGTCACACTGTTGGGAATCGATGACAACCGAGCCAGAAGTAGCTGTTCGACACGACTGCGAATCTTATAAAAATCCACCAATTATACGTCGAATCAATGTCCCTGCGAACACCTAATTCTGGCCGGGAACGCATCGCCGGCGAGCTGTTCTCTCTGAAGCGTCTGGAACTTCGCGGACGGCTCGGACGGCCAGTGTGAAGTCAGTCAGAACGGAATGGTCTGCCTACTTACCGAGCCGATGTGCGACGGCGCGTCGGAGAGGATGGACGTGGGCTCCTCGGTGTCGGAGCTCTCCTCGCCAGAGTCGTCGGACGGCGAGGGCGTGTCGGCCGGCGGCACGCTCTCGTCCTCCTCGACGAGGGGCTCCAGGCGGCGCCGCGCCGCCGCCGAGGAGCCCGGGAACAGGCGGTGGGCCAAGGCCGCCGACGTGAGTAGCTCCTCCATCATGAGCTGCTCGGCCTCCTCCTCGGCCGTGAGCACGGACGACGTGGACTCCGGCGGCGAATTGGGGAACTGAATGACGAACAAGAGGGAAGCTGCGTTAGGAATTGTCTGTCTGCCTCTATCTTGCCCCCAATTCCTACTATGCGCCTATTCCGAATGTTCCAATGCTGGCTAGATTTTCTGCCCCGCGTCCGTGTCCGTGACGGTCGGCCTCTGCTGCCACCCAGCTGCGGCGATACGCCACGCTCGCGCTCCGCTGGGCGGCGCTACTCCACGCCTGCGCAGCGCGCGGCGGTCGCGTCTATACTCTGTTCGCCCGTTGACCTTGGCATCTGACGCGCGCACGTAGCCCGTACAGTCAGTAGGGTAGCGTGGCCGAGCGGTCTAAGGCGCTGGTTTAAGGCACCAGTCTCTTCGGAGGCGTGGGTTCGAATCCCACCGCTGCCAGCTCTTTTTAGCAGATGATACAATAAAGGCAAAACAGAAACAGTGGTATAGATAATTTCGGCCACGGTCTAGCATTTTTGTTAGCATTAGGACTGTCGTCACCCATCTAGCTCGATTAGCACGTAGTATAAAGCCCGGCAAACCATCTGCTACTGTGTGGCAGTGGCTGTGCTGCGGGGATTTGGCTCTAAATGACGATGCGGAATCTTGCGGGATACTCACCGAGCGAAACTCCTGGCCGAGCGGCGAGCCCAGGTCGTCGTCGCCGGACGTCGGCGTGCCCCATGCCTCCTCCCCCGACGTGCCCCCGGACGTGGTCCCGGAGTCCTCGCCGCCCTGGGGCTGCGTGGACCCCGGCGCTGGCCGCAGGTAGCGGTCCAGGATGGCTGCGGCCAGCGACTCGTCGCCGAGCCTCTCCAGGATGGCCATCTTCTCGGCCACGAAGACGCCGGCGCGCGCCGTCCAGCCCCGCAGCGACGACGCCATGCCTCCGGGCGCCTCGGGGACGGCCGGCACCGCGGCCCCTGCGAGCCCTGCGTGCCGGTCAACTATCAGACCACGTTCACGTCGACGCCGAGTCGCGGCGCCGCCAGAGTCAGTTGGGGGAAGGACCGAACCGCGCGCCCGCGCAGTACAGTGGGTGCGGGGAGCTTCGAAAGCGGGAAACCAAAGCCCGACCCGAAGGGCCGAAGGCACTTGTTTGGAAAGAGGCAGAGGGCGGGAGGGAGACAGGCTTCTAGTGCAGCAGAGAATGAAAACGTGCTACTGACGGTACGAAAAAGTGCCCTCGAAAAACGAAATTAGCCAACTAGTTTACCCACCCTCTCGCGAGCTGTGCAGTGCTGTTCAGTGATGTGGTGCTGTGCAGTGCCGAGCCGAGCCGTGGCGCCATTGCGATACCGATACCTTTACAGGCAGCGGGGCCGCGAGGCGGAGCGCGGAGCTCGGTGACGTCCTGCGGGGCCTGCAGCTCGGCCTGCAGCGCGGCCTGCAGCGCGGCCTGCAGGGACTGGACTGGAGCAGCGGGCTCGCCCCTCAGCCCCGGCCCCGGCCGGCCCCGGCCCCGCCCTTAGGAGTGCAGCGGCACATAGCGGACTGCACCACACAGCATACATGCACCGTTAACACGAAGCAGTGCACTCACACACCCACACTCTAGGGTCAAGGGGGCTCGCGAACAACACTACAAGGGCTGGCTCAATGATGCTACGTTAGCCTGCGTTGGCCCGTACCGTGGTTGTTCACTCCTCCGGCTGCAGGCACTGCAGGCCGTCGCCGGAGCACGAGCACGCTGTCACGCGTAACAGTAAGACACTAGTGACTTTGGTGCAGACAGTGGTCGCCAGAGGCACTCACACCGTGAGTGAAAGATCATGCCGTGACACACAGGTTGCCTACCCCCGGGCGTGCGAGGCCCGTACGTGACGCTAGGGGGTTGAAACTTGAAAACATTGTTTTTCTGTTTGGTTGGTAATGAATGCGCTGCTTACCGGACTGCTTGTCGTCGTCGTCCTCGTCGGGCTCGGCGTCGTCCTTGTCCTTGCTCTGGCCGAGCTCCTCCTCGGCGGCCTCGGCGGCCTCGGCGGCCAGGCCGTCGGGCAGCGAGTTGAGGGTGCCGTAGCGGTGCAGCTCGCAGGACGAGGACAGCGAGCGGTAGGGCGGCTCGGCCAGGTCCGAGGACGAGTCGTCCAGTGTGTCCTGCGAGCCCCCGCCGCACTCCGCCCTGCGCTGCTGCTGCAGTTGCTGCACAACAGGGCCAAGGGTCACGCGTGTTGAACCCCCTCCGGGCAAGCCTCCGGGCCTTCCCCCTGGGTCCGACTAGGTCCTGGAACTCACCTCGAGCTTCCTGCGCCTGATGATGGGGCTGGCCCTCAGCTCGGCCTCGATCATCTCGTCCCACATGGCGTCCTCGTCCTCCTCCGTCATGGTCGTGGACGCGCGCGGCAGCCCCGGCGTCGGCGGCACCACCGAAATCCTGCGCCCGGTCGTGGATATTGACGCAAACGGAACCAAGAGACACGAGGGTTTGAGGCGCGAACGGCGCTTACCGTGGCGGCATGGTCGTCGTGCTGCTCGAGTCCCTGGGGGGCGGCACGGGCGCGGGGGCCAGGGGGTCGCCCGAGATGGCGCCGCCCAGCATGGACATGCCCGCCATGAGGCTCCACGGCCCCCACACGTCCACGTCCTGCTGCCGCGTGTCTGGCGGGTCCTCCTCGATCTCCTCCTGCAAGATGCACTTTGAGTCGCACGCGAGGCCGAGGCGCAGCGTCGCGCAGCGTCGCGCAGCGGCCCCTTCTCGTCGCCGCACAGTGGGCCAGAGGACCGGACACGTGGCCAAAATTCCAGACGCGTTTTGGGCTCCAAAGTCGCTAAACAGGACTCGAGCCGAGCGTGTGACCCCACCAACAGATTCGTTCGGAGAGCAATCGATTGGTGGGATCTCACGTTCAGTTCGAGTTCCATTTAGCGACTCTGGAGCTCAAATCGCGTCCGGGATTTTGACCACCTCTACCGGTCTTCTGGCATATCCACTGTGCGCCGGCCTTGTCAGCGTTGGCCTCACTCACCTTAATTTGGTCCCTAAAACGGGGGACTTCCTTGCGGTAGTACATGTCCCCCCGGAGGTGCGGCGGCTCGTACTTGCGGCCCGACGGCCCGGGGCTGAGCGTGGACGGCCTGCTGGTGGCGGACGTGGCCGGCGAGGGGCACGTGGGTGGCGGCGTCTCCGAGGACGAACACGCGGGCGCCGGCGCCCACGGGTTGTTGCTCGGCCGAGTGGCCATGCACGTCTTGTGGCACTTGCGGCACACGGGCACCTTCTCGCCGGACGCGATGGTGACCTGCAAAGGCGGGGTGGCGGGGCCGTTAGCTGGGCTCTCATTTTGGCGCGGGCAACCCGAGCACCCACGGTCCGGGTGGACGGTTTTGACTGGGTGTCCAGGAAAGCTCGAGGAGGCGTGGTCCAGCCGGTAATCGCAAAAGCAGTGGTTAAGGCTTGGCGCCTGGGAGGCGGGCAACACGAGCACATGGGCGTGTCCGAGTTGCCTACCTCCCAGGCGGCTCCTCGGCTTTCCCTGGCCTCTCGGGCGCCTTTTGGGTGCCCACGCCTGCGGGCCGTGAGAGCCCTGCACCGCGAGACTGACCTGGCTGTCGGTGGTGCTCCTGCTCCGACTGCGGCCCAGGCCGCCCAGGCTGTCTTCGGACAGCTCCAGGTCCTCGCTGCGGCTCGCCCTGCTGTTGCCCCTGAGGGGGATGGTGGTGGTGGCCGTGAGGCGCAGCTCCTCGCTCCGCCGGTTGAGGGTGTCGACGCTCCACAGCTCGGTGGGCTCGGCCGGCTCGGCCACCGCGTCGTCAAGGCCCTCGTACTCGCCGAGCTGGCCCCGCATCCAGCGGGCCAGGTGCAGCGCCGAGCCCTTGCTCCCCGCCGACTTGCCCAGCTGGCGGCAGCGGTGCTCGATGAGCTCTTCGACCGCGGACGACGACCTGGACGTGTCCTGGGGGCAGGGCAGGGCACCGCGGCCTTCTCATTTACCATACGTTTTAACGGTTACGTCATGATTAATTTGAAACTTCACTTAATTTTTTTTTTAGTGAAAAAGTGACGAAATTATTATAGATTGGTCTGAACTAGCTAAGAATCGTTCTAAAGAATATGGCTAAGGTAACTATGCCGCGATCTTTTAAATTTGCCTCATATAACTGGCGAGAACGTTTTTGTCTATCAGACACCATGTAAACTGCACGGCGGTCTACTGCAACTTTTTAGATACAATCATCTATGGTTTTCACAGTTAGTTACAAGGTATACAACAATAACAAAAAGATGCGCAATGCTCACAGAATTTGCGCAGTTTGAAAACTACTCCAGAAACTACAACAAATGGGGGCGTATAAGTAGTGCCGCTGTTACTGATGCCCTTCTTTGGCTATCCATCCAGAATCAGGTGTTAGAAACAACGTCAGTTCGACGTCAAACCGATGATTTTTTTTTCAATCGATTCTCTGTTGATTCAACGTTGTTATAAACCAGTGTAAACTTCTAATTCTGACTGGGTAGTCTCTCGCATGTAATCCCTACTGATTACGTGTCGACACCTCATTATTTCATCATTTTTTCTTTTTGCTTCGCCTGGTGGGTAAATAGAGCTTCTGCCTTACCATTACAACGAACTGTCAAATGTGACACAAACCTATGGTCTAATTACACAGCACAAACGCGCACAGATCAAATTTCATACGGCAAACGTTACCAATTATTGCGCTTTTCTGAACGTGCCTGACTACCCACTTCTTTTTCTAAAATTCAACTTAAACAAAATCACTCCAATCTGTTACGCATTCATAGTTTTCTAATACTGAATACTTTTCTGCATTGAGGAGTACAACAACTATAGTTGCTAGAAAGGTAGACTGAATTCTGGATCGACTGACGCTACACGACGATATACTCTGCAGAAAATGTTGTGCTTACTGTAGCTACTGATTACTATTCGTTACCTTCCTGTGATACTACACCAAAGGTTACTAGACTGCTCTTCGGTATTTTATCTACCTTTGTTCTTGTGTTTGCCAGTAGACTACCTACCGGTAGCAAATGAAGTATTCCTAAAACCACTAGTTATCAAACATCCAAAACTTCTTGCCATACCTTGGTGGCCTCTCCATTTAGCTGCTGCCCTCAGCGCCGCAAGCGATTTTCTCAGGAATATTTTGGAATTATTTAAACAAGTGTGAAATCGACTAATGATTCTAAATACTTGATGTTTGATTCCAGAGGTTGGCCCTCGAGTCTCGGGCTGGTGCTGCAATGACGTAAAGATGATAATGTAGCAGCATTCAAACAAAATAATTGCTTCTTGCTCTTGTGTTATATGTTTGTTAATCTCATCTTGTGTCATATAACTAAGGTGATATGGTGGACGACAATTTCTTGTCTTCGTGTGCTTTTTCCGTATTACCGGAAGCTTAAACCTTGCCAGCTCATTTCTTTTGGGTGCTAGTGAGTGCCTTCAAGGGGATTAGGATTCGAAGGAGGTCAAGGAGGTGGGAGGGTGTTCAGCAACATACATATCGGTTTCATTTGGCGTTTCATGCTTTCATCACACGGCCCAAAGGGATGTCCAAATGCCAATTGACTTATATTGGAAACCGCTACCTCGTAAAATCGAAGTCCACTTAAGGGGAAAATTGAATGTGTTCAGGGTGAACATACACATAAAATAAACAAACAAAACATTCTCAATACCTGGAAACAAAAAACGAAAAAAGTGGTACATGCCTGCTTGCGTATGAAAATTAACTAGGTAGAGCATTCGACAAACTACGATGTTTTGCAATAAAGCGGATGTTTATAGCAAGTGCGCGGTGATAATTTAACCACTTGAATGGGCATTTTGGACATCCCATATGTCAAAGAAAACTGCCAAATGATTTGAAGCAATATACCCTCCCTCCTCCGGTTCCTTTTTCAATGAAAACAAACTGGTCAACGTGTTACTTTCAGCCCAAAAACTTTCTCCGAGTTCGGCATATTAGTAATACATTTTTATGCGGTTAGTACTAATATTCTTGCATGTAGGTACTGCTTTTACATTCTGCGCCGGCCTTTTAGGCGACATTTATTTGTTTTGCCAACCAGTTTGTTTTTAAAGAACGACTGAATAAACAACACCAAGTAGCTGAGCTTATCTCTTACCACAGAGGTTTATTTCAATTGTAAACACAAACATACAGTATATTTCGAACATGGGCATAGACGTCTGCACAAATATGGAGCTCATACATAGCTTTCATGGAGGAGGGAGGGGAAGGAAAACAGGCATAGAAAGATAGATTGAGCAAGTCTAAATAAAGATCGCGATTATCTATGCAGTACAGGCTGAGGGCAAGAGTATTAGTTTAAAAATAGGGCAGAGCCTGAAGCATCAACCGTAGTAAATTTTGGATATGGCAAATTCAAGTGGAGCTACTCTTATTACATTTTTCTTTTATTATAACAATAGCAAAGATTATAAACTCGCTCCTGTTTGGTGATATAGTCTGCCGGGATTCTCTGCGTATTAACTAATTACTAATTAGGGCCTTTCTTCACTTTGATATGGTTTTTTACCTTTTTAAATGTCTACAATTTGGCACATTTGTATAAAAATGGATATGGAAGTTACTCTACTGGAGGCAGATACTACGGAACAAACCTTAGATTTGGCTGAAAGTAAAAGAAGCGTGTAAAAGCTGCGGGAAGAATTAAACGTTGCAAATCTCAAAATCAAACAATTGCGTTCCTAATAATTTTTAATTTGTTTTATACACTTTGCTTACAGCTTTAGTCCATCTTTGATATTTATATCGGGAAGTCGCTCCTTAATTCTCCGTTATAAGTCAGAAGAGAGCCAAGGAAAATGCAATTCAAACACGCTGCAAAAAAGCTGCTACTACTGACGCCACTAACGGTAAGTGTGAAACACAAACGCCTGTTAGAAAAAAGTGGAAACAGAAAAGGCAGCAGGTGAGAAAAGAAGTGAAGCGAGGCAAGACGGGGTTAAATTAATGTCGATTCCAAGTTGTCCTAATAATATTGAATGGAAGCCTGATTTTACAGTTACTAGCACGAAGGTCGTTCTGTTAAGATAGGTGTGTTAGTGCAATAATAAGTAAAACTCATTTAACTTTTAGGAAATAAAGTTAGCAATTATTTTTCAAATCTGCTTGATGCGCGAGTACGTCATATCGATAGGAAATCTCCCCCTTAAGGATTTGCCCCAGAATAATTTACACTCAAGAAAAATAAGTAAATTTATTCTACGCGATTAGTTATAATCTAAATGTATAAGGAATAAAGATCTATAACAGACCCAGTTAAGCCCATATCGTTTAAGTGAACAATCACAGCACGTAACAATAGTATGTAAAAGCGGTCTTTGCCTAATCTTAAGACTTTTTAGGCACCAATTTTCCCCAATTTCGTTCGAAAGTGTGAAGTGTCCCTGAATGAAAACCACATCGTTTCACCTGTTTGCGGCAGCTGAATGAATCAGCAGGGCGTTTGAAGATGTGTCGGGCGGAAGGCCTAACCGCATAAATAAGTGGAATATTTTATTTACGTAATTTAACCCATGAAATGTGCTTGAGGAGAACTATATCGTAGGTTAGAGGCACTAGCAGATTTATGTTTAAAGTTCAGAGAGGTTCATTTCGCTATGGATAGTTTAGGTCAGATAAGGCAGAAATGGGTTTAGTCAAGACAAGCGACGCTTTTGGTGGCCCTTATTTTCGGTGGAAGCGCGCGGTCTGCTTGTTGACCGCCGCCGCCGACGCCGCCCGGCTGAAGTGAGTCTCCGAAACGCAGCGCACAGCTGTAAAACCGCCCAACGATAGCACTTTTATATCTGTTTATTGTTAACGATTTCAGAGCGAATGCCAATTCTAACTGACGGTTAGTTTGCCGCTTTTCCGTCTTCCCCATCTGTTTTAAGCATCGCTATACCTAGTTAGCCCAATTTCGAAAATTGCGAGAAAAAAACTACTTATTTCGTGCAATTAAACCCCCGGTTCGACACGAACCTCCGCTAAATGCCTACCTACTTTCACTCACCGAGACGCATACGGTTAGTGCCTCATGAGGCAAGTCCGGACTAGAATCTGGAATCATTATTATCAACCACGCTCTACCACGAGATTAGCACTGACGAACCGAAATCACCCGAAAGGACACGTCGGCCTGAACCATCTGCTATTAGTTACTTCAAAACGAATGGGATGGGGGCGGAATGTGTACGGGTGGAACTGCTTTGTCGCGCGCGGAACCAGGCTTCCGAATCAAACTATACGAAAATATCTTTAAGAGTAAAGAAAAGAATACTTTCACGCCTAGGACGGTTTCTAAACCCTTTTTTCCATTCAATGTAACCACAGTTGCTTATAATTATGGAGGCATCCACGGGCCTTTTACCCGTGTTATGCTTATCTAATGATATAAGTGCTATATTTTACAAGAATTAATTTGTAATTTCAAGTATCTCACGTGTATGCCACTAACCGGCTTATACTTTTTTTTGTTAAGTTGTTATATATTTGTACTCAGTTGTGTGCTCCTGGGACATGTGTCCATATGTGTCCAGACTTTCTGTTACGACACTTAATGAATTAAATTTTTAGAAACCACATACAAGTGTAAAGATAAAAGACTCTTTGGAAGACTTTGAATGAAAACGTCTCAGTGGAGTCTCCTATCTTTACACTTAACTTACATATAGGATATGTAGCCTTTTGTTATCGACATCCTGCAAGGCATCTACTCTCCGTGGAGAACACACTTGGATCACTGAGAGTTGGGGTCTCCAGCCTTGGGAGGGCTCCGCATTTAAAACTAATTTTCTTTCGAATAGAACACACCTGGTGCACACTCATTGGTTCCGGCAGGAATGACACAAAATAACAATGAAAATAGTCATAACAACAGTTGATTCCCTGTTTCCCTTTCTTATCACATCTCAGCTACATCTCCGGGGCCCTTTGCGGCTGGGTTTGGGGGGCACGTGGTTGTTGGGGACGCACAGCGAGCCGGCCCTGGAGCCGGGAGTGGGGGCGGGCGAGGGGCCGGTGGAGGGCGGCAGCGAGGGGGGACAGGAGGGGAAGTCGCGGCCGGGCGACGACGGCGAGGGGAAGGCCAGGGTGGACGTGGGTCGCGGCGTCTTTTTCTGGTCCTTGCCTCGCGACTTGTCCGGCTTGCTGGCCGTCGACCTTGAGGTGGACCTCTTGGTGTCCGCCTTGCTGTGCGAGCTGGTGGAGCTCGAGGAGCGGGTGGAGCGATCCGCGGACTTGGCGCCGCTTCGCGCTTGCTGCCCGGGCGGCATGCCGGGCGGCACGAGCGAGGAGGGCTTGTTGGGTCTGGAGGTGGGGGCGTTCTCGCTGAGCTTTTTGCTCTCCATGCTTGGCCTTCTGCCCTCCAGGCTGGGCTTTCTGCCGGCCTCGTCCTTGCTGCCCTTCCGGAGGGGCTTGGCGGGGGGAGCGGCGTGCGAAGGCCTTCGCTGCGCGCTGCTGGACGGCGCATCGCTGGCCGACTCGGTGCTGGCCGGCTCGGTCTTGGCCGGCTCGTCCGGGGGCGGGGACGGAGGCTTGGGGCGGGGCGGGAAGGTGCTGTACAGCCTGCCGGGGACCTTGTGCCGGGGCCGGGGCGGCGGAACGGGGTACGGGCTGAGGGTGAGTGCCGGGGTGGCTGCCAGGGTGGGTGCCGGGTCCGGTGCTGGGTCTGGTGCCGGGGCGGGTGCCGGGGCAGGGGGCGGTGCGGGGGTGGGTGCTGGGGGTGTCGGGGAAGGTGCCTGGAGCAGCTCCTCGTCGCCGAGGGTCAGAGACACCTCGTCGTCCTCGTCATCCAAACGCACCTGGTGGCCGGGGCCAAGCCCTGGCCGTCTCAGGGGCAGGCCGTCGCGCATCGAGTCTGCCGTGGTCAGCGAGAGGCTGGGCGGGTCCGGCGAGTCGAGGGGGCTGCCGGCAGGGGTGCCGCCGCGCACCGTGTTGAGGTAAATGCTGCAAACAGGTACAAGTTCAAGTACCAGAGGTATTAATATTTTAACGTGCATGACGTGCAGGGTTTTGGCTAAAGCGTTGCTTTTCACAAGCTGTTTGAATCAGAAATGACTCGAGCCCCAATACCATCCTTTCCCTAAGCTTCTCGCGGAGCTGTTGTCTAGGGAGGAAATGGAATCCACTTACATTTGCCGCTGGATGAGGTTCTGCCACACTGCCTTGTGTTCGGCGCTGGCCGCGCGGAGGACGATGGTGCGTCTCCGATCACCCTTCTTGGTCTTCTTAGCAGCATCGCCACAGCCGGTTGGCGAGGGGGAGGTGGTGCCGTCTACCATCAGGCGGAACTCAGTGGCTGTGAGAATGCAAGAAAATTTCATGCGGAAACTTCACTGAATAAACAGTACGAGGATAGTGCCGAACGGCATGTAAGTAGATAGTTTTAAAGACCATGTGCCTGGTGCGAGGGGGTAAACACTTCAAGAAATCGTGTACAGACTACTCGGTATTACGCTGTATTACGGAGGTATTACACGTGTATTACGGCCTTAAAATGCAAAAATTTGGCACATTTGACCCGAAAAAGTTATTACGACCACGTGTATTACGCGTAATACACGGTTTTTGTGTACAGGGTATTACGCGAGTGGTTACCCCCTCGGCCTGGTGCAGCATCGTTGGTGGGTTAGGGATTCGTATATGTTTAAATATTTGTATAGATGGGGGGCCACTCAGAGTATCCTCCATCCCTTCCTGATCCCGAAGGAACAGTGAACGATCATCGATGACGAGGAAGCCCAATGAAGGCTCCCAGCGTCTGCCTCACGCTCAGGACAGAGGATTACATCTCATCCTCGTGGTGTTTTCTATTCTACTGTTGAGTAGAGAGAAAGGAAGATATACTACAGAAATGATTCTGTGAAGTATAATCTTAAATGTGTTGTTGACCAACTGCTCCTACCCAACCAAACCGCGGACGGAGTACACACCGCGAGGTAAAGGAAACACGGTCCGACCTAACCTGCACCGCGAAGGAAGCACGCCGCGCGTAGCGTAGCCTGGCGTAGCGTGACCCCGCGGAGGGGGAACTTAGTGGGGCCCGGCTGTAGCGCGGCCGTGGCGCCACCTCTCGGGACAAGAGCGGGCAACGCGCACGTTGGGTTGCCTACCCGGACGGCGTCTAGCGCGCATATCAAATACCTCTCAACACAGTGGGAGGATAATGCTAACCGGAAAGACGGGAATTGAAAGTGATCGGGCTGGAAATAACTACAAGTAATGTGTGGTCACGCCAAATCCGAAGGGCTTTGCCACAGGTTCGAAAATAGTCCGGAAAATTTTACACATTGACTAAAATTCTATTCTCAGACGTGATTTTGTAGATAATATTACGGATCACTAATAACTCCAGTCTTTCCGGTCAACATATTATACTCCCACTGTGTTGCGAGGTATTTCTTTCAGCGTATGGAACGCATCTTTGATATGCGCGCTAGACGCCGTCCGGGTCGGCAACCCAACGTGCGCGTTGCCCGCTCTTGTCCCGAGAGGTGGCGCCACGGCCGCGCTACAGCCGGGCCCCACTCAGCGGGGCCACGCTACGCCAGGCTACGCTACGCGCGGCGTGCTTCCTTCGCGGTGCAGGTTAGGTCGGACCGTGTTTCCTTTACCTCGCGGTGTGTACTCCGGTCCGCGGTTTGGTTGGGTAGGAGCAGTTGGTCAACAACACATTTAAGATTATACTTCACAGAATCATTTCTGTAGTATATCTTCCTTTCTCTCTACTCAACAGTAGAATAGAAAATACCACGAGGATGAGATGTAATCCTCTGTCCTGAGCGTGAGGCAGACGCTGGGAGCCTTCATTTGGCTTCCACGTCATCGATGATCGTTCACTGTTCCTTCGGGATCAGGAAGGGATAGAGGATACTCTGAGTGGCCCCATAAGATTATCATAACTAACTGGGCATTCCACATATACATACGTAGATGTGCTTGTCATGCCTCAGACTTTGACCACCGATTGCACGTCGAGTCGATGCCCTGCAGACCGATTTCGCATGGCGTTTCCGTCGCTCTGTCACTCTCGCACCTGTACTGCACGCGAGTGCACGCCCCATGGGTGTGAGAGAGAGACAGAGCTACGAATACGACTCCCGGAATCAGTTTACTGCTCTACTGCCCCACCCACCTCTGCGCTTGACGCTGAAGGCGGCCTGCGTGATGGTGATGAGGCGGAGCGGCTCCTCCGAGATGAAGAGCACGCGGTCGCGCGACACCTGCGCGAAGAGCAGCAGGTCGGTGAAGAGCAGCGCCCAGTAGCGGCGCTCCGACCGGCCCTCGATGCGCACCAGGTCGCCGCCGAAGATCCACCGGCGGCCGGGCGACGTCAGTGCGAAGGGCTGCAACGCGGCGACGCCGAGAGTGAGGCGCTGGACTCGGACGCTGCGTCGTGCAGCCCGACTTGGTATTTCAAGTACCTTGCACTTGGTGAAGACGAGTCTGCTCTCGACGTCCTGCAGGGTGAGCAGAGGCCTGCCCTCGCCCTCCGGCTCCATGATGCCCGAGGAGGTGGTGAGGCCTCGGTACGCCGCCTGGAACCGCAAGGAGGGCAGGTGAGTGGCCGAGAGGTAATACAGTGTAAGGCGGGGTATGCCGATCGCCGGCGCGGCCGAGAGCGCACCTGGAACTCGTGCACCGCCTTGGTGAGCAGCGGGTAGTCGTCGTCCGAATGCCGGGTGAAATTGTGGATGGTCTGGAGCAGCTTGAGGATCTCCCGGTAGTGCTGCGAGTGAGGGGCACGCGTTAGCGGGTCGGCAAAGGTTTACCGAAAAATCGCTGCCGTCGCTGTGTCTCTCTCGGTCTCTCGCACTCACGGGGCCTCCCGCGTAAGTGCGAGAGAGACAGGGACCGACGGGAACCTACTTCGAGGGGCTTGTGCAGGAAGGCGGTGAGGTCCGGGCGGCGGCGCGGCACCGGCGGGTCGTTGAGGGTGCGCATGAACTCGGGGTTGCGCGTCTTGTTGACGAGCAGCGCGTCGGCCGCCTTGAGCCCCGAGCAGTAGCGGTGGTACGCCACGGTCATCTGGGGGCACACGGCCATGTACACCTGGGCCACCGAGTTGACGAGGGGCTCGCCGTCCTCGTGGATCAGGCGCTCCAGGACGTCCTCGGTGATGCGGAGGATCTGCAAACAGCGTTCGGGCCACCTTAAGTTTATCTCAGCGTATGCAACCCGCGCTGTACGAGGGGTGTAAAATTTCGTGTGACTGACAGACTGTGTTAAAATGTGCATAAGATTTCAGGCTTACATGCGGTTTTCCCGCCCTAATTTGTACAATAAGTGTGAGAAGTTGTTTCCCCCTAGGCGCTGTAGCCTTTCGCATAGCAGCAACCCATTAGTTTTCTTCCGACACCTCGTTTGTACACGGTTGCAGGCTATTTTCCGGCTTGCAGCAGTCTTTCCCTGCCAGTGCACGAGGGTTGCGACCACGCCCTTGCTGTGCAGGGGCCGAAGGGGGCTTTCGGGGGCCGCGAGGGGGCCCGAGGGGGGCCGAGGGGGGCCACAATCGACTCGCAAGCCCGCAGCGCGACGCAGCGCGCAGAGGGCGCAAATGGACTTGGCCGTGGGCAAAATGCCCTTCTCAGTCAGAGAAAGTTGGTGACGTCTTGACCTGCATGAATAACGGAGACCCGCTCGCCTCCTTGACGCACTCCCCCACCCCCTCCCCTAATCACCGACTCCCCCACCTCCCTCCCCTTTTCATCCCCTTGATCGGGGCTGGCGGGGCTGGCGGGGCGCGCCCAGAACGGTGCGGTGCTTTGCGGCGCCAGCACTTTTCCCGCCGACCTGTCAGAAGGAGCACGACAGAGAGGAGCCGGCCCAGCCGGCCCAGCCAGCCCAGCCTGCCTGCTTGTTCTCTTTTTCATTTCTTTCCCCCTCCCCCGGCGGCGCCCCACCCCCCGCCCGCCCCTGATGTGAAATTCATAACTTGACGTCGTCTGCTGGGCGCTGCCTCTGATGGAGACGCCTCGCCTTCTTTTCAGGCGCACTTGATGAATGAAAGTGCTTCCGGCAAGAGACGGTTTGTGTGTGCCGCGACGACGCCGCCGTGGCTGCTGCGCCGTGCTGCGCGCTGCGAGGTGTGAGTGAATCTCTCTCGTTTTGTGCGAGCCGCCAGGGCCGCCAGCCCGGTCGCGTCGTTGCTGGTCGTCCCGAGGGTCGTCCAGCCTCTCGGCCTCTCCCCCACTCACCTCCTGGATGTTCTGGAAGAGCGTCTGGTGTTCCGGGGGCGTGATGAGGTCCCTCCTCTCGGCCAGCGGGACGAGGAACCTGCTGACCCCGAACTGCAGCGCCAGCGAGTAGCTCTGCTCCTTGGACAGGAGCTGGTACACGCTGCGCTTGCGGGCCTCCTCCTTACTGAGTTGCCCGCTGGCCTGGGCGTCGGCCTGTGGAGTGGAGCACGACGTCAGTGTGCGAGACGCTCGTGTCGCACAGTGGGTCAGAAGACCCGCGCAGGCGGCCCAACCCTTGAACGCGTTTTGAGCTCCAGAGTCGCTAATTAGGACTCGAACCGAGCATGTGACCCCACCAATGGATTCCTCGTTCGGAGAGCGTTTCATTGATGGGGTCACACGATCGGTTCGAGTCCTATCTAGCGACTCTAGAGCTGCCACCTGGGCCGGTCTTTGGCCCACTGTGGGTCGGTGCCAACTTTTGGTTGCGGACCACCGAGGAGGCATACCGGAAGTAAACCATCGGGAAATCGATGGTGGATTTAGTAATTTGGGAAATCTAGTCCTTTGTTTTGTCTACTTTGATGCTCAGGCAGAAAAGTGAAGATTTTCAGAGATTACTACTACTTCAGAGTGATTCGTGTAAATATCACACTGTTTTCAACAAATATTTGTGAGAATTATTAATGGTTCTCTCGGACGGTAGGTCCACCAGATTAACAAAGTGGGTAAACCTCAGTCGTGAAAGATTAAGACTTCCATGTCTCGGTTCCCGTGTGTTTAGTGACGTGTTTCCTTTAGGAGACTCGCAGCCCCCGTAGATAATTTATCACATGGGAGGGTCAACCTCGGTATAACAGAATCAACCAGCGGAAGTCGGGTAAGCAGTAGGGAAGTACACTTCCTTCCACCGCACAGTCGCCGTGACACGTATTGTTTAGTTGGAACACATGAACCTGCTACTATGCTACAGCAGCTACGGGCACATGTGCAGTACAGGCGAGCTGTGCGCTAAAGCCATGCATAAAATAAAGCCAGGGTCAAACAAAAAATTGCGGAAACAGGGCACGTCTATTGAAAAATCACATTTATTTATTAATGAAAACATGACAACAAATCCCTTCTTGTTTCAAGCAATATAGGGTTTAAATCACAAGCTTGCAACAATGTAAGAAGGAGACGCAACTATGAAGGGAAGAAGTTAAAATAAATAATAAAGAAAAGGCTACAAGGAAGTTTCTATTTCCAGGGAAGAGGAAAACATTCAACTCGCTTAAACATACAACAAACATGTAAACAAACATAGGAACAAAACGTATACAAAACGTAAATAAACATGGGGTCGGAGCTGGCACGCAGACAGACTGCGTACAAGACAAAGGTGCTTCAAGGTGGGGGCAATAAACATCAAAACATAAACAAATAGAAAACGGCAATTAATAAACAATATTTATAACACAAAATGTGTAAAATCTTAAAACTATAGGAATGCGTTGCGAAGACTCGTATACTTGTCGCACAGTAGGAAAGTGAAAATGTTTTACAAAAGAAATAAACAATGTGAACAGAAAGTAAATGGAAAACAGTGCCAATGAAAAGTGCAGACTTAAAAAAGAGTTGCATTTCAGCAGCACCATTGAATTGGGGAAATTTTGGTCCCTCTGACGGCCTCCACACACACAAAAAAATAACTACGTATATAATTTACAACAAAGTCAGTACAACAGGTATTTTAGCTACCCTCAAGTCATTGCCTATAGCAAATTATGTACAAAAATAAAATAAACATTCATAATAAATAAATAAAACTAATGCAGCGGCGTCAAGCGTCCGCTTTGGCAAGGCCGGGCTCAACAGGTAAGCGTGCTAAGGAGCAGGTAATCCGATCTGCACCACTCCGAGGCCAGCGACATGCCAGCGAGCCGAATGACTACGAGGATCACAACGTGAGGCTAGACCTCCTAGGTATCACTGCGCTCGCTAGACGAGGACGCCCGAACCCACCTCGCTGGAGAAGGTGACTTGCGGCAGGTGGAGTCTCCGCTTGCCCATGTCGGAGGCCGCGGTGCCCGCGGTGGCGGCGGAGCAGGCGGTGGACGGTCTCGGCTCGGGGAGGCGGTGGCTGCTGCCCGGCGTGCCGGGGGCGGTGCCGGGGGCGATGCCGTGTGCGGCGCCGGGGACGATGGGGGTGACCACGGCGGAGGCGGTGACGGCCTTGGAGAGCAGCGCGGAGGAGGTGGACGCGGAGGAGGGCACGGGCCGGGCCTTGGCGGCCGAGCTCACGGCCGGCGTGGACTTTGACTGGGGAACCATGCCGTTGGGACTGTTGCGCCGGTAGACTTCCAGCGTCAGCTGGTTGCCGCATGATCTGCAATGGAAGGGGCCTCTGTTAGAACGTGGAACGTGGAAACGGAAGGAAGTGCCGTCGGGGTCGGCGGGGCGACTTCGTACCTGATAAGTTGCAGCACGTCCTCCTCCGGCAGGGTGACGACGTTGTGCTTGTCGACGAAGATGATGTAGTCCCCGGGGCGGATGCCTGCCTGCTCGGCGGGCAGCCCCGGCTCGACGCGCTCCACGCGGGGCGGCTGCGTCCAGGCGACGGAGAAGCCGAAGCCACCGTTGCTGGCGCGCTGCAGCCGGCGCGTGGCCGTGAAGGGCGTGCGTCCCGGTGGCCGCGGCGTCGCCTGGGGCAGCTGGGGCAGCGGCGGTAGCGGCGGCAGCGTGCCGTCCGGGCCCGTCGGCTCCAGCTCCAGGTGGCGCAGGAAGGTGCTGTCCTCGCTGCGGTCCACTGCAAAGGGCACCACAGGGTTAGGCTCGGTCAGGATCCGTGAGGGGCAAGGCCAGGCAAGGCCACTGTGGGGCAAGGCCACTGTGGGGCAAGGCCACTGTGGGGCAAGGCCACTGTGGGGCAAGGCCACTGTGGGGCAAGGCCACTGTGGGGCAAGGCCACTGTGGGGCAAGGCCACTGCAGGCTCGGACTGGCCAGGGCAGACAGGCAGAAAAATCTGCCGGGGCCTTTCGGGTTTGGGACCAGTAACGTCACAAAGTTGGTCATTGAGTCCTAGTGTATATAGGACGGAAGTAACCGTTTTCGCTGATTTTGGGCGGCCACTGCGTCCGATCTAATTGCGGTCAACGGCCTCCCTCGACGCCCTAGTATTCTTAAGACCCTACTCTTTCATGCCTTGTATCGGGAAGACGTTGACCACAACGATTTTGGCTTTGACCGCAACGATTTTCCGACCAAGTTGGTCAAAAAGTGGTCGAATCTCGGAAATTTGCTGATTTTTCTGACTTTGGGCGGCCACTGTGTCCAATCTAGTTGCCGTAAAAGGCTTCCCTCGACGTCCTAGTATTCTTAATACCCTACTCTTTCATGCCCTGTATCGGGAAGACGTTGACCACAACGATTTTGGCTTTGACCGCAACGATTTTCCGACCAAGTTGGTCAAAAAGTGGTCGAATCTCGGAAATTTGCTGATTTTGCTGACTTTGGGCGGCCACTGTGTCCAATCTAGTTGCCGTAAAAGGCTTCCCTCGACGTCCTAGTATTCTTAATACCCTACTCTTTCATGCCCTGTATCGGGAAGACGTTGACCACAACGATTTTGGCTTTGACCGCAACGATTTTCCGACCAAGTTGGTCAAAAAGTGGTCGAATCTCGGAAATTTGCTGATTTTTCTGACTTTGGGCGGCCACTGTGTCCAATCTAGTTGCCGTAAAAGGCTTCCCTCGACGTCCTAGTATTCTTAATACCCTACTCTTTCATGCCCTGTATCGGGAAGACGTTGACCACAACGATTTTGGCTTTGACCGCAACGATTTTCCGACCAAGTTGGTCAAAAAGTGGTCGAATCTCGGAAATTTGCTGATTTTGCTGACTTTGGGCGGCCACTGTGTCCAATCTAGTTGCCGTAAAAGGCCTCCCTCGACGTCCTAGTATTCTTAAGACCCTACTCTTTCATGCCCTGTATCGGGAAGACGTTGACCACAACGATTTTGGCTTTGACCGCAACGACTTTCCGCCTAAGTTGGTCAAAAAGTGGTCGAATCTCGGAAATTTGCTGATTTTTCTGACTTTGGGCGGCCACTGTGTCCAATCTAGTTGCCGTAAAAGGCCTCCCTCGACGTCCTAGTATTCTTAAGACCCTACTCTTTCATGCCCTGTATCGGGAAGACGTTGACCACAACGATTTTGGCTTTGACCGCAACGACTTTCCGCCTAAGTTGGTCAAAAAGTGGTCGAATCTCGGAAATTTGCTGATTTTTCTGACTTTGGGCGGCCACTGTGTCCAATCTAGTTGCCGTAAAAGGCTTCCCTCGACGCCCTAGTATTCTTAAGACCCTACTATTTCATGCCCTGTATCGGGAAGGTTATTGACCGCAACTAGTTTGGGAGCGGTAGGCTCACAAAGTTGGTCATGAAGGGTAAAAACATAATGATGATCGGGGGCCTTTTGCGGTCTTATCCGCTGGGGCCTTTTGGGGGCCAGTCCGAGCCTGGGCCACTGTGGGGCAAGGGCGAGGCCTACTGACCTGTGGCGGTGGTGGAGGTGTTGGCTGCCACGGACTCCATCGTCCTGCTTGAGAACATGGCCCTCCTTCGCTCGGCTCTTTCCTGGCCGTGCGACGCATCGGCGGGCTGGACGGCCACCTGGCTGGCCGACTGGCTGGCCGACTGGCTGGCCTGGATGGCGGCGCATGGCGTCTCTACCGGCGCGTTCTGGCTCCGTCCCGCGGCCTGGGGCAACAGGCGGAACGTGCCGCTGACCTCCTTCTTAACGGCATGCTTGACGGCGAAGGACATGCATCCCAGGAACTCGCTCCTCCTGCAACAACGAGAAGACGGTCATTAGTGGAAGTCGGACTGGAAGAAAGTTGAGCGGCGCTCTGCAGTGTAGGGTGTCGCTGCGCTACACCGCGCCGCGAGTACACGAGGCTGACGGCCAGACAGCGCTGTGGGGCTTCCCTCCCCGCGCCGCGCCGCCCGGGTCACGCCAGAGGCGCAGCGCACAGCCAGGCGCAGGCCCTGCAAACAAAATGGCGGCCGCGCTGCACGCCGCTGCGATTCGGACTGTCGGAAAGGCCGGAAACTTAGGCGGGGCGCGAGGGCGACACTGCACCAACGAGCGCTGCAAGGTGCACGCTGCAACGGCTGCAACTCACTCCTGGTACGCCACATCCCCCAGCTGGTACTGGCGGCTCTGCTTGCGCAGCTTGACCCTGCCCAGGACCGTCCCCGCGGGCGCAGCCGAGGCCGCGGACTGCCCAGCCGGCACGGCCTCCTCGGGGATGACGCGCGGACGTCGCGGCCGCAGCGAGAACTTGGTCATGGCGACCTCGAGCACGGCGCCGCGCCCCCATCGGCACCTGCCACCTGGCGGTCGGCGGGCCGAGCACTGAGCGCCGCTGGGCCGTGGCCTGGCCCTGGCCATGTGGACCGCGGCGCGCGGCCGGACCCCGCGGCCACACAGACGTCAACCACGTCACTGCAGCGGCAAGTCCCGCGGGGAAGGGAGGGGGGACGGGACAGTGGCAAGGACGTGTCTGCATCTGCATCGAGAAAGGTGTGCCGGAGAGAGGCGACGAAGCGAGCAACAAGTCAGGCCTTCGCTGAAACACAGGCTACTCCGAGATTCGAACCACAGACTGGCGGACTGGAAAGCTGACGCCGCGGCGCACTCGACTACCGCAGCAGCTTGCTCACCGGCTGTCTCCGCTGCCTCCGGGGCCACCGCCGTTCTGTCAGGCTTCGACGGCCACCGTCCTGGGCGCCGCGACGGGCGCGGCCGCGGGCACGGCCTGGTGCGTCGGCGTGCCCATGTCCCCGGCCACCATGGCCACCACGGACGACGGCATGGGCGCTACCGGCGCCGTGGTGGCGACGCCGCGGAAGACGTGGTTGTGGTAGTCGGGGTGATGCGGCGGCTTGGACGGCGCCGCCGCTGCCGCCGCTGCCGCCGCGGGGGCGAGGGGCCCCTCGAGGGGCCCGCAGGCGGCCTCGCTGGACGACATGCTGGAGTGCGGCCTGTAGGGGGCTCGGCGCGGCGCGCTACGCTAGCATGACGCGGCTGCAAAGACAGACGGTGTCGGGAGAGAGTCGGCGTGGCGCGTGCAGCGCGTGCGTGCGTTCACGAGGATGCGGCCAAATCAGCTGATTCGCTTCGTGACCCACTTCTTGATGACTGCGATGCTCTACACCTCGCTCGTCAGCTGGAGGTGCCTCCCTCATGGCCTGCTGCCCCTTTCCCCCCTCCCCCTCCCCCCCGGCCCGCTCGGGCCGCCCGACCGCCCCTCCCCACGGATCAATACCCCGCACCCCACTGGCGTGCCACTGGCGTGCCACTGGCGTGCCACTGGCGTGCCACTGGCGTGCGGGGCTGCCCCCTCGCTGCCGGCTACCGGCCACCCTATTTGCTACCCTCGGGGCTACCCGGTACTGCCTCCAACAAGGCGCACAGGCACATGATGAGCTACAGCACCGCGCCGGACGGCGCCGGGCCGAGCCGAGCCGCGCCGCCGTTAGCCCTGCAGGCATGCCGGGACGGCCGGGACTGTCGGCCAGCTGCGCGTCGCCTCGGCGCGCCTGTGATGCGCGGCGTAGGCCGCCCGCTCGGCGACCGCGTCGGCGGGTGCAAGAATGGCCTATCCGCCGGGCGCTCTGCTCCCTTAAACCTGCTCAGCCCCCCACCTTGGCGAGGGAGGGCCTCGTGTGGCCCACTAGGGAGGACACATGCCCTCGGCCAGGCCCAGAGCACCGCAGTCTGCTAACCGCGAGTTCGCACGCACGCACGCACACACACACGCACACTGCCACACACACTGGCACGCACGCACGCGCACGCGGGCGCCGCGGTCGTGACGGTCACTCCGGATGCACGTCGGGCCGACGCCGCGTGGCGCTGCCTGCTGCCTGCGGTGGCTGCGGCGTGAGAGGGGAGGGGGATGCTCACTGGCGGTGGTCCCGACGGCCGGGCACTCCGGGCAGCACAGGCACCGCGCGCTCCGAGGGCTCATCTCACACTGCCGCCACCGCCGCCATCCAGGGAGGCAGCGCTGCTTGCACCCCGCCGGGCCCAGGCGAGGCCTGGCTTGCTGTGCTGGCCCGGGTGGGGGCGGGGCGGGGCGGGGCGGGGCGGGGCGGCGGTGGGGGCGCCCGGCCCAGCCAGCCGCCGGCCGCGACGCGACGCGACGCGACGCGGCCCGAAAGGGTAGCACGGGACGGGGACCGGGGACACGCAGCCTGAGATGAGCGCTGCTTATCGCTTTGCTCGTGGTATTGCTTAACGTTTTGCTGGTTGCTCGGACGCGCGGCGCGAGGCCCGGTCGCCGCGGAGGGCAGGGGGCGGGGCTCGGCCTGGCTCGGCCTGGGTGACCCATATTTCCGGCTGGGTGGCGTGCGTGCACTGGCGCGGCGGCGCGCGGTGGTTGCTGCAGGTGAAATATTAACTCCCGCCGGCATGCACGGCCGCAGCTCGCCGCCCAGACGAGCGCTGCGCTGCGCTGCACCCTGGACGGCTTGGCTTCCTCGGCTGCGGTTCGCGGCCCAATCGTTGCGCATCGATCGTCAGCGCGTTATTCACCCCGATGACGTCACGGGTAGGTCCAGCAGGACGGCCTGTTCGCGGCTTCGCGCGTTTCCAGCTCCAGCGATATTGATTCGGCCTGGCAACTGCACTGCAGTCTGGCTCGGTCTGGCCGGCCTGGCTCGCGGCAGAAACGCCACGCGTGCGTCATGCCCATGACTGCCATGACAGGGTGGGGTGCGCCGCGGCTCGTCAGACTTCTTCCTGTTGTTCGGTTTGCAGGCGGCTGGGCCCGCTGGGCCCGCTAGGCCCCTTTCCCCCGGGCCCGTCGGCTCGTCGCGCCGCGCGGGACGGCAGGCTAACGATGTGGCGAGGATGGCCACGCCGCCACGCCGCCACGCCGCCACGCCGGCATCCTTGGCGTTGGGGTTGAAGAATCCGTTCCGCGCCCCTCCTCGCGCACTCCCCCCGCTCTAACCTACATTTCACAAAAGAGGGCCCTCCACCGCCCCTCCGGCCCTCCGGCCCTCCCCGCCGCTGGCTGGTGGCACTGGAATGCGATCCTTAAGGGGCGCCCCGTTTCGCGACCCGAATTTTCGCCTTGTTTGTCCCTGCAGCGTTGCGGGCCGTGAAGCTGTGGGCCCTGAAAGCGAACGCGGCGGGGAAGGGAGGGGAGGGGGGAGGCGCGCCTCGGCTGCCTCGGCGGCCGGAGTGCCTGACGGGACTGCCTGCTAACCCGCAGCGCCGCAGCGCCGCCCACGCCATGTTTTCGGGGGCCAGCCCCGGCCAGCCCCGGCCAGCCCCGGCCAGCCCCGGCGGGGGGTCGGCGAGCCTTGAGGGATAATAAATATTTGAGGGGGCAAGGCCCGGGCGCCGTCCAGCGCCGTCCAGCAGCACGCAGCCTCACCGCACAGCGCCGCGTGGACCGGGGATTTCAGCCAGCAGAAGACATGGAGCGGCGCCGTGTGTGTGTTTGGGTGTGTGTGTTTGTGTGAGAGGGAGGGAGACAGTGGCGTCTAGCTGGGGATCCGCCAGCGTCCCCCCGTGGATAAATGACAAAGATTCCAACTTGTTTTGACCAATTCGGCGGCGCCGTCGCGTTCTAGGCCAGACGCTGCGCCGACCGTGCCGACGCGTGGTGGTGGTGGTGGTGGTGGTGGTGGACGACGACGACGAGGACCGCCAGAAGAAAGGGGGTCGATGCTGACGTCCGAAGTCCAGCTGGAGGGCGCCGCGGCGGCCGCCACCCGGAATGCTAAGTGGTCCCCGTTGATAAAGAAACGCTGCTCGTAGCGGGCGCCGATGAGCCTCCGGTCCGCCTGACCACTTCCGGTGCGCCGGCCGAGCGGTTCCCGGCAGAAACCGGCACGCACAGTGGGCCAAAAGACCGGTGGAGGCGGCTGAAACTCTAGACGCGTTTTGAGCTCTAGAGTCGCTAAACAGGAGTCGAACCGAACGAGTGACCCGATGTAACCCCATCAATGGATCCCTCGTTCGGAGAGCACTCCATTGTTGCGGTCACTTGGTCTGATTTGGCGACGCTGGAGTTCACAACGCGTCCGGGGTTTTGGCCGCCTCCACCGGTCTTCTGGCCCACTGTGCGGCACGGCGCGGCGTGGACCGCACGGCATGCACGGCGGCGATAAAGCGAGTCGCCTCCAATTTCACTTCGGAGTTTGCACAGCGGAAATGAATGTGGCCGCCCCTCCGCACACCGCCGCGGCGAGTCCCGTGTAGCCTTGTGTAGCAGCGGCGAACCGCGGCGTGTAAGCACTACGTAGTACGTAGCGCGCAGTGTGTCGTCGTCGTCGTCGTCCCCCGGGGCCAAACTCGCGCGCCGCACGGCCGCGCTAATTTCACTCGGCCATCGGTCGCGGCGAGTTTGCGGCGCGGCCTTGACGACGGGGAGGACGACGACGTCGTGCACTGCGAAGGGGGCCGAACAAGGCGGGGCCGTGGGGTCCACGACGGCAAGCCCGCCTCTAATGTGTTGCAATTTTAACGAAATTCTTTGTAGCTCCTCGCGGTACTTTATACCCGCCGGGACGAGCGCCGGGGGCTGTGCGGATGGCGGCGGCGCGGCGAGACGGCGATGGAACCGCATCGCAGTCGCCCGGGGGAAGGCTGTACATAGGCGAGGGGGAAAATGTCGCGGCGCCGAAGGAGGAAATTCCTGCAACTATTTGCGTCGGCCGCCGGGGCGGTGGGAGGAGGACGACGAAGGGCAGCGCGTCGAAGAAGGACCTGCGCGGAATGGAGGAGATCCCCGTGGAGGAGAAGAACGCCCACGAAGAGCAGCAGCGACGTGGAAGGACGGCGCCGGGGAAGACGCGCGTGAAATAGAGACCCTGGCTCGCCCTGGCTCGCCCTGGCCGGACTGCGCGAGTGCGCGACAGAGACGGAGAGACGGAGAGCGCCGAGCGAGAGGACGCCTTGCCTCGCCGCCTCGCCCCTTTCCCGGTGCCCCTCGGGTGCCCCCTCGGGGGCGTCGCACTTTGCTCGGGAAATATTTACGGCGGCCGAATGGCGAATGCCGAATCGATCGGGAAGGCAGGAAGGGAAAGCACCTTGCGGGGCAGGCTGGCCCGGCCTGGCCCGGTCCCCCGGTTCGGTCTTTCGGCCCGCCGGGCCCGCCCCGATACACTGCTACCTGTTACGTTAGCCAACTTACCGCTTGTCTCGGTCCCGGTGCCACACGGAGATGAGGACGCGCTTCTCCAGGTCGGCCTCGTGCACCTCGAACGAGAACTTGTGGTCGAAGAAGGGCTGGCTGGAGTCGCGGTGGACGCAGGTGCGCCGGAAGGTCTTCTCCTCCGTGGCGCCCGCCACCAGGCTGACCTGCGGACACAAGGGGCGGTTAGTTTGCGCTGTTTGGCTGTGCTGCCTGGGGAACAACAAGAATGCCGCAAGGACGAGTGTGCGTTGCGGTCGGGCTTCGCTCGGCCTCGCCAAGCGAGCGCTGCTCTGAAAGCCGCCCGCCCGTCGGCCCGCGCGGCTGCGGGAAGCCCAGGCACGGCCCAGGCACGGCCCAGGCACGGCCCAGGTGTGGCATTGTGTTTGCGGATTGTTTTCCCATTTCTTTGGCCCGGCCTTGTGGCACGCTGCGGCCCCGCCGTGGCCCCGCCGTGTGGCCCCGCCCCGCGGCGCGCCCCGGTGCTCCGTTTTGGCGGCAAGTAGTGCGTGGTCGCGATGAACGGAGGCGTCCCGCGGCAGCACGGCGGCCCGACGGCCCCTGAGCCGGTCACGTAGTCACGTCCACCCTCCGGCCGCCCCGCCCCGCCGACTCCCTCCCCCTCCTCCCCCGTTAGCCGTTACTCATGGTTCCCACGTCGCGGGTCGTCGCCAGGGCCTCGGGGCCGGCCGCCCGGAATCCTGGAATCCTGGAATCCGCCGAGCCAGCACAATTCAATGATGCGGCGCCGCGAGGTACTTTATGGCGTCGTCTGGGAGGAAGGCGCTAGGCCCGCTTCTAGGCGCGGGGGAGGGGGCGGGGGGTTGGGGCGGTGATTTCGCCGGCGGCGAGCTGGCGGCCGAGTGTGCCCCTTGCGGGGCCCGTGTGGAGCCCGCTCGGGGATCGTGTGGGTCCAGGGGGATGAGAGCGGCGGACAGGCAGGGCAGGCAGCAGGGTGGCGGCCAAGTAGACACACGCGGTGTAGTGGTCGCCGCGCGGTCAGCAGGGGGCTGGCAGGCAGGGCTGGCAGGCAGGGCTGGCAGGCACACCCCCGCGCGTGTGCGCCCCATCGCGTCATAAATTTGGCGACGACGCTATCGCGCGCTCAGCGCATGCTGCCGTGTGTGTGTGCGCGTGTGTGCGTGCGTGGTACGGAAAGCACAGAGCGGAGAGCGCGCGGGGCGAGGAGAGAGTGTGGTCGGACAGCACGACAGCGGACGAGGTAGCAATAGGTGGTTGGTGGCTGGGCGTCAGTCCCCACCCCACGCCCACCCCGCGGACCCCGCGGGCCCCACTCCCTCCCCCGGGCGGTCCGGGCTCCGGGTCCGCTCTGGCTGCTCCGGCTCCGGTAGCTCTCCTCTCCCGACTCTCTCGGAGCCAAGCGCTGCTCTGCGCTGCTCTGCGTCGATCGATAGTGCTTAGGCGCGCTTCCACGCCCCCTCCCCCCTCCCCCTCCCCCACGCCGCCGCGCCCCCCGCGCCCCCTGCCCCGGCCCCGCTTCCCGCCACGTCGCCACCCCAGGGCAGTTGTGAAGCGCCGTCTCCGTCTATCCGCTCTCTCTCTATCTCCTTATTCTCTCTATCCTCTGTTTGCCGAGTTGCCAATCGGGCATGGTTTCGGCCGGTCTTTCCCTTCGGCCCACGCGCGCCTTTCCCGTCTTCTCCGCACTGTGTCATCCGGTGCGCCCCGGCAGCCCTCGGCAGCCCTCCGGCCCGCCCCAACTTTCCCGCACCCACTCCCAGTTTTCATTTAGTTGGCGCGGAAGTTAGTTGTTGCCTGTTGTCGCCCCACACCGAGGTCCGCGCCGTGCGCCCCCGCCCCGCCCCGCCCCGCCCCGCCGCACGCGGTCCCAACGAGGACAGAAAGGGTAAAAAATTGGCCGTGTGTGGCGCAGCGCCGCACGGCGGGTTTAACTTTTGATGAATGAATGAGGAGAAGCGCGCGCTGGCGGCCTGGCGGCCTGGCGGCCTCGGCCTGCACTACCGGAGATTGAGGGATGCCTGCCCGTCCTGCCCGTCCGCCCCGCTGCCGTGATTCGCGCCTCCACCGCCACCGCTTCGCCCACATGCTCCCCATACTCCCCATGGACGCTCTGCTAGCCGCCCTGCGCGCTGGCCCGCCGCCAAGCAGCAGGCCGTCGAGCAGGCGAGGGAAGGGACCCGAAGGGACGCACCGACTGCGGGGCCCCGAGCCCCGACTCCGTGGGCTGTCCTCGGGGAGGGCGTGGAAAAGGTCGGCACGGCTGTGAGCAAAGGCCAACTACTCGTGGCGGTTCGCTGGGTTCGCTTCGGCGCGCAGGTGAAGCGGTAATGGGCCGCCGCACGACCGCGAGCTGGCCGACGTGGCCGACCTGGCCGACGTGCCGCCAACGGGGCAAGTTTGGCGCCGCGCCAAAGTAAATGACGAAAGTATGGAATGGTTCGGCGGGGCGGAGGGCGCATGGCGCGGGGTGCCTTTCCGACCGTGGGAACGAGGAGCGCAGAGGCGCTGGCTGGTACTCACCTTGACGTAGGCGTTGCAGGAGTCGCCGCCGGGTCGCCGGAGGCCGTTGCCGCGCACCACTGAAACAACATCGAAGCGAAAGGTGAAGACGAGCACGAGGATGCGGTCCGGGACGGGCCGCGGCGGCACGGCGGGCGCCTTGGCGGGCGCGGAGGCCGCGGCGGCGATGATGTCGGCCACCATGTCGGCGGGGGCGCGGCGGTCCGCACTTGTGGCTGGCGGCGCTGGCGGCCCCCGGTGCACCGCGTGGTGGTGTCAGCCGTCGGGCTCATTCGCTTGCAAGGGAGCCCTCGGCGTCTTTATTCTTTGGCGCGTAACAGGTAGGTGGATCGGCACGCCCAGGACGGCGACGGCGAGGTCGCGGTGGCCGGCGCGCGCTGAGGCCCGGCCGACGTGGCCGACGGCGATGGGGCGATTGACGACGCGAGGCGATCGCGGCGGGGCGATGTCGGTTACTGGACGGCCGGCGTCGTTGCGTCGTTAGCGTGCAAGGCGGCGTGGCGGCCGCGGCTCGCCGTGGTCAGCAGCACGAGGCCTTCCGCCGTGGCCGCCACGGCGCCGCGCACGCCACCGATTGCCGCCTGCCCCCGCCTGCCCCCGCCTGCCCCCTGCCTGCCCCCGCCTGCCCCCACACGCCCCCGTTCACCCTCAGCCCCCGCATGCACGAGCAGGCCGCCGCCGCTTATCGGCGTAATTGGCCTGGAATGCGGGATCCATCCGAGTCTCGGGCGATGGCGGTTGTCTGACGTACCCGGACCCCCGCCCTCACCCCCCTGTCCCGCCGGACTTCACCCACAGAGCCTGAATGACTTATGAGAGGGCGCCGTGCCAACCCTCCCCACCCCACCCCCTCCTCCGCGGGGCGGAGCGAACGGCCAGCACGGAACGAAATCCGGCCCGGAATGACATGGGACGCCAGTGCAGTGGTATTGCGAAGTGTCTTGCCCCCACCGCCCTCGCCGTCGCCGACGTGCAGGTGCAAGGCGTGCAAGGTCACGCGGCGAGGCGCCAGGCACTTGGCCGCCACGCTCGCAGCGGCGTGCAGTCCTTGCAGTGCAGTGGCGTGATGTGGCGCCGCGCTGCCGCCCAGCCCGGCGGCCTGGCCACCGCGACATCGGAATCCCGACGCGGCGGCGGTGATTGGGGCAATCGGGGCGACGCCTTCGGAGGCGCCACCTGCACGCAGTGCCGCACAGTGCCACGCACCTGGAGCCAGCTCAGGAGGGCATGGCCCAGGAGGGCCCGGCCCACGGCCTGGACGCGCACACACCCCTTGCCCCAATATTAATGAGTGTGTGAGGCGGGGGCGGGGGAGGGGCAGAAACGGAGAAGCAGCCAGCGGGAAGGGTAGCCGCTACGCTCGTGCATTTTTCACCGCGGTCTCGAGTAAAAGCCCACATCTGGTCGTAAAAAAGGTGAAGCATTTTTCGTCTCGAACCGCGCGGCCCCCCGCACAGCGCACAGTGCGCGCGACTCAGGCGGCGGCGTGCGAGGAGCCCGGGCCGCCGTCACGGACTGCAAGAACGCGGCGCAGCGCAGCAGTGCGCAGCGGCAGCCTCTGTCCGCACGGCGCCGCACGCACGGCGGTCTGCACGACCCGGCCGACGACCCAGGGGCTGCAAAATTGATACCGGCCGGACTGCGCGCGGTGCGCGGCCGAGCTGAAGAAGTACAGCCTCGCCGCTAAGGGGCGGCGGCCTTGGGCCCTGCAGGGCGGGCTGGCCCTGGCGGCCTGGCCCTGGCGGCCTGGCCCTGGCGGCCTGGCCCTGGCGGCCCCACCCCCTGACCGGCCCGACTGGGCCCGACCTGCCCGGCCGCGGTCAGCGCGCTGCATGCAACGCGGCCGTACCCCGCCGCGGTCACTTATTACAGGGACGGACGTCCTGTCCCGGAGCGGCCCCGACGGACGGAAGGCCGGCCGGGGGTTCGAATCCCGGCGGTGCCGCGCGCCCTTTTCTACCCACCCCCACCCCCCTTTCCCCCTTGTACCCCCAGTGTGCTGTAGCGCACCGCCAATCAGAAATACGCATGAATTTCGCAGAGCCCCTCCCGAAATGGGTTTCCGGTGGCCAGCCTTGGGCAACTCCCATTCCGCGAAACAACTTCATTTCTCATGAGGCCTCCCAGGCGCGGAACAATGGCTGCGCCGGCATGACTGCCTGCGTGTGTGTGTGCATGTGTGTGTGTGTGTGTGTGTGTGTGTGTGTGTGTGTGTGTGTGAGTGCGCGAGACACTGCAACTGTGTCGCCACCGACGATGTCGGCGCTCACGGGGTGTGCGAAATGATTTTTCAGTCCATTAATTCGTCGGCCCGCCCGTCGTCTCGCGCGTCCCGCTTTTTGTTCGCGCCGACCAATCCTACACTCATTAGTGCCCGGCCGGTATCAATGACAAAAAGGACTTGCCAGACACGCTGGACACGGCCTCACGAACGCCGCTAACTCGCTGCCCGATAAAACGCGGCGGCCGAGGGGGGAACAGCTTCCCACATTCGTTGTACAAAAATTGACCACATTCCACATTCAGGAGGGGGAAACGCCTGTAAGTAGGCAACATGTGTGGCAAAAATGCCAGAAATCTTGCACATTCTTGCACATTCACACAATCATTGTACACCAAATTTTACAGTGGGGCACCCCTCGGCGGCGGCAGACACGCAGGGGCTGCTTTCGGAATCGGGGCTCGTTACTTTATATCGGAATTTTTTGAAAGTTTGCCGTCGCCATTTTGTCGCGAAATAAAGTGGTTCGGCCAATGAGGCTGAGCGAGGAGACACTGTTCCGGCCAGCTGGCCCGAGATTTATCGCGAAGTGCCGCAAGACGGTCCGCCCGCCGTTACTCACCGTGGACAGTCAGCTGGTCATCAGAGGCACAGATGTTGAGCTCCAACTCGCCTGCGGAAGGGCAGAAAAAGGGACAAACGTCAACACACAAGTCGTTAACAAAGGGCTGATTCTGGCACGGAGCGCGCGGCCCGGGCTTGGCCGGGCTTGGCCCTCGTCTCGGGCCTCGGTGCCAACGCCCCTCCCCCTCGGAAACTGGGAACGGGGAGGACGCGCGGAACGGAAATCACTTGCCAGGGAAGCACCTCGCCGTGGAGTCGTTCCCGCGACCACCACTCGAACCGCCGCCGGCAATGCCGCAAAGCACTCATTGACTTTGTATCGGCGGGGCGGCGGCGAGGACCACTCGAGTGTCAACAAATGGGCAACATTACGCTGCACACTGATTCCGAGAGCCGTTTTCGTCGCTCTGTCTCTCTCGCTCTCAAGGGGCGCCCCCTCTAGGTGCGAGAGAGACAGGGCGACGATTTCGGAATCAGTGTACTGGCTGCGCTGCGCTCGTTGCAGTCTGGTCGCCATTCTCCGCTTCCCCCGCTTTTGCGTTTTTCATTCTTTTGGCGAGCATTTTTTCGTGGGTTCGCGCGCGATGTCGGAGGGCGCCCGCGAGGGGGAGTTGGGAAAGAGCGCGCGAGGGAGGGAGAGAGAGGGGGGCAAGGACAGACAGAGGCGACCAATGACCCATGTGATTCGATTACCGGCGATACCTGAGTGGACACATGATCAGCGCGGCAGCGCGGCCAAGCCGGTGCAAAAGGCACGACGTGGCACGACTGCGCCGCTGCGTCAGTCGATAGTTTCTTTATAATCAAGACATCCTCGCGTTTTGGCCTTTCATGCCCCGCCAGCCCCTTTTGTGGAAAAGAAATAATGATTTTGTACGCCGCGACTCTAACGGCGCGGCCCCGCCCGCGCGGCACTGCTGCGGTGCGAGCACTGCTTTCGTCGCTCTGTCTCTGTCGCTCTCACGGGGCGTCCCGTCGGGGTGCGAGGGAGACAGAGCGACGGAAGGAGTGTTCGGAATGAGTCCGCCGCGGCACTCAAGGAGCCGCGACAATGGCGCGCACGGCGTGCACGTCGTGCACACTGCAAGCGCAGCAAGTGGGGTAATGTTGCGACAGCGCCGCCAGCGGGTCGCGGTCTGGTCGCCAATTTGTCATTGCGGCTGGAAGCCCTTTCCGGCCCTTTTGGGTGCAATGCGGTGCGAAGCTGGAAGCGCGAACGGTGCGGTGGCGTAATGGGGGCGGCCGACGTGCCGACGTGTCGCCATCAAAGCTGCGGACCGATTCCGGCGGGTCGTTCGTTTTAGTTTGGTCGCTCTGTCTCTGTCGCACTCGCGGCGCGCCCCGTGAGGGTGCGAGGGAGACAGAGCGACGGAGCGAGCCCTCGGACACGCCGGGCTGCATCCGTCAGACTGCAACGGACGCACTGCCTCATCGATCACTGGGGCGGCTCGATGGCCGGATTGCTTACCGGGCAGGACGACTTCCTTGCAGCTCCGGTTGCGCCAGTTGCACGACTTGCGCCGGCTGCGGCACGACGACGTGGACGAGGCGCACGACGAGGACGACCCCGAGGACGGCGTGAAGGCGGCGTCGCCGAGGTCCAGGTCCAGCGACACGGCCCCGTTGGCGCCGGGCGAGGCGAAGAGCAGCCCCTTGCGGGACCGGCAGCGCCTGTCCACCAGCGCGTAGGGAGACGGCGCCGCTGCGGGGATCAGAACAAGGCTCACTTTTTGGCGGTTTGCATTTCCATTTGGAGACAGGAAGCAGGAGGGCGTCGGGGAGACGGAGCGACGCGACGCCCGCGCGCTCTGTGCGCCGCGGCGGGAAGCGCGCCGCGCGAGGCGGGGGTAGCGCCGGCATACCCCTCGCCGCGAGGGACTCCGCAGCGTGGGGTGTCTCGGCGGCGCGCACCGCGCACGGCAGCCAAGAGCTCGGACTGGCACACTGGCACTCACCGTAGTCGTCGGATCCCTCGTCGGACTCGCCGTCGTCGGAGTCGTCCCGAGCGACGGGGGTCTGCACCACCTTCTCCACGCGGTGCGAGTCCCAGGTGTCGTCGGTCTGCGGGGTGCCCCGGTTGACCAGGAGGGACGCGCTCGCGAAGTCGGCGTCGGCCAGGTCGGCGTCGGCCAGGTCAGCGCGGTCGGTGGCGTGGGCCGCGTCGAGGGAAGCAAGCTTGTCCGCCATGGACACGGACTTGGCGTTGGGCAGCGACGCGAGGGCGGAGCGCGGCAGCAGCGGCGTGGAGCACATGAAGTTGGGGTCGAGCAGCGTGGTAGACTCCGCGGTGCGGCAGCTCATGGTTCGGTCCTCGGGGCTCTCGGGGCTGGGGATCCCAGTGGGGAGGGTGAGGCCGTACCGCCGCGATCTGTAAAAAAAGTAGGTTGTGTGAGTTAGGAGCAGCTGCCGGGAAAGAAGAAAGTATAAACCGTTGTAGAAACAGCTAGCGGGGCTTACCTCGCCGACGAGGCCGTCGTGGAGGCACTGGGGGCGTCGATGCCGTGGGATGACACCGTGGAGGTGGACGACGTGGGCCTGCCCAGCGTCGCCGTGGTGGAGGACGAGTACCCCGAGGACGAGAGCCCTCGCGGGGAGATGGACTCGGCGTCGTCGGTCTCGCCGGGGATGTTGGGGCACGACACGGCCGCGGACAGCGGCGACAGCGGGGACCGCGGGGACCGCCTGCTGCAGTCCAGGGCCTCGGCGATGCCCGCCGCGTCGCTCAGGGTCGTCCTGCGGCGTCGGCGCACGCAGCGCTGGCGCCGCAGCAGGGACAGCGTGGAGGCGTTGACGTCGCCCAGCGGCGAGGACAGCGCCGGGATGTCGCTCAGGCTGGACGCCGTGGAGCAGGCGATGGAGGGGGGACGGTAGCCGGGGAACAGGGAGCTGAGCGAGGACGAGCACAGCGACGCGGTGGACGCGGGGCCGTGGTTCAGCAGGCTGAGCGTCGACGACGACGCGGCGCTGCAGCGTGACCGCTTGTTGGTGTCCGCGACGCCGGGCGTGGGCGTGCAGGGCACGCGGAAGGCGGGGGCGTCGGCGGCGACGCCGCAGCCCGACATGCGTCGTCGGCGCGCCGTGAGGGGGCAGTGGTTGAGCTGCGGACTAGAGGCGTGCCGAAGCGGCGAGGGCTGGGGGGCGTCGACGGACAGGTAGCGGCCGTCGTGGCCGAAGGGCGGGAAGGGGCACTGCGTGGCGCACTGCGTGGCGCACTGCGTGGGGTCCATGTCGCGCTGCGCTTGGAGACGCAGCCACGTGAGGCGGCAGGCCAGCGGCGACACTGCCGACGGCGAGGCCAAGCTGTGCCGCGTCCGCGCCACGCCTGCGTGCTGCGGGGCCGTCGGCGTGGCGGGCGAGCCCTCCATGTCGGCGTCGGCGAGGTGCGCCGTGTCGCGCAGGCGGTGCCACCGGTTGAAGGCGGCGATGAGGGGCGTGGTGAGCGGCAGCGCGGACGGCGGCGGCGGCACGCGGTCTGCGTGGTCCTGGCGGTCCTGGTGGTCGGTGTGCACGAGGCGCCCCGTGTCCGCGCTGGGCTCCAGCACGCTCGAGTCAAACAGGCGCCGCCGCAGCGCCAGCAAGCTCTGCGTGGACCGCAGTGGGCACGGCGAGTACTCGATGGCCATCGGCGACGCGGTGCAGGACGCGTCCATCTGTTCGGCGGCGACGCGGTCCAGCATTTTTAGTAGCGTCTCCCCCGGCGAGGCGTCTTTCTCGTCCTCAGCGGGCACCCCGGGCACCATGGCTGTGACTGCGGGCTCCACCGCGGCGGCGGGGCTTGGTGGCTGGCATGTCTTGGGGGACGTGGCCGGCCTCACGTGGTCCACGACGGTCTCCTTGGTGGTGCCCAACGGGACGACCACGGCGCAGCGCGCCGCGTCGGCGGCCGTCTCGACGGACGGTCGCACGAACCTCGGCGTGGCGGCGTGCTGTCCGGAAGACTTCCTGCGGCGGTGGCGGCGGCCGAGCGGCCCGGCAGACCGGCTGCACTGTTTGACTCCCCGCGACTTGGGGGCGGACTTGGCCAGCTCGCGGCTCTGCCGGATCCTGGCCACGCCGCTGGAGGTGGTCCGCTGCCGCGGCAGGTACTTGAGCGTGGCGACCTGCGCCTCGAGGCTGGGCTGCGCGGCGTGCGCGGCCCACGCCTGCATGGGCTCCTCGTCGCCCTGGTCCTCGTACGGCTGGATGGTGACGGTGCGCCGGCTGCGCGACCGCTTGGACTCGGGCGTGATCGGCATGGCCGTGGGCATGGACAGCCGCCCCGACCCGGACCCGGACGACCTGCTGCGCGGCGCCTCGAGCGACGTCCGGGCCGCGTTGGCGATGTTGGTGATGTCGCGGCACTGGCTGCGGCTGCGCTTCTTGCCGGACTCGGGCGTCTTGAGGCCCAGCGACAGGCGCTCCGTGGGCGTGGCTTGGTTGCTCACGTCCCGCAGCGCCAGGAACACGTTCCGCGGCGAGAAGGCCTGCTCGGGGGTGTCCTGCACAGGAAGGCGCCACGGTGAGACCCTGCTCCACGCCGCCGCGGATTCGCATGGGAACCCGGGCCGCACACTTACAGCGTTCTCCTTGTCGCCGAGGCCCTCCAGCGTGCGGCGGCTGGACCTGCGGGCCGCCCTCCGCGCCGCGCGCGCCTGGCCGTGGCCCTGGCCGTGGCCGTCGGCGTCCTGGTCCAGCAGCAGCCCGATGGCGGCGCCGCAGCTCCTCCGCGCCATCATGTGCGACAGCGACGGGCCGGGGGACAGCGACGCCGAGCTGCTGCCCGGGCCAGGGCCAGGGCCGGGCCCCGGCGTCCGCGTGGACGCCCTCTGCTGGCACACGGTCCACTTGAGCATGGCGCTGCAATCAGAGAGAAGGAGAGGCATGCATGAGTTGAGGCAAGTCCAGGTGGCTGTCGTCAGGTGCTGGTTTGGGCGGCAGGGCGGCAAGGACCGGGCGAGGTGTGCCTACTCCTCCACGCTTGCCTGCGTCTCCTGCGTCCACTGCGTCCGCTGCCGCGGTAAGCCACACCGTGCGGCCCGTCACGGTGGCTCTACTTGGAGCAGACGGCGTCACCCTCGGCTGCCCATGCCGGGCCATGCCGCGGCCGCCATACAGTGCTGCATGCATTACACGGGGGCTGGCCCCGGCCACGCCGGCCACGCCGGCCACCCCGCCCCGCCTTCCCTAACGGTCGGGTTGGGGGTAGCCCGGGGTAGCCGGCCGGCCGGGCCGAACAGGTTCAAATAACTCCGCGGTCTCGCCCCGCCGACTCGCGGCCGGGCGTCGCACGGCGTGGCACGACGTCGCCGAGCGTGCAGAAACGGAAATCTGCATGGCCGGCCGAGGAGGTGAGCGGTGAGCGCGGCGGGCAGCCCGGCCGGCCCAGCCGCCTCCGATATCACAATCAATAAAAATGAGAATGGAATTCCGCGTCGCCTGGCTCGGACAATGCGCGGCACGGCACGGCGCGGCACGGCGCGGTGGTCGGGGCCGCCGTCATGTCCGACCGGGCCTTTTCTCCGAAGCCGCGCGTCGTCGTCGTCGTCCGACTCCGTCCTCCGCCGGAGCCAGTTTCAATGCCACAAAAACGGACACATTTTTGCACACCGTGCCGCCGGCCGCATGCACGTGTTGTCTTTTCATTTCTTTCTACTGAAAGGGTTGCCTCCTCCCGACGTCTCTATCTCTCCCTCTGGATGCACCCCGTCGCGGCCGCCCCCGTGCACGCCGTCAGCCACACAGGTGCCGGTCCGGCTCCCCTCTAGCTCCGCGTAGCGCGCTGCGCAGCGCAAGCCGGCCAAAACAACAACCACACTGCGGGGGTGCGGGCGACGGCCGCAAGACGGCGCGCTGAGCCGCTTTGCAGCGCTCTGCATAGCTTTGCAGTGGGGGTGGCGGCGCAAAAACCGCGACGGAAAAAGAGGCCGCCGACTAGACGAGCCAGCGACCCCGTCCGGCGTCCGGCCGTCCGGCCGGGCTGCTTGACTGACTGCGGTGGCTCGCTGCCACTCGCTGCAGGCTCGCTCGCTGCTCGCTGGCTCCATAATAGATATTTTCCACTCGGCTGGCGACACTGTCTTGGCGGGGGTGGCCATGGCCATGGCGGTCTCGGTTCCGGGGTGCGCCTTGGGGTGCGCCGCGCCGTCGCTGCCTCCGTACCGCGGCACACTGTGGCCGTGTCGCGTGGCGGCAAGGCGAGGCGACGCGCTCCACTGCACGCCGGGCAAGGCGGGGCGGACGGACAAGGCGGGACGCTCGAATCAATCACAATCCTTTGCGACGCACACACGCCTCGTTAGCGTCGCCACTGTGGTGCTGCCGCTTCCGGGGAGGAGGAGGAGGATGCGGAGCCAAATCCGTCCCCCCTCACAGTGTGCGTGCGTGGGTGCGTGCGTGCGGGTGCGTCACGTGACTGAATCTGATATAGGCGCGCGACGTTCATTGCGTGGGAGGTTTATTAGAAACGCTCTCCTATCCTCTCGCGCAGTGGACACACACATTCACATCTACACACCACTCACACACTGCGAGGGGTGCGCGGTGAGTGGCAGGCAGACGCGGCGGCGGTGGTGGCGCACCTGGCCGGGCTGTCCTCGTGAATCACTTCACACACCCGCTCACTCACACACACTCGGACAAATACCCACCCACACACACACACACACACACTAGCACTGCGGCCAGCCGACCTATTATTTCAATTATCGGCGGCGCTCCCTGCAGGTCGCGTCACACGCAGACCGGCTCGCAGCCCAGCGCAGCCCAGCGCAGCCACCCCGACCCCGTCGTCGGTCCCCGCCGGTCCCCGTGGCCGCGAAGCCCCGGACGCAGATGGAGCTTTGATAGCGGAGTCAGTCCATCTGGCTGGACGGGTCACGGCGGCACGGCACGGTAGAGTGTGGAACGCTGTGAAACGCCATTCGCTTATCATCTGGCTTCGAAACGGCGTGCGTAAAAAAAAGTTTGATAGTGGAAACAGTCGGTTGCGAGTGTGGCTTTTGGATTTTCGGGGGGTTGTCGTTTGCATGGTAATTAAAAGTGGGTGCGCAGTCACGCTACCGCGGGGCCACCCCCCTCCCTCCCTCCCTCCGCGGTCGGCCCGCCGTGCCGACACAGAGCCGACCAAGTACTGTACTGCCTCAACTAGAAAAGAAAGTGAGTCTTTTTAATTTGGCCTGTCGAGAAAAATCAATTATTGGCCGATAAAGGAGGACAGACTCTGATCGGCCCCGGAGGCTGGCCTGAGTCACGCCGGGCCGGGCGGCCGGAGGGACCTATTAGGACGCCTTTGCCGTGCCTTTGGCGGCCTGCCTGTCGGCGCGGCCTTTCATCTCGCATCAAGCGCAGCAAGCGGGGCAAGCGGCAGAGTGCCTTTGCTTCGTATCATTTGACCAGCTTGACCAGCCGGCCCCCCCAAGGCCCCAAGGCAGCCCGGCTCGGGTGGCCGATGGCACCGTGATGGTGCCATGGGAGCGGCCGGACCAACCGGGCATTCCGCCATCGGCTCCGCGACGCCGCCACCTCCGTGGTGGTGGTCGTCGCCGTGGTGGTGGTGGTCGCCGTGATGATGGCCGTGGTCGTCATGGTCGTATTCCTGGTCGGGATGGCGGTGGTCGTCATCATCATCATCGTCGTGGTCGTCGTCGTGGAGTCCGCGGCGGCGTCCCCCAGCCTCATTACAGTGGAGGGCGTTGCCCGGCGTTGCCTGGCGTTGCCGTGCAAACACGCCGAAAACAAAGGCTGCGCGACAAAGCGCGGCCCGGGCGCTGATGCCGGAGCCGCCTTGGTCGCTCCGTCTCTCTCGCACCCGCGGGCCGGTGCGTAGGGGTGCGAGAGAGACGGAGCGACGACACTCCTCTCCGGAATCAGCCCTGCTGCAGCGCCCATTAGTCCAACGTGCAATTGAAACTTTATCAGGGCGGGGCGTTTTCACACCCCAACACTGTCTTCCCGTTTTTTAACGATTTTTTCCTCTTTGTTTGCCGAAGCGGCAGCACCAGCGCGCCGTTCCCACATGCAGTTGGCCGTTTGACGGCCGCCAAACTGGGGCGCAAACTTTTAGGACAGATTGCTCGGACGGATATGCGGGCTTGGTGTTTTTTGTTTCATGAGCGACAGTGGTATGATTTATATCGTTTTGGCAGCAGCGCCGTACACACACGTGAAGTAGTGTTCGACTCGCACCCCCTCCCCCTGCCCCCGCCCTGCCCCCGCCCTGCCCCCGCCGTACTCGTAGGTGGGGTGGGGCGCGCCACCCCTGCCTACCCTGATCAGTATGCACCCTTGTAGGTACGAAAATTTCGTTCCCTTATAATGCATTCCGTTTTCCCTCCAACGTCCGCTACACCTGTGAGTGCGGCTGCACTATTGGCGCACTGGAGCGACTGCTGGAGTGACTGGAGTGGGCGTGCGGGAGTCAGTCCTCGTCGCTCCGGGGCGGGCCCTCTGCGCCCTCAGCGCCCTCAGCAGGCCGATGCAGAGCAGCGGTTTGGTCGCTCTGTCTCTCTCGCACTCGCGGGGCGTCCCGTAGACCGCGAGGGAGACGGGTCCCGTCCCGGTCCGCCGGTCCAGTCGCCGGTCCAGTCGCCGGGCCGGTGAGCAGCGAAAAGGAAGAACACAATGTCTGGATAAATAAGGCTGGCCGCGATGACACAGTCCGCCACAGTCCGGCAGTCCGGCATCTGATTAAGGGGCTTTAATATCGCTGCCCCATTGTTCCAGGTACCGCTGTTCCCGGAGCTCCGCGGAGCCACGGCGGAGTCGGCCGGCCGCTCTGGGGCGCTGGAACGCGGCGGGGCGGGGCGGGGCGAAGCGCTGCGTCAGCAAGCGCCCTCGGCCACTCGGCCCTCCGAGGACCAGCGACGCACCCAAGGACTTGCTGTAGAATGCTGTCGTCGCGCGCCCTTCCTTCGCGGCGGTGACGGACATACGAACAGACAGACAGACAGACAGACAGACAGACAGACAGACGGACAGACAGACGGACAGACAGACAGACAGACAGACGGACGGACAGACGGACAGATGGGCAGACGGACGGACGGACGGACGCGGACGAAAAGCGTGGCGAATCGGTGATGACGTGGCCGGCCATTCAAATCGCCCGCCATCTCATCGCGGCACTATAAAACGATATGGGCGCGCAGATCGGCGGCCGGCTGGTCCCGGCTGGCCCGCGATTGAGTCGCTATTCGATCCGCTCCGTGCCGCCTTTTTATTGGCTCGCCGTGTTTGTGAGAGAAAGAGGGCAGCAATCTCCATACGAAGGATGAGCCTCCGGGATGCTGCGCCAGCCGACTGATCCCGAAGCACTGCAATCGTCGCTCTGTCTCTCTCGCACCCCCATGGGACGCTCCATGAGTGCGAGAGAGACAGAGACGACAGCAGTGCCGCGCGCGTCTAATGAGCCACCCGGGTCCAAGTTTTACGGGTGGCGGTGCGGCGCGGTGCGGCGCGGTGCGGCGCGGTGCCCGAAATTGGCGGCGAGGAAGCATTCCGCGGTTCACACGAAGTCGTCACGTCACGCGGAGACACGACACGCTCGCTAATGAGTCCCTGAATATGGATCAAGCAGTAAAACCGCGCGCTGCCAGCCAGGCGGCGCGGACGGCGAGGTGTCACCCAGGCGTCGCCAAAAGCGCCAAGGTGTCACCCGGGCGTCACCGGGACGTCGTCAACGGTTGCCGGGGCTGTTTAGGCCTCTGTGTGTGTCTGTCTGTGTGTTGGGGGGGGGGGAGGAGTAATTACGAGCGAAGCCGTTTATCTGATTGGATGCAAAGTGTTCACTTCAAAGTCAATCAAGGAAGGAGAAAAAATAAAGGATCGGAGAGGCGCATCCGTGAAAAGGGCGATGAGCA